GCAGCAGCAGGAGCAGCAACAATGACAACAGCAAACAATGAACAAAGAATTCTGTTTTTTTCTAGCAACGCGTCTTGGGAGCAGCAGCCATAACTGCTACAGGGAAGTATTCATGATGCATAGCTTTCACCACTCACACAAGGCCTTGTCATTTGGGGTCAAACATTTCAGAATAGAATTAAAGGCAATCAATGTTTTAGACATGTTGAATGATATATCCCCTCTTATGGTGAGTCCAATCGCGGAATGTATCAGGCCCCTGATTTCTTTGGAGGTTGCCGTTGCATCATGTTTCATCGTAACCGCAGGTCGACCTCGTGCTGACGATCAAGGCGATCCAAGAGCTCACGGCGCAAGCTGATCACCAAGTTGCGCGTGCTTTCGCCTTGCCGGCGCAGTTGACGAAGAAATTACTGGTGCTTCACTCCTAATTTGGTAGACACTGGGAATCACCAGCCGAGTTCTTTTTTTTCGACATCACAGAATTATGAGGGTAACGGTCCTTTGACAAGTTGTTTTTGCGCTTGGACAAGATGGGTTTCACGCCTTCCGGCGGGTCTTTCTTGCACTCCAGTGAAATCACATGCAGGGTTTGGTAAGCGTTTTTGTTTGAGGGAAGCAATACATCTGCAAACATTACCTTCAGCTACTTTACATGGCTGGAGATGATCCGTCCAAAAGCTTTCGCATGTTTAGTCGGGTGCATCTCACTTCCCAAACCACTGTCAAACTTCTCGTCTACTCAAGAATCAAAAACCGTCAGCACACACGCTTGCTTGATTTTGAAGGCCCCTTATGAACGTTCAGCAGGGTGATGTGATCCCAGGAAATCTCGAAATCTTGGAGCACAACATTTTGCGGATAACGCAAAAATAACGCCTGGAGTCACTCACTCACAGTGGAGTCTGAGCACATAGGCCAATGACTGGTGAGATCAAGCATTCCAATTGTACATAAATAATTCTGCCCATTGCAACTCCTAATTTCTACCAGACTTCCATCATTTTTCAATCCCCTTTCCCCCATTTTCTCCCAACACTCTTAGCATCTCTTAGCATCTCTTAGCATCTCTTAGCATCTCTTAGCAGCAAGCCTTCCGACTCGTGGGAGTCAGAAATGCTCTCGTTGCGGAAACAGAAGGGACTGGAGGCTTTTGGGGCTTCCACCACGTCCTCATACAGTGAATGGGCGGTTGAAGCTGCATTAAAACTTGATAGAAATTGTGGTACCAGGGGTTTGACCCTGGAACCTAATTTCGAGGAAGCCTGAGCTATGGACAAAGACCAATACAGTAAATATATATGAAGTTGGTCTAGCTAGCATTCTGCAATATTTTATTATATTTTATATCTATGTAGCAAGCAGAACTTCCCAGTTTGACATATTGCGACCAACTAAGTCATCTCAAAACTAGGCTTGTCTGAAAAATCGGGTAACCCCAAAATTCACGGTTGATCATCATTTTTCCCATTCAAATTGGAAAGTAAATCGGCCAATATTTGGGCAACCCCAACGAGCAGCCCAGCACCGCTCCTGATCCTGCGGCACCAGATCTAGCTCTTCCGTCATGGCGTCGTCGCCAGGCATGGCGGAATCAAGATGGTGAACCAAGAGCATATATTTACAACGCTATCTATATAAAATTGTACTACATTATATTATAGTGAATTATCTGGTGTGTAAATAAATAAAAACATATATATATATACTTATTATATATATATACCATGTGCTTTTAAATGGCATTGCATCATTAATTACTGGTTTTTCCAACGACCCTCAAAAGATTGTATGGAAGCAAAATGTAATAGAACCCCATCACTATACCATGAAATTGTATGACCAACCTATTTCGGAGGCTTCTTCAAGTGTTTACACAGGAGCGAATGGCTCTACGCAGTTCTCTTGGCCGGAGCCTGGCAGCTGTCGGGTCCCCAGGCCCCGAACAAAGGAATCTTAGAATCCGCCATTTGGATCCATTTGGTTCTGCCAAAAAAATGCAAAAAACATGTAGGACTTCCCCTTCTAACATTCCCCACAAGAAACTCTGGTTTCGGGATCTAAAGCGTTTGGGGTGCCCATAAATATGGGGAACTTCGATATTTGGGAAAAGGGATCACGCAAAACACCTGGGCACATGGTTTTTGGATGTTTTTGGAGTCCAAGCACGACATTTCCCCCCAGGGGCACAGGTGGTTGAGTAAAGTTCATGCGCGCCAACGACAGCGAGGTGACCAGCAAGGCTGAACTGAGTCCAAAGCATCAGCCCGGAATTGAACACAGGGCTTGGTCTGAAAGTTGTGTACCCCCAAGTGGCTTTCCACATCTTCTCCATCGGAGTACCCCATAGGCCCATAGATCAATGATCAATGGTTGAGAACAACAAGATGCCACGTCTGACACTTCCACTAACGAAGTAGAATGATTGCTTGATGTGTATAATACGGTATAGTAATGTCTGCCGGTAGCATGTTTTATCATTCTTGGCTATAGACACTAATGTTTATGCAGTTGTCATCCTCCATGGCCACGAGTACTGATGATGACATCCCAAGGTAGCAAGGAAGTTTGGAGAAAGAAAAAGGATCTGCCAAGATTTTCTGGATGGCGATTCTGTTCCATCCAAAAGAATTGAAGTCAACTGGATCAATCAGTTCAATCAAGATCAATCGGTTAAAAAGTAAAACCATCAGCCTGTTTTGAATTCCGACCATTATTAGAAACTCTGCTACTGGATATCACTGGATTACTGTGCAGCATTCACAATGACCTTCAAAAGCTGGGGCTACCATGACCCAAATCAACAGGCTTGATTGGAATGGGATAGACCCCACGTGGGAAGCATCCAAACACATTGCACATTGGGATAGCTGGAAAAAAACATGAGATACTATCGTCGCTCTCCAAGACTCGACTTGCCCGATATCCTTTAAGGACACACTGTCATGTTCATTCTCTCCAGTAGGGTGCGATGCTGTATGGCTGGATTCACAAATGCTTTTCTGTACGCAAATCATTACGCCCCGGTCCCAAAGTATGACTTTGCTGTGGGTCCAAACCCTCCCTTCTCTGCACACCAAAAATAGAATATCTTTCATTTGTGTTGAAACTGGTTTATTTCCCCATCCCCATAATGACGCCATGGTTTATGTCTATATCATCATTAAGGGGAAACCAATAGATATCATTAAATCCCTTTGGTAAAATCCCCATTATGTATATCCCCATAAATTATCCCCACTATAATCTCCGTTGATGGTCACTTGCAGCTGTGGCACTCGGAGTACTTGGGACACTCCATCACCGCATGCTGCGTCAAACGACCTTTGTTTCACATTGAGAGAGAGGACAGGGACTGATTTCCACGTGTTAAACCCTTCATTAAAAGCATACTGCGGGGCATCATGAACAGAAAAAACAAAGCTTGATTTATTCTTAATTCTGTGCTGACTGTACTTGGGACTGCAGTCTCATGCATTAAACCATATTATTATTACTATTATTATAGACTATAATCATGACTATGTCAAGGGATCCTACAAATTCATCTAATGTGATTCTGGGACGCTCTATAATCTGGGATCTGCAAGTAAAACACTCATTCAATAGCGTTTCAGGCTTTGGTGGATGGAAGACGGAACGATTTTGTGCGTGTTAGCCTCCCAATGCGAAGCTTCTCAGTCAATACACCAGCAACTGATGCAAACATCGTTGTATCGATATGGAGGTTTCCTGAAATAGGGGTACCCCTCTAAATCATCCATTTTAGATTGGGATTTTCCATTAAACCATCCAGCTATTGGGGTAACCCCATGTGTGGAAACCCCATGAGACTCCAGCAGCAAGGGATGGTCGTCCACACCAGGCTTCCAAACTCATCAGCTCTGGATGGGCGTGCCACTGCAAGCGGCTCAAACCTCAGGATCCATGAAGCAACATGCAGGATGGGTCATTGATAAATCCCTCTGGGCGTGATATGTATATATATATAATACATATATTATGTATAGATGCGCACAGGTATACAACATACATATAATATAATATCATAATATAATATCATAATATATATATATTTATAATATGATGGTATTATATGTATACATATTAGATGATGCGGGCAAATTGAGGTGATGGAACGTTCAAGAGGATTGAACGATATCCAAGCCGATGGATCAACCTGCGTTGGTTTGTTGCTACCATCACGTCCTGGCGCTATGCAATGGTTTTTCCTCTATCCATGACCCTTGGAGGGAGGTTTAACCACCTTTTAACCACCAATAACAACAACCAAAAGAACGACTTCAACACCCAAATCTAATTATATAATTATGTATATATATATATATTGTGTATATATATGTATTATGTATATATATATATAAAATATTATGCGTGTATATATATATAAATGTTCTCTCTGTTTGGTGTGTGTGTGTGTAAAGATACTACATGATATTAATATTATCTAAATATATATACTGTATATATATATATATACGTATATATATATATTAATAATATAAGACAGCTACTACATAGAGATCTGACATTATAGAGGATAAAAATCTATTAATGTATTGATTATGACAACCCCCACCCAGGGCTCCCAGCTCCACAGCAACATGGAGACGTCTTGAGGCTGCCAGCTACGACTGAGCGGGCCCGCCAACCATGGCAGAAATGTGCAAACAAAACGAGACATCGATGATATATGAGTATCTATCGATCCACCTATTCATCCATCTATCGATCTATCTATCTACCTATCGATCTATCTATCTATCGATCTATCTAAATATATATATATATATCTATCTATCTATCTATCTATCTATTTATCTAACTAACTAACTAACTAACTAACTAACTAACTAACTAACTAACTAACTAACTAACTAACTAACTAACTAACTAACTAACTAACTAACTAACTAACTAACTAACTAACTAACTAACTAACTAACTAGTCTATCTATCTATCTATCTAACTAACTAACTAACTAACAAACTAACTAACTAACTAACTAATCTATCTATCGATCTATCTATCGATCTATCTATCGATCTATCTATCCATCTATCCATCTATCCATCTATCCATCTATCCATCTATCCATCTATCCATCTATCTATCTATCTATCTATCTATCTCTATCTATCTATCTATCTATCTATCCATCTATCCATCTATCCATCTATCCATCTATCCATCTATCCATCTATCCATCTATCCATCTATCGATCTATTTATCTATCTATCTATCTATCTATCTATCTATCTATCTATCGATCCACCTATTCATCCATCTATCGATCTATCTATCTACCTATCGATCTATCTATCTATCGATCTATCTAAATATATATATATATATCTATCTATCTATCTATTTATCTATCTATCTATCTATCCATCTATCTAACTAACTAACTAACTAACTAACTAACTAACTAACTAACTAACTAACTAACTAACTAACTAACTAACTAACTAACTAGTCTATCTATCTATCTATCTAACTAACTAACTAACTAACAAACTAACTAACTAACTAACTAATCTATCTATCGATCTATCTATCGATCTGCCCATCTATCCATCTATCTATCTATCTATCTCTATCTATCTATCTCTATCTATCTATCGATCTATCCATCTATCCATCTATCCATCTATCCATCTATCCATCTATCCATCTATCCATCTATCCATATATCCATCTATCCATCTATCCATCTATCCATCTATCCATCTATCGATCTATTTATCTATCGATCTATCTATCTATCTATCTATCTATCTATCTATCTAATCTATCATCTATAACTATATATATATATATGTGTATATATAGTCTAGGACCACATTATATTTATGTTACATCTTAAAATATTGCTAAACCATGTGGCCCCAACTCAATCAATCCAGCATGGCGTGGATCGGCAGGTCGGCGGTCGGAGGTCGGCCTATTGTTACCCTCCCGATATAGCCGTTGTGCGCGAGCGGCCAAGCGTAAGTCCTTTGACGGCATTGGTTGAGTCATGTGGGAAAGTCCTCCCCAATACTCCAATAGGTGTGGCTACAAGAGAAATAAACTAGCAAACAGTCAAACAGGCCTGCGTGTAGATTCAGAGCCCTCCCGCCCGTCCTTTGAAGACGCCTTGGCCATGGCCCACAAACAGAGACATAAGTCCTTGGCTGTGGACTGGGGTGCAACTGAATACTTGCTTGCTGATGACAAACAGTATGCTAGCAACGATGAGGATAACTATGATTATGATTATCAACATCATTGTTGTCATTGTTATTATGATGAGTACAGTATAGATGATTACTACTGTAGTAGTAACTGTAGTATCGTCATTGATATGAGAATAATGATGATTATAATAATGATCAAGTGCTATGGGTTGCCGTGACCTTTGCATATATCTTAACACAATAATTGTTCTGGTCTCCACAGCAAAGACTATGATTTGTCGGGCGACCTGGTGCGTGTAGCCCACAATGTCACGCCTGAATGGCGAGGAAGCAAACTTCAACCACTAGATGGATCACCCCGACTCAGGCTTTGGTATCATCTTTGGCTATACAAATAACATTTTGGGATGGATAAAACCATATAAAACCTATGATATAGGAGATAGAATATGTAACAGCATATTATAACTACCGCCAGTCTTAAACCCATTTCCTGCAGATGTTCATCACCCCGCCCTCAGCTCCGGACACGATCTCTGGAACCACGTCACCAAAAATGGGTCCTTCCCGGAGCTGAAGCCTGGCTCCGTGGGTCTTTAGCTGAAGATAGCCTGAACAAAGAATCAATAATTAGATAAAGAGTTGGTGCTCATATATGCGTTTTTGCATGTTTTCGTAGATATTAGGGGGGAGAAAATCTGATGAATATGGAACTTAAGATGTTGCAAATTGATGCAAATTATATAATGCAAATTGGGAATTTGGACCTTGCAAGTGTTGGAACAAACCGAATTCACGCAGCGTCGGAATAAAATTGGGGCACCAAGTTGGTCTACATTATTCTAGATTAGTAGTTTGAATCCAGTGGAAGCACACCGATGTCTAGATATAGACAACTATGTCCATATCCCCGTTTTTGTTTGCGTATGTTCTCTCACTACAGGCTTTGTCACTATCCCAAAAACATATGCGTTTCGTGTTCAGTGTACAGTATCCCTTCAATCCCCACAATCAAATCCCTTCTACCCTGGGTATTGAGATGGACTAAGTATTTACACCAAAATATCTGGAAAATAGACAATCCAAATCCAATAAAATCCAGATATTCAGAAAATATGTTAATATTCACATAAAAATTAGAACATATTTATTGGAAATATCTGGATTTATGCCCCAAAAGATCCCTGATCTCGACCGCCTGACAAGGCTGCTGAAGGCGACGCTCAGCTGCTTAGGCGCCATGATCTTTCGCTTCAACGTGAATGCCTGGTGGCAAAATCACCAAGGCCAAAACCGGGCACGCCAAAAACATGGCAAAACCCAAAGGGGAAGTGGATTTTTCTGTGGGTTTTCCATGGTTTTCAATGGTTAAAAGTAAAAACCAGATAAACATAGATAAACCATGGTGTTCTATGTTTTTCTATGATTTTCTATGGTTCATTGCAGCATATTGCAGCTTTAGATCCACAAAGGGCACCTCACCGAGGCTTTGGAGGAGCTCCGGCTCCTAGAATTTCAATGAATCTCACAACACAATGGTGGCGGGTGGCAACGGAAAGGACACTTCAGTGACCGTTTATCTGTCTCAAAGACACTCTTGACGACTCTGGTTCCATCATGTTCCATCTGCTTCCTGTATTTCTTGATGTTTCGATAATCATTTTGGCTGCAGGAACCTTTTTCTCATTGGCAGCATTAGTTGTGTCACAAGGACTGCCACCAACTACCTTGCAGGCAAGCTGAGAATTCAACACAAGGAGCCTGGTACCTGCCTGTACCTGCCTGGGGCCTGTGATATGCTACAGGCTTGGTGAAATGGAAGCACTTATCATATCTTATCATGGTTTCTGTACAACCCTGTTGTGAATATCAAAAGAGGCACAATTTCTTTTCAGTGACGCACGTCAACACAGTGCAATATATCAACTCGCACTGATCCTTCCAGTTTGGAGTCCCTGGCTTCGAGCTCTGAGAAATTTATCAGAGTATCCTCAAAAAAGAACCCTGGCTTGGGCCACACATCTGCGAGAAAACCGTTTTATTTCAGGTAAGTCCTCCAGTAGTAAATTGCTTAACACTTACTAAAAAACAAATAAGATCTCACAAAATCCTTACAGTCTTACACATCTCATGCAATGCTGTAGCCTGCATAGAAATCAAATGGGACCGATTTTTGGAGAACCGATTAAACACAATGGGAGAAATAAGTGAGCTTGTCACATTTAAAGATATTAGGACATCCAAGAATCATTTGATTGCCAGCAAACTAGCACATCAAAAGGGGCCTGCTATCATATAAATAAACATGTGTAGGTTGACACTGCACTTGGTTTTTGGGGTTACAGATGGTTACAGTAAATCAGCTGAGCTGGGACCTAGCTAAAGAACAAAATACAAACCAACATCAAACCAATCACCCAAAATCTATCAAAATCTGTCCTAACCCTGCCTCTGCTAAAAGCCAAAGCCAATTTGGTTCCCTGCCATCATTGGGCTGGTTCATGCAATCCCAAATCCTACTGATTCACCCCAGGATGCCTCCAGATTTTCAGGTTTTCACCCAACTTGACACCAAATCGTTGCAGCAGGGTGGACAAAGATGTTCTTTTTAGCTAGCAGCTCGTGGTAGCTAGCATCGTTTCATTTGTAACATGGGGCATCTTCAACACAGGGCTGGGGTCACGTGGAAACCACCCCAATTTCCAAATGTGAAGTTCCCAAGATTTCACCTTCAATGGCTGAAAAGTGGAAATGTTGTCGGAAAGCCCAAAAATGGAAAAACAATGGCAACAGTTCGGAAAAAACAACCAACGAACCCGAATGCAGTCACGTAAAACACAATTGTGAAAAAATATTTCGACAAATTTGTATTTTCCTCTGTGACCGTACCAGTGTAGACTGTGGAGTATGGATATGGGGCGGATTGCGAAGTGTGAAGTGTGAAGATAGTGGAGTGTTGAGTGGGGAATGTAGTGTGTAGAGTGTGAAGTGGGGATTGTGGAGTGTGAAGTGTACAGCGTAAAGTGCGTAAAGTGTCAAGTGTGGAGTATAAAGTGTAAAGTGTAGAGTGTGGAGTGGAAAGTGTAGAGTGTAAAGTGTAAGGTGTAGAGTGTAAAGTGTACAATGTGAAGTGTGGAGTGTAAAGTGTAGAGTGTGGCGTGTAAAGTGCAAAGTGAAGAGTGCGGACTGTGAAGTGTGAATCGTAAAGTGAAGAGTGTAGAGTGATGTAGAGTGTAAAGTGTCAAGTGTAAAGTGTCAAGTGTACAGTGGAGTGTAAAGAGTAGAGTGTAGAGTATAAAGTGTCAAGTGTACAGTCTAGAGTGTAAAGCGTAGTGTGCGGAGTGTGTGGAGTGTATAGTGTAGAGTGTGGAGTGTAAAGTTTGCAGTGTCAAGTCGAAGGTGGAGAGTAAAGTGAGTAAAGTATAATGTCCAGAGTCTAGAGTGTGGAGTGGAAAGTGTACAGTGTAGAGTGTGGAGTGTAAAGTGTAAAGTGTAGAGTGTAGTGTGGAGTGTAAAGTGTACAGTGTAAAGTGTAAGGTCTGAGGTGCACAGTGTGGAGTGGGAAATGTAACCTGTAGAGTGCGGAGTGTAAAGTGTAAAGTGTGGAGTGTAAAGAGCGGATTGTGAAGTGTATATTGTAGAGTGTGGATTGCGGATGTGGAACGTCAACTGTGCAGTGTAAAGCGTGGAGTGTGATTTGTGGAGTGTAGAATGTGGAGTGGAATGTGAAATGTTCAATGTAATAATGGAAAGTGTAGGTAGAGTGGAGGGGGTCGAGTCTAGAGTGGCAACTTGAAACATCACCAAGTACTGCGCCTGCCACGCAAACTCCCACGAAAGACAAAGGCAACATCGCGCCTTGCACGGCCATGCCAATGCGGAAAGCGGCAATTGCAATCACGAAAGTGTTCCAAATACTGCACCTGCCACGCAAAATGACATTCTACACGCGACGGATCGCGACCAAATGCTGCGCCTGCCACTCACGATGTCCCACACCTGCCACGCGAGTTGAACGTTTTCACCACTTGACGCAGCCCTGACACGCAAAATGAAGATTGAGGTCTCCAAAGTGCTGCGCCTGCAACGAAAACGAACGTCATCTCCGGAAAACCTTGCAAAAGTATTGCGCCTGTCACACAGAACGACTTTTGACACAAACATGTTGGAATGTCACAAAGCGCCACACCTGCCACACGAAACGACAGTGCACGACGTTTGAAACCTCCAAAAGTGATCAAAAGTGACCACTTTTGCAGCAATCGCTATAGGCATGGCCATATAGGACCTTCACAAAGAGGCCGGTTGCGGGCGGTTGCCGACGGTTGCGAACACAAAAGCAGCAGCGTCGAGGGAAAACAGGTCCACCCCCAGACCCCCGAAGTGAAAAGAACCCTTCGCTACACCGCTACACATTCGGGAAAAATAAGAAAAGCTGGGAAACCACTAGGGCAGGATAGGACCAAGTAACAGTTGCAAAAGACATGGGAAACAATGGGAAACAAATATAGGGATTGCATAGTATAATGAAGTCTGTCGGATTTGGCAAACCGTTCAATCTTCAATGATCCTCCAAGGCAGGTACCTTGTTTGAGAACGTTGGACCTGCAGGCCTCTAGGACCCATTTCAGTTGCATGCAATGCAGTTGGATGTCATTTAAGTAAAATCTCCGCCAGAACCACAAAGGCTTGTTGCCATTGCCATCTTCTTCCAACATCAAAATCCTCCCTGCCTCGCCAAGTGCTGGGAGGTTGCCACTCCTGGTACCAGCTTTTCTGCCTTGGAAGCAGCGTTTTTATGAAATTGTCACCCATTGGGGTCAGCAAATGCTTCCAAACCGACGGTCGCAGTGTGCTTTTAACACTGAAACCACTATATGCCCAACGCAAAAAAGGATGAAGGGGATAAGGTATGCGTGACTTGGTTCCAAAAAAAACGTCTGGTCAAAGAAGGGTTCATAAGGGGTCTGCCCGTAATAAGTTTAGAATCTACTTGATAGTTGATATTCTCCTTGTCCATCCTTTGTTTTGGAGCAGGCCAGCTGCTAAAATGATTGAAACAGAATTTAACAGAATCCCTCAACAGTTTCACAAGATGATTACCTGAACCCACCACAAGCCGGTTTGTTGGTTGCAAATCAGCGCCGATTTCCCACTCCGATTTTCACAAAATGCGCGCATTTTGTTTGTAGATGTTTGTGGAATACACAATCTTCCCACAGAGGAAAAAGTTAAAATAATGTTTGAAAGCAACTGTATATTGGAACCACCAACGGAAGTGAGGTAATTGTATCCTTGAACAGAAACCAATCACTTGCTTTGCCCTGTGGTTCCCAAAAACCAGGCCCAAGTGACTGAGGGGTCGCCACAGGTCGCCCAAAGTTGGGATTTCCTTGGTCATATCGGGTTCCATGGACGTTGCACCGTGAACCACCCTGGAAATTGATTGATCCATCTTGGGGTCTTGGAGTTGCTTCTTGAGGCCCGTGAACTTAGTGAAATATGTGAAACCAATTGACCAAAAGATATCAAAATGATCTGAGGGACATGGAGCAAGCATTATAGCTCCTACGATCGGAAGGTCTTCCACAATAAATGTTAATGAGAGTCATGACAGATTCATGGCAGATTCCCTTTTTTGCAGCCAAGTAACTCTTGAAGAACTGTTCCTTCTCGTGCCATCGAATCTCTGTGGGTGGGTATCCTCAACGGCCAGGCGAGGCAGGGGACCCGGAAATCCCTCAGGCTATCTCCTCATCCCGTCGTCCCTTGATAGGAAGAAACAGCTTTCTAACTGCAAAATGGATCGAAATAGATACTCCACTAGGAAAAAACTCTATATATATAATATATCATTATATTACATATATTATAAAACTATAAATACATAGAGCGAAATGCAGAAAATACAGAAGAAATGACGCAAGCCGTGGTAAGGGGGTGATCACCAGTTTCAACTTCACAATTGTCCTCTTTTATCAAAAGTATTGATACTTCTTTTTTTGAGTAGTATACCCATTGGCTGGGAATCTCGTCCACTGATGACAGGGTTCCATAGCCATCCAGCACGCGATGCATTTCTGCCTCGTACGGTGCTGGATTTTCGTCTGCCCAGTGCTGGTGATTCAAGGGGATTCAAGGGGTCAAGGTATGGGTGTACAGTTGCCCTGCCAGTTGCCCCGCCTTGGATTTTTGATAGGTTCATGTTTGCAAGGTCAAGAAGTTCCACGTTTGGATGGTTTTGGGCCACCAAACCCTACCTGGTGAAAGTAGGATCTTGATTGACAATGAGTGCGTTGGGGGAGCAACCAAAATTTCAAGCCTCTCACATCTGCAAACGCATCCAAATATGGCAGCATTTTACATACCCTAGGGAAAACTAACATAGAGGTGGAGAACCCATGGTTTCCCTAGGAAATGATCGACAACTTGTGAGTGTTCCGCAGATATTTGGGTATTTTGGGGTTAATGTGCCTAGTTGGTGACAAAGATGGTTTCACCGAGATGTCAAGTCGGGCTTAATCTCTGAGACTCCCATGATTTTCGCGCTGAATGCTGTGGTTTCACCTCATCCTGCCAAGGTACCCTCAATGGATGCTGAGCTCCAAGTCCCACCCTGGAATCCTCGGTGCTTTGGACCAGTTTTGGGTGTCGATTGCGGTCAATGTTCCAACCTGAGATTAGATGTTGAAACAGCATATAAATACCTGGATGATAATGCACAGGGATACTCTTATTGAAAGTTTGAAACGTAACATAGTCAAATTGCCCCTATTTTGAGTTATGGACATCCGTATCATTTTCATCTTGAACATGTTTCCCATTTCCCAGCGGAGAGTCCCGTAAGCTAGATCAGAGTGTTCCAACACAGTGACAAATTCCATAACCCCTGGCCCTACATATAATCTAATCATATATATGTATATATGTGATTATATGATATTATATGATATTATATGTATATCAGTATATATAATATATATATACTATATATATAATATTTCCCGCACATGAACGCGGGCTCTTACAGTCACACCTCAGGATATCTCAGGATGCCCATCCCAGTCATCAGCCCCCATCGCAGCCCGAAGATCTGCCGCCACCCTCCGCACCGTCGGCAGCAGCTGCTGGAAGGCCTCGGGACTTGGCACCGCGTAGCCCAAGCCTCAGCACCAGATTTTCCAGGTGGGAAAATATATGAAAATGAATGAAAATTATGTAATATGATGTATATACACCCCCAGATATGGCATGCTATGGCATGGAATGGGTATACACTATTTTCAACAAGCCCATCTTTGAACTGGGGTGATGGGGATGAAAAAAACGATGGGATCCATACCTTTTCCGACCATCAAAGGTGGGGCGAGCATGGGCGAGCCCGGAAACCCTAAATATCCCTAAATATATGTGCTAAATATAAACTGCTGAGAGACCTCTACGGCGAATTCATCAGTCTGTGAAGCAGGAGTATGTGTGAAATCTCGAAGACACCATGTGCTGGCTGATGGGTTCTCCAAAAGTCTATCTCTTTGGGGGGTGAATGGATAGCAAAGCACCGGCTGTTTCCAAACAAATGGCCCCACCCATGAGTTGATGGCTTCGGGGTCCCACTGATCCAAGGAACGCACATTGCCATAGAGCTCCCCACCACTGGTTGAGTATGAATGATGGGTGTGAGCCTTAAAGCAAGGAAAATCCCCTGGTAGCATCAGTCGAATGTTAGATTTCACATTCCCGCTCCAGCTCAAATGTACGTGTCTCCCTCAAAAAAAATGTTTTTCCCTAGATCTAGTATATTACATGGTTGGGATTGCATAGGTGTATATATATATATATGATGAAGCTCAAAGCTACCTTGCTGGCTCACTGCCTCCTTGCTAGCTCAAAGCTCAAAGCTACCTTGCTGGCTCAGTGCCACGTAGCTGGCTCAGTGCCACGTAGCTGGCTCAATGCCACGTAGCTGGCTCAGCGCCTCGTAGCTGGCTCAGCGCCACGTAGCTGGCTCAATTTTTTTAGCGAAAAAAAAAAAGAAAAAAAAACCTCGCAGAAATTGAGCCGGCTACATGCCCTTGAGCCGGCTCGCCAATGCGTCATGAACCCGGCCAATACATAGCTAGTATTCGTTTTGATGCTCTCACATTCGTCCGCCAGCTCAACGTGACGTAGCTGGCTCAATTTCTGCGAGTGTTTTTTTTTTTTTCGCTAAAAAAATTGAGCCAGCTCGATGCCATTGAGCTAGCTCGATGCCCCTGAGCCAGCTACGTGGCATTGAGCGAGCTCGATGGTGCTGAGCCAGCTCGTTGCAGTTGAGCGAGCTCGCAGAAACTTCCCAATCTGTTAAATTACATTAAATTGCCAGGTTCAATCCCCACTGATTACTTTAGTACTAGATATGGTACCTCTGAAAAAGCCCAAGGTGACTGTCAAAACATACCCCTGATGAAATTGAGCCAGCTACATGTTTTGAGCTAGATCGAAAAAATGGAAGATTGGGAATTCCAACATTCAAATCAGCGTGGGGACATGTGGGGACCATGGATATACGGTATTTTGAGGGCTGATACTGACAGCAAGCTCACGAAGTCCTTGTCCACGACATTTTCAGGCAGGTAATGATGCATCTTGTTAGCTTCCATTGAAAATTGTAAAAATTATCATAATCTACTATTGTCTTTGGGTGAGGGATGATGATGGCTATATATGGCTATATCGGCACTTGGATGATTTCATGACGAACATGACCAACATTTGTCAATTTACAGTATATGTCCATATATATATATACATATATATATGTCCTGAATATTGTCCGCACCAAAAACAACCAATCCGGATGGTTGCGACGCAACCTACTGAAAAAAGACACGCAAAGGTCTGTTGAGCTCGTTTAAGACAAGTGAACATCGCACATCACCAATCATATTGTCATCAAAAGGATTCAAAAGGCAATGAAGATTCAAAAAAGTTGTTGAGGCGCTGGAGTCTAGGTTTTCTTACACACCCACAGAAACCGCCACGCATCAACCACACTGCCACAGTGACACGCTGTCAAGTTGCTGCTAGTGGGAAAGCATCACCGGACCGGACGAGCTCGATTGGAACCTAGCGGTTGTTTGTTCATTACATGGCTTTCTATACACCCATTACCATGTATGGCAATGCAAGTGGCAAGGGTATGCAAAGGGTGTATTATATAGTCATAAGCCAAAGTTCCAATGATGGGTTGCCGCACCTCACCCCCTGTGCCCAGGGGTCACTCAACATATCTTAAAGGGTGCTACACAGCATCCAGGCACCCATTTCCTCCGCCAACCTTCTTCAACTGCAATCGACCCATGAAGTCCTCGGGTTGCGAGGAAAAATCTGCTGACCAACAAAGCCAACGAACGGTTTCTTAATCCGGTCTCAACGAAACCTGCGGTATGTCACGGTGGCATCCAGCAATGTATCTTGGATAATGCTGGCACATATTGATATTGGTCACTGACAGATGCACATGGTTCTGAGTACCAGTCCTCACTGGTACACTACTTGTCTTTGGCAGCACAGGAGGATGTAGCAAACTTGAAAAGGTGGGCGGCCAATATTGAAAAGCCATTCTCCTAAGAACCAGAATCAAATCCTTCATCGATGATCATCCATGCATCTCCAAGGACAGTCAAGAGTCAAAACCCCTCTTTTCCAAGGCTCTCCATCCTCAGACCATTCAGTATCTGGGAATTTCACCAATTCCCAAGCAGCTTTGGTATACACAAAGGAGAAGCCATAGCCATACCTGCGGGGCAGCTTGGCCATGTGTGGTTTCCAGGGACAAACTCGAGAAGGAAACACTTGTTTATAAGTAATATAAATATAAGATAATATAAGTGCTGTTTTTAAAAAGCATTTCAAATCAACACCTGGGTTGTAAGCAAGCCAGGAAAAACCCCAATAGGGGAAACAGTAGGAATGTAGAATCCTCAGCAAAAGGGAACAACTCCCCTGGTTGCTAGATTCATCAACTTCACTCTTTCATCAATGGGAACTGGTCAAGTGGATTCAAGTGGTATCATCGCAACTCAGTCGCTGAAAACACAAAAAGAAACTCAAACACACTAAGACCCAAGAACTTTTAGCCGAAATGGACACTTCTATTCTCTTCCTCTGCATAATTGTCATGTACGATCCATTCTTGTGGCTGATGGTCCATGTCACTTTGTTTTCCAACTCCAGCCCTTGCCAAATTGAAAAACCCTTCGTGCCAGGTGGCTGAAAAGACTCCCGCTGTTCATGCTCCAACAAGGGCTCCCGGTTGGGAGAGAAGAAGCCGAAACTCTGATCCTTGACCTGCAGGGTCATGAAACTGCCGAGGGGAGGTCGTCAGAAGGTCACGGTGACATCTCCAACTGCATCATCTGCAAAGTATTACAAGAAATATAGATACTCCATTGCAAACTAAGATTGGAGGATGTGTCCCAAACTGTCCAAAAAAAGTCTTGCAGCAATTGGGTTCCAGACATGATTGGATCTGTTTGATGATTGATATGATCCCTGGTTTGTCCATCTCCAAATGGGTGCATCGTAGGTACATTCCCATGAAGGGGGGATGGCCCCTGGCCAATGCCAGAATGTCTCCAACCATCAAGCAGGAGATGGACGATGATGAAAGAAACCATCTACATCATGGAAAATACTTCCAATCAACACACACACACACCCTTGAATTTCTCTTCAAGATGCGTCCATCATGTGCCACTCAGCTAGGGTACAAGCTAAAGGTCGATCCTTGGCTGCATTTGCTGGTACCCTTGGACCCCAATTTGGGTTTGAACATGGGTTACCCCCAATTCTCAAGGGGGTTAATTACCTCGTTTGTCCATTAAGACTCATAAGCATAGCAATTTTGTGTCATTTGAGGGTATACCTCTTTTTGCACAAACCCACTGCCAGCTTCAGTCCTCAACCTCAGGCAACCCCTGCTACTAGTACTCCCCTCCACCCTTTGAAGTCAAGATTCTAATGATGCTGTACCTTGTCAATGCGGTGAAAAAACGAAACTGTTTGGTATCATAAATGCTTTAATCAGGTTCACCCTGTATCTATATGTATGTAAAGATCTTGAGCTTCTTGCCAAACTGTGATGAAATTGATATGGGACAAACATATACAAAAAATATGCATACATACTGGGGGATGCCTGCAGACCCCAGAAACACCCTGAGGTACACAGTTGAAAGAACGTGTGCAATGCTGCGTGTGACTGGCTATTGGCTTCACCCTCCGACTAAACAGGTAATGTTCAACAGCAACCAACTAGCAGCAACAGCAGCATTGTGCTCTCTAACGACAAACCCAAAGGAGTCCAAGCTTGACTTACAATGCGTCTGGATATGCCAGATGACTGAGCTGTATACTGTAGATAATCACACGTTGTTGTTATATGTTGTTATCATCATTATCACTCATGTCATTTGTGTACATATATATATATTTAACACATAGAATTATTATAAATTATACACATATGCCTGCTGGTTTCCCTGTGTTTACTCGATTTTGTTACCATAGTTGCAGCCATTCGATTTTTTTTGCGCCGACACGGAATCGGCAGTGCAACCCTGCGACCCTGCACACATGGGCCACAGGCATTGCCAGCACACAGCTAGATGCTTTGGCATTCCATCCGATGCTTGGGGATCATTGTGGAAGCAGCTTCTATATGGAACATCATGGAATCGCCAGTTCAATCCATTTCAATTCATTTCACTCCTCCTTCACTTCAGCCTTCGAAGCTGTGCGCTCTCCGCTCACATTCCAGTAGAAAAAGAGCAAGGCTGCCATGGCGGATTTCACACTAATATCCGTGACCTCAGCAACCCAAAGTACCAAGTCACCAACGAACGGATGTCTCTGGAAGATTCCTACACGAGATGGTACGAGCCTGTAGCTGCAGTGTAGCTGCTGTAGTTGTTTATCTGTGCCATTGGCATAAATTTGCAGTGTAAGAAGGGGCCGAAGCAGAAAGGGTCGATGGAGTCCTTGAGAAACAATATCCAGATCAAATTCTATGAAAAATTATGCAAGGTACAGCTACCATCTGCAAATTTCAAGTTGTCGCTATAAGCTACAGTATGCTACAGTAACCAATCCCACTGGTCACTGGGTGATGATTTTTCACCAGGATTCAAGGGGAGATCCGATGTCCCAACACATCACGCACTGCAAAAGCCAGACCTTGAGGGGTCCCAATGATTGATTTTGACTACTTGTGGTTGCACCTAAGGAAAGAAATATTAGAAATAAAAAATAAAGGACCGGATAACCCCACAAGTCAACTTCTTCCAATAATCAGCAAGAAATGTGGTAGCAGGGACGGGGAAGGAAGGAAAGACAAAGGAGGTGGTGGAGGTTGTGTGTGACAAAGTTGCATGTGAAAGTTGGTGCGTGACAAAGAAAGATGGGGTGTGTGTGACAAAGTTGTGTGTGACAAAGAAAGATGGTGTGTGTGTGTGACAAAGTTGTGTGTGAAAGATGGCGTGTGACAAAGAAAGATTGTGTGTGTGTGACAAAGTTGTGTGTGAAAGATGGCGTGTGTGAAAGTGGTGTGTGTGTGTGAAAGAGAGCGTGTGACAAAGTTGTGTGTGAAAGATGATGCGTGAAAGATGGTCTGTGACGGTGTGTAAAAGATGGTGTGTGTGTGTAAATGTAAATTGGCACACAACATGAACCGAGTCCAAGCTAGGCACTGACATGCGGCATCACTGCGGACTTTTTTCTTGCGCCAGCGCTCCAATGTCATCCGCTTGGCATTTGAAATCGCAAAAGTACCTGGCCGCAAAGCATGTCACTTACAGCTGTGACTGCACAAAACGAAACGTTCATTGCTGTAGAAAGAAAATGTAAAACGCCACAAAACATGAACTGACTTCAAGATAGGCACTGACATGCGGCATCACTGCAGACCTGCAATTGGCGGAATGAAGTGTGCCAGGATCTCCTGTGTTCCATTGCTGACCCTCATGATGCCGTGTGGAAACATCAAAGCATGTCACTTACTCCTGTGACTACACAAAACGAAACGTTCATTGCTGTAGTAAGAAAATGTAAAACGCCACAAAACATGAACGCTTCGTCGCCACGTCGTTCAGATTGATGTATTCGATATTGACATACATCAAGATCGAATACATCAATCTGAACGATGTGGCGACGAAACTGATGTCTCAGTTTGAACGAGTTCAGAACGGCTTGCAAGATCATTGTGCTCTTCCTGACGCGAAGACCAACCAAGACGTTCAATCGCTATCACTGGAGTCAGGACAACCTTCCCGCAGCATTCTTCTCTTGCGACGATCTTCTGCAACAATAAGGCGCATACTCTGCAATTCCACCTCGTGCTCGTCAATCCATAGTTGACGCACGGTTCTGTAACACACATCTTTCGCAATTGCCCGACACCATGCTGTCGACGCACCGGAAGCACCACCCCAGTCAGGTCTCCAGACGGTCATTCGCATTATGCGAAGAAACGTTTCGCCTGGCACTGCGCCAAACTCCATGGCAACTGCGTTGATCGCGTCCCGCACTGGCTCGCGGTTCCTGAAGTGAACGAAGCAAGCCCAGTGCCATAAGTGCCACGCCTGCCACGTAAAACGCAGGTAGATGTCGCCAAGTGCCACGCCTTCCACGTGAAACGAAGGCACATGTCGCCAAGTGCCACGCCTGCCACGGAAAAACGCAGGTGGATGTCGCCAAGTGCCACGCCTGCCACGTGACAAGTTGTGTGTGACAAAGTTGTGTGTGACAAGTTGTGTGCGACAAGTTGTGTGTGACAAAGTTGTGGGTGACAAGTTGTTGCCAAGTGCAACGCCTGCCACGCAAAACGAAGGTGGTCGTCGCCAAGTGCCACGCCTGCCACGTGACAAGTTGTGTGTGACAAAGGGTTGTGTGTGACAAAGTTGTGGGTGACAAGTTGTGTGTGACAAGTTGTGTGTGACAAAGTTGTGGGTGACAAGTTATGTGTGACAAGTTGTGTGTGACAAAGTTGTGGGTGACAAGTTGTGTGTGACAAAGTTGTGGGTGACAAGTTGTGTGTGACAAAGTTGCGGGTGACAAGTTGTGTGTGACAAGTTGTGTGTGTGACAAAGTTGTGGGTAACAAGTTGTGTGTGACAAAGTTGTGGGTAACAAGTTGTGTGTGACAAAGTTGTGGGTGACAAGTTGTGTGAAGGAGGCGGGACGGGAGGAGGAGGACGAGGAGGAGGCCCGGGATAGAGAATCAAAAACAAGAACCCCACACGTGGCTAAGCACCCCCGCTGTGTAGAAGCGTTGGCACGAATAGGAGGTGGCAAATCCCCAGTTGCCGAACAGCCATACGAAGGTGTAGACCAAGAACACGCATTCCTATACGCAGGGAAGGTGCAGCCCAGTTGGTAGGTGGTTCATAAGCATGATTACATGCCAGCTACACATGGGAAATCCTGAGTTAGGTGTGTATATTATATATAAATATATGTGTGTATACATAGTATACATTACATAATTAGATTTTATATATGTAACAAGTATGGAATAAAGTCGAATTTAATCATTATTAAATCTGAATTCCAGCCTTGTTCGTAATTATATAGCATAACTGCAAAACTATGTATAAGATATACAAGTATGTATAATTCTAACATGTAGTACAGTCCACGCATTGTATAAGAATTCCTTGTATAAGAAAATGAGGGGCTGGATTGTTTTTTCCGTATATATGTTTCGTGGAATATATATGCAAATGGAAGTTAAGAAATTGAGGGACCCTTGAATTTTAAAGACTAAGAAATTTCGATGTATGTGAAGGAGCCCCTTTGCGCCCCTGCTCAATTTTCTTAACCATGAAAAGGTTTGTAAAGATTCTATTTGGAGCGGGAAATGGAGCCAGCCTCCCTTGCAACCAAATACCCGCCAAAATGAACTTTGCACAGCCATGGCATGGTTGGGAATGACAGGCAGGGGGGCAGGATCAACCCAGAGTCGAGCCACTACACTGTCAAGCCTGCTGCCAACAACTGCAGAACAGCCAGACTCACTGTAGGTCATCTGTACCCTTGGCTCGTGTTGCCTTGCCTTGCCTTGCCTTGCCTGTGCTGCCTTGTTGCCACCGGGTAAGGGTTCAATTCAATACATAACTAAGAAATCCAGCCCCTCAATTTCTTAACCATGTAAGGGTTTATAAGAGCCTTGTCTAGAGGAGACGTCACGGGTAAGGATTCAACTCAATACATAACTAAGAAATCCAGCCCCTCAATTTCTTAATCATGTAAGGGTTTGTAAGAGCTTTCTGTAGAGGAGACTGGGTAACTGTTCCTTTGTGCCCAGGAGCCATTGGGAAGCGGCGCAAGGATGGCGGAGTCAAACTCACGAAAGGAGCTGCGCAGAGGCAACCCCGCTCTTACATCTTCAAATCTGACTGCTTGTGAAATACTACATTAATTAAGAAATTGCTAAGAAATTAAGGGACTCTCGACCGAATAATTGTACATATATACTGACTTACATGGGGCCTTTCCGATAAGAAATTGAGGTACCCTGGCCATCGACAACCAACATTCTTATATAACGCTCGCGCTGTATCTTCTATAATCTTCTATATTACACATGTCATATGCAGCACACTTGACCCCTACAAACATCTAGCAGCTAATGTGGCCATGTCTTCACTGCTAATCACCCCAAAGATATGAACATTATATAAATGGGACCATGAAACGCTATGGTAGGATTGGTCATCAAGGACCTATTAAACAACCACGGAAGAAAACCATAAGGATTCACTTCCAGAAGCTAATGTCGGTGAATAGACTATTATATCACCACAAAAATGATTGGTAACATAACCACAATACAAACTACTGTATAACCATACATAAGAATAGGCACAATCCTTAATCAATAACCAAGCTCCAGAATTTTCGACAACCCACGGGTATCATGCCCGTCCTTCACGATGACACCTGCGCCAAAAAGCTGACATGAACGGGGAAAAACAAGAAAAAACGATGACAAAAGCACGGATGAAGAGTTATATACTTGTGTTGAAATTTGTCCAAGATGTGCCACCAAAAACCATAATTTCTTTTTTGGAGCATTCTGGTGGATGGTGGAATGACGTCGGCCCAATGCTGTTTTTCTTCCTGGTAAATGGACTAAATCAATAATGACAAGCCATTGTGGTTTCCTTTTGGTGTTTCTACGGATTCCTAGAGAGACAAGACTCATACTGCAAATCACAAATCGATAACAATCAGTTTCCCTAGCTCACAGGGTGGGTGATTGTCATTTTTTCCATGTGACCAGGTTTCCCAGAAAAAAACTTATCAGCTCTTAACCCAGCCAGCTGTCGTCCATCTGCCAAGCTGCTGTATCCCTTGAGAATTGGCTGAGACGTTTCCAGGATGCTGTAGTAAACCAAAACCATCTCATCAGCAATGACAACCACGTAGGCAACGCAGCCCAGGGTATTTAGATACCAGCCCATCCTTACTGCATAGCCGGCATAGCCGCTAAGGTCTGAACTTGAGGATAATCGAATAATCTTAAATATCAAACCCAGGGATCTGTCAAGCAACCAATCAGTCTGTCTTTACGATTCAGGAAAAGCAGTCGGCCGCTCCAGGACATTTCAAGACCATTCAAAACCATTCATACCATTGTGCTTCTAATCTTTAAAGAAATCGATCCGGAGCCTGCCACGTGGCCCCAGCAAATTTATCTATATCAGGATATATCAGGGTTGGGCAGTTTCTTCGTTAATGGTTCGAACGAATTGAATGTTAACACATATTCACCCATATTTAAATTTAAACGACACATGTTTCAACAGTACTTCTACTGATTGGTGTTTATACATGGTTAGTTATGCTACCTGGAACTACAGTAGCTGGTGTATTGGTGATTGTTATACCCCCGGTTGTGGGCTGTCTAACTCCACCTGATTCATCTATGTCTTAGCATTCCTTCCATATCTTCCATATTTCGGTGCCATGGCAGCAGTATCCCAAATCGCCATGGATCAGGTGTTGGACAGTCACTGACTGGTTCATGATGGTTCATGTGACAACATGTTCCCAATTAAAGTCGCCATTTGGGGTAGACCTCATTTCCAGACAAACCCATGTAAACTGTAAGTTTCCCGTAAGAATGTTGGATTGACACGAACATCCAGAATAGCCCCAACTCCATTGCAGGATTCCACGGAAAATGCTGCAAAGAGAAGTCATGGATAGTAATTTTCACCCCATTCCATTGTATACATTCATTTGTTTGTCCGAGGCTCAAGGGATCGGTCACAACGCAACCCAAGAAGCAAGCCTGAACCAGACCGCCATGCACTGCAGGCGATGTGGTAAAATGCAGAATTCACAACATGTGATACATGTATACAGGTACATAGATACACAGAACCATACATAGATAGATAGATCGGTAGATAGAAAGATCAGATAGTTTGATAGGTAGACGGTAGACTAGATAGATAGTCAGATATAGAGACAAATAAGACAGATAGATGGATAGATTGACAAATAGGTGTATATATATATACATAGATTCTTAGATACGGTGGCTAGACAGAAAGATTGGGTGGATCGGATGGATATACAGATAGATAGATGGATAGGCTAGGGTAGGGTAGGGTAGGAAAGGGTAGAACAGGATAGGAGAGGATAGAGTTGAATAGGACAGGGCAGGATAGGCTAGATAGGACAGGACAGGGAAGCTAAGGAAAGGATAGATAGATTGATGATTGCAAAGAAAGATAGACAAATAAAAACATAGATAGATGCATAGATTGGATAAAGAGAGAATACAGACAGGTTGGAAACATAGATTGATAGAAAAATAGATGGAGAGATAGGAAGATAGACAGATAGACAGATAGGTAGATACGTAGATAGATAGAAAGATGGATAGGTCGATAGATAAATAGGTAAGTAGGTCAGGAGGGGGGTAGATAGACTGAAATGTAGATAGAGAGAGTAGGTTAATGTAGGTTAATTGGATTAGATTAGGTTAGATTAGATGGGATTGGGTAGGACAGAGTAGGAAAGGATAGATAGATAGATATATATATAAATATAGATAAATAGATAGATAGATAGATAGATGGAAAGATAGATAGATAGATGGAAAGATAGATAGATAGATAGATAGATAGATAGATAGATACATAGATAGGTACATAGATACATAGATAGATGGTTAGATAGAAAAGAAAGAACGATAGATTGATAGATTGGAAAGGGGGAGAGAGAGAGAGAGAGAATATAGACAGGTTGGATAGATATACTGATTGGTAGATAGATGGGTAGAGAGATAGATAGGTAGATAAATAGATAGATAGACATATAGATAGGTTGGTAGGTAGATAGATTAATTTTATTAGTTAGAAAGATTTGTTTAATCTGATGGATGGATTTAATTAATTAGGTAAGTAGATTACTAAGTAGATTAGATTAATTAGATTTGGTCAGATTAGGTTAGATTAGATAGATAAATAGATAGATAGACAAACAGTTTGTTAGATTGTTAGATAGGTAGAGACATGGATGAATGGATCAGTGGATGAGTGTGGATAGATTAAATGAACACACATGACATTTTAAAAACACACAATATAGTAAATGACATTTTCATTTCAAAACCAATGCACAAATACATTACATTGAAAAACACAATCATGATGCACACATAATTGTGTAATGTCAATATGATCTTTAGATAGTATGTACTTATAAACATAATTGTACTAAACAACCTGGCGAATTATGAGAATCAACAAAATTGAAGCCATTTTGAAATCGTTACCTCTACATTCACCATCATTCCCGGGACGTGGCAGTGAGGTCCTCGCAATTCCTCCACATGGACATAATTTACTATATACTCTGTACACTTTAACATGTTTACATACTACAAAGAATCCATAGAATGTGTTAATAAAAAGGAATATATTAAAATATAGCATAGTGTTCTACAATATGCTATAACGCACTCTAAAATAGTGAATTCTACTATGATATACTTTGATACACTACAAGAAACAACGATATATATAATTATAGTAAATCACGAAAAACTACAAACTTTATTAAACTTAAAAACACCAGACCATAATGGGATATAGCATATATAACTAATAAATTGTAATATGGTTCCACACAATGTAATAGAGTATAGTGCAAATTGAACTTAACAGGATACACATGACATGAAACAAAATACTATTGTAATAAAGTATAATATAGCAAAACATTTAAAACATATAATAACATTAAGTAAACTACATTATGCAACATGATGCTAACTAAAAGACAAAAGGTATGATTGTAATTCAATGCAGCGACAACACAATAAATACACTATGATATTTATGTATATATATAACTATAGAGTATCGACAATAAATATATGAGATAATTTAATCTTAGAACGCATTCTTTCAGACAAACCCATATGGGTATTCCGACCAAAAGTGCTGTCAGTTTCATCGTTAAAGCATGCAATTGTTGTGGTAAGAATATGCATGAGCTGTAGCCATATTCAGACATGTGCCCTGTATCGTAATTAAAAGCCATTCGCCCAAACATCCTGTTCAGCAGCCTGAAACATCTTTTTTTACCCAAACACAATGGCCGCACTTGGGGTTCTTACGGTAGGGTCTGGTGTTCATTCGAGGTGGTCCCATCCGTGTCCGGCAAATTTGGTGACCCTTACAGCACAAAAGTTCTCGTGTGAGATGTCCATGTGCATTTCGACTGTGCAGGCTCGCACAAACCGGGTGTCACGGAGACCTCTCTTCCGAAGGTCTCGTTTTACTAGCTCGCAGCGCGCCGTGCTCGTTTCTTGAGCTATGTCAATTTTTCATTGCAGGCATGGCACTTTCGGGGCATGTTGCAGTCTCAACCGTTGTTTTGCGTGACAGGTGCAGGACAGCAGACACTTTTTCATCCGCGTGCCCGCGTGGCAGGCGTGAGTCAAAATGAGATGTTTTGGAGGTCATTTTTTGTGGCAGGCGCAGTTTTGGTGACCTTGGACGGCGTTTTGAAAGGATCGCGAATTTCGTTTTGTCATGCTGTCGTCGAATTTGATTTGGGACATGATGATGATTCCGTGTGGCAATTGCAGCACTTCGGATGCCTCGGGCTCATTTTTCGTGCCAGGCGCAGAACTTTGTAGACCTCGACAAAGAAGTGCCCGAAACCTAGGTAAAACTTTGTCTTTGACATTTTCATACATTTTCAATGTTCATTTTTCGTGGTGCGCGCAATGTTTTGTGAAAATCTAACATGTGCTCGCGCAACCCTCTGGGCACTTTGGGCCTGTCAGATCGCTGTCGCTGTGGCGTGGTGCCCTTTTTCTAAATATCAAGGACATCTTGCGCAGAGATCTACATGATCTTATACACAGATCTTCATAAAGGGAACTTACAGGATCTAAACTGGTACGTATCTCTTCTTAATGTTCCTCGCAACACTGTTTGAGGTCTCTTGCCAGGATATCTGTTTTGCCCCTAGGCTCTAGTGGCTGCTGATTTAGAGTACCGCAAGCCAGCTTTGGATTTGCAATCATAAGCCCAAATAGGACTGTCCAACGCACCAATAGAACTTCCAAACAAACACATGTCACCTATGATACCCCTGGTGCTTTTGGCTGTTGGATGATGTTGTATCCACCTGCTTCAAGTCAAATATCTCATATCCCATCCCCTGTGTTTTTCCCAGAGCCCTGCAATCCTACCATGGGATACAAGGTGCCAACATTTTGAGGAACACTGAAAAACACCACACCTTTGGTTCTTTTCAAAGAGGAATCCATTTTGATCTGTCCGTCATACGCCCTTTTTGAATCTTTTGAGTTGGTGGATTTCCATCTTCACACTGACTCCCTCTCTCTGTCTATACGTAAATAGCATTAAACAGCAATATCAAGTAGCAACTAAATGTATATTGATGCCTCATGAAAAACCTAAAGAACACCTGAATTCACTCCATGGGTGGAATTTCTGTTTGCTGCGAATCCGCGCTTCTCACCGAGACGAGAAGCCCAGCAATACGCTGCGCTTGCTGCTTGCTGTGGCAATATCCTCATCAGTGCTTCCTTGGCTGAAAAAAACCTACAGCTACCAGCCCACGAAACTCTCATCCTTGTGCAATTAAATGTAACTACTGGTCTATCAAGATAGATTTCTATGATTCTTAATGATGCGCTTTAAAGATCCCTATGAAATTATATGAAAAGGTAGCATAATCAAACAAACAATCTAGCTCAGATTGCTCTTGGCTGACCGTGTAATGGTAGGTCGCAATGTGCTCTGTTGTTTGATTGCAACACTCCTCATGGCATACATGGTACTGGTATCGTGGGTTTAGTGTTTGATACGTGTACATACAGTATGTACTGTACATATACCATGTAGATAGTCTGGCATGGCATTGCCATGGCAGTGTAGCAGTATGTAGCAGTAGCGCAGGGCATGAAAAATGAAAGCAAGGTGTGTATCAGACTCCAGACTGGCCATATCTGGCCATCAAAGACATGGTGAGTGTCCCAGGCCCAGCGTGGAACCTGATCACAACAATACCGTGCCAACTGGTTGGATCCCTTGAAATGAATTGAAATGAATTGAAATGAATTGAAATGAATTGAAATGAATGGAACGCTACCATGTGTGTTCTGACCCCGCCTTGCAGCTTTCTCACGGAGCTCTTTTCATCCAAGGGTCTAAGGGATGGTGCTGGTCCAGCAAAGGGTACAAATTCCTCAGTTCCAGAGCATTCCAGAAGCATCTGGGACTGAACTTGGGTGTGCGATTCCCTTTTGGCCAAGCTTGATGGCTGACAATCCTTGGACTGCTTCCCTTTCATCGAAGGTTCCCAAGATCCGAAAGCAACAAACAGCAAGGTTTTCTAACATTCTGACATGCCTAGCTCGCTTGAAAATGATGAAGGGGCAGGGGTGACCTGGCAGCCAACCCAAAAATGGCCCAATGGCGCGGCTCGGCCAAAAGAACAAGTCCATGGGTTCAGTTCTCTAAAATGCCAAGATCCGATCCCTTTGGTTTGAATTCAATAAGCATGTTTGTTGCTATGCTGCTCAATTGGTCAATCTTGCAAACTTCCACAGGGTCCAAGTCCCCAAAGTCACAAGCAACCTGGTGCCTCCACCATTCAATCGCTCTGCTTCGAATGATCCCACCCCTTGTGACTGAGGGATGCGCTTGAGGTCCGGCGCACGCGGAAGTCTGGAACTGGGTATTGGGCTGAAATCTGGCTCGAGATCTGCAATGGTTGTGGAGGGGAAGAGGAGTGAGGAGGAAAAGCGGAGGAGAGGAAAAAAACTGACCGAAATCTGGAGACCCTCGCCTGGCAGGTAGAAAAATGTGGATAGGTCAACAGTTAAGTTCCAAAGGACTGCAAATTAATTTCCAAGTGCTACAGTAGTAGTTGTAAACCTACCGATTTTGGGTGCACAAAGTTGGCCCATGCCCGTACACTACTAGGCACCTACTTGCTGTGTAGCGATAGGCTTTGATTTTGTGCCTGCAAAACACGGGACACCGTGTAACCAAAACGATTAGCCTCAAGGCATCAGAACCATCACAACGAATCCCCTGGAGCTAGAAATGAAAATCAGGTGACTATGGCGACTTCCTCACAGGAGCCAATCATAGATGCGCAGCAGTTGGTGGAAGAAACCCAACACAAAAATGTCGTGGAAGTCAATTGGGATTATAAAAAATATGGTTATTTCCCACACAGGTGCCAATGTACTGCAAACAAAACATCCCACATACTACAATAGTCCAAAATCAAAACGAACCTTGCGAACATCAGCCACCCAAACTTCACGGCTGATTGCGAGCTGCTACAGCACCTTCTTGATCCTTCTTGGATCCAAGGCACATAAACAGCAAGATGGGAACGGCAAAGGCCCAGCCGATGAATCGCGTGGCATAAATAGGACGAACATCATAGGCGCGTTGATTTTGATACGCCTGACCATAGCCGACGGACATCAGACTGTAGTACCTGGGCGCGCCAGGGTGTAGCGATACAAGGTGGGAGTTTGAAACCCGACGAGAGAAACGGGTCTCTCTCTCTCTCTCTCACTTTCTTTTTGGATATGTATAATACATAATATACAACGACTTTATGTAATTACAATTAATTTATTACTAACCATTTCTTATTCTTATTAGTTATCACTATCATCATTCTCATATTAATCATCATTCTCTCCCTATATCATTGTTACATTAAACATACTGTACATGTATATTTCATTCAGCTATCCAAAAATGGTCGACATACTGCGGTCCGCAACGCAAATTGTAGGCCATGTGCGCCTGGTTCTGACAAAGAAACTGCATTTTATAACGATATCATGCGTTTACGAATCGTACATATACAAATAAATAATCGAAGGAAGTTTAGAAGTCACACTTCCGACAAAATGGACATGACAAGCAGAGATGCGAAGAGTCAGAGAACAGAAGAGAAGAGAAGAGAAGAGAAGAGAAGTGAAGAGAAGAGAAGAGAAGAGAAGAAAGAAGATCAAAAAGAGAAAATCTCAGAAGAAAGAAGATCCAGGTGCGCGCAAAGGTAGGAAAGTCGCGAAACACTCTGTTTTTCAAATGATTTGTGGCTCCAGAGGGTCGAAAAGTAGGCTCGCTAAAGCGGCGGGTGCGGAGCCAGCTGGCCAAATGAGAGATGACAAATTGCACGCCGTTGTGGCGCGAAGCACATTTCGAAGTCAAAATGTACAAAACAAACCAGGTTCGGACCACTTTTGGAAGTTGAGATGTCGAAAAAGTGCACGCCGTTGTGGCGCGAAGCACATTTCCAAGTCCAAATGTACAAAACACCTCAGCTTCGGAGCACTTTTTTGAAGTTGAGATGTCGAAAAAGTGCACGCCGTTGTGGCGCGAAGCACATTTCCAAGTCAATATGTACAAAACACGCCAGGTCCGGAGCACTTTTTGACGTTCAGATGTCGTTTCGCGTGGCAGGCGCAAGGGATTGTGCACCTTGTCAAAAGTGAGCAAAACCTGAGGGTTTTGTGGCAATTCCAAAAACGATCGCAGGCGTGGGACATTTGAAGAGGATCTGCAAAGATGCATTTTCCGTGGCAGGTGCAGTACAAGAGACATGTTCATCAGAGCTGTTAGGAGCTGAGGGCGCTGATTTCCTGAGAGGGATTGCATTTTGGAGCATCAGATCTTCAGGTTTGCTGAGATGATTTTGCGTGACAGGTGCAGCACTTCGTATGACCTGGTATCACTTTTTCGTGGCAGGCGCAGTAGTTGAGGCAGGTGGAGTCGAAAAATCACAAAACGCAATGGTACGAGGCCGTGAGCTCTGCACTCAACTTTCCATTTGTGAAGGAAGTCTCGCCGAATTGCTTCGTTTTTGATGTTGTCAAGTTCAAAAATTCAGGAAGTCTCGCAGAACTGTTTAGTTTTTGATGTTGTCAAGTTCAAAAATCCAGGAAGTCTCGCAGAACTGTTTAGTTTTTGATGTTGTCAAGTGCAAAAGTTGAGGAAGTCTCGCTGAATTGCTTCGTTTTGGATGTTGTCAAGTTCAAAAATTGAGGAAGTGTCGCAAAATAGCTGCGTTTTCAAGCTTGCAGATAGACAGATTGATAGATAGATACATAGACAGATGGCTAGATAGAAAAGAAAGAAAGATAGATAGATACACAGGAGGATAGACAGACAGACAGACAGACAGACAGACAGATAGATAGATAGATAGATAGAAGGATAGATAGCTAGATAGATAGATAGATAGGTAGCTAGATAGATAAACACATAGATAGATACATAGATAGATACATAGATAGATACATAGATAGATAGATAGATAGATAGATAGATAGATAGATAGATAGAGAGACAGAGGGATAGAGAGGTAGACAGATAGATAGGCTAATAGATTAGGTAGGTAGGTAGGTAGGTAGGTAGGTAAATAAGTAGATAGGTAGATAGATAAATAGATAAAAAGATAAATAGATAAATAGATCAGGTACATAGACAAACAACTACAACTACAACAACAGCAACAACAACAGCTACTACTACTGCTACTATTTCTTCTACTACTACTACTACTACTGCTGCTGCTGCTACTGCTGCTACTGCTACTGCTACTGCTACTGCTACTGCTACTGCTACTGCTACTGCTACTCCTACTACTACTACTACTACTACTACTACTACTCCTCTACTCCTACTGCTACTGCTACTACTACTACTACTGCTGCTACTACTACTACTACTACCAAATCTGCAACTACAATTACAACTACACTAAATTGCACTGCGCTACACTAATTACACTGCAGCACACTACAGCTACAAATACACATGCAACTACACTAATTACGTTACATTGCGCTACATCTACAACTGCCACTGCAACTACAAGTACAGCTACCACTGCATTGCGCTACGCTACGCTACACTAATTACAATACACTACAACTACAACTACACTACTTTGCACTTCACTACTCTAGACTACACTACAGTACACTACAATACACTACAATATACTACACTAATTACACCACACCACAGCTACAACTGCAACTTCAACTGCAACTACACTACACCAATTACGTCACATTAGAACTACAACTTACAAATACAACTCCACTACACTAAAATACAACTACAACTACAACTGCACTACACCACACTACATCCAGCAGTTGTGGTGAGGTGACCACTGCAACCATTGCAACCACTCAAAAAAAAACACAACTCCAACCAGCTTTCGGACCATCAGTGGATTCGCTCTGCCATCCGTGAGTCACAACAACCAACCTCTCCTATAGGTTTCCTATTTTTGAAACTTCCGCCACCCTTGTGCGGTACTACTGGTATAGTATAACCATATGTTTTTCTGTAATTAGATCATATATAAATACATAAATACATACGTACGTACGCATGTACATACATACAATACAGTACATTACAGAACAGTACATTACAGTACATTACAGTACATTACAGTACAGTACATTACCCCTGAACTTACCTTGCATTACATTACATTACGTTACCTACCTAAATAATCATACATTATCATGATCATTTATACATTACATACTTCTTATACATACATGCATGATGAGTCCAGTCGAAAAACATGCACACACTCTTGGAATTGGAAGGATGACCGTGACTTCCAAGGCACGAAATCTTCACCGAAAACTCGATCATACAAACATGTGAGATCACCTCAGCGCAATCATTTTGGCAGCATACAAATCACCTATTTGTCACCTATTTGTCATCTAGCAACAACGGCAAAGGGTAGTGACTTTGGAACTCGTTGCAGTGGTCCGATCATCGCGTCATGGAATTAAGTGGACAACCATTCCTGGGAAACATGTTGAACAGCATGTTGACAAAAAAAGGGTCATGTTGGGCCAATGTGGGGTTATACTAGATTATCATTTACTACAGATCGCCACCCCCTAGGTTATTTGTTCAAAGGTTCACTCTGATCCAATCCCTGCACAAGGTTAAGCCTATTCAAATACCCAACCAGTGTCTGCCATCATTGTCCACTTTTCTTGCTCTTGACGCTTCACATTTCTTGGGGGATGTCTTCTTGTTGTTCTTGTTGTGGATGTTTGCCTGCCCTCACAAGACTCATCATTTCTTCGACCCCGGCCCCGGTTGGTTGTGGATAACACATGGGAATATCTACATATAGTACTGTATGTATATCTATGTATATATATATATATACGTATTATGTATATATATATATATGGGTTGCCGTCAACCTGCGTGGCATGACGTGACCGATTCGTTGCAGGGGGACAGTACTGGTTGGGTAGGGTTGGTTAGGCATTAACTACCTTAGAAACTGCGTACGAGTCACGAGTGCACGCAGGTTCCTGCAGATCAAAATGTGCGGTACGGAACATGGGATGATTCTGATCCCTAGGCAATTATCAAATATTTGTGAAGTAGATAATCTATTCTGGTATCCTTACACCTCAGGTCATTCAGGGATATTCGTTTTCTATATAACTTGTATGTACACTTTGTACATCTTTGTACTGCGCAATGTGGCCCCACAGTAGCATTCCAGCCCGAACTGTTGTTGGAAGCACAACCATCGTTTGTCATATTTTTGGCTATCTTGAATCTTCATCATGGCAGCGAGCCTTCGAGTACACCACTCGACGAGATTGTAGACTGTGACCAACATCAGTGGAACCATCAAAACCTCACAGGGCTGAATATGAACAAATCTTCTTCAAATTTCCTTAGGTGTTTGTGACTGTGAAAAAATGTGAAAAGTATGCAAACAGAGAGTCGTAAGTTATCATCCTTCTTCCTACTCGGATAACAACCAAAATAACGAGTAGGTCACAGCCAGTCACCCGCCTGATGGCTATTGTCGTGTGGATCAAAATCCACCCAAGGTCAGGGTCTCCCCCGGTAGATGCCGGGACTATCCTATGGTGTGGAGGTCTTCCCTAATTTTCAGTCATGGCACATATCGTGCAATCGAAAAGAGCTCCATCTCATCCTGCCCAAAAGCAATGGATAGTTTGATGCTATAGAACATAATATACGCATGACATGATACTATACTATTATACCTAGACGTATTTTTTCCCCTTAATGGTTTGTAGTTCCCATGTGTATTCATGTTTGTCGGCTCTTCTCAGGTGTTCTGGGTGTTTTGTCCAACAAAGTGTTCTCCTGATCATGAGTGGTCGGGCATATCCCAAATCATCAAACCAACCTCCAAAAATGTATCAAATGTGCTTGATCATTCAATGTATTAATAAATGGTTCCATTTTATCCTATGTATATATACATACAATATGTCAATGTAAAAAAACAGCTTAGTAGTCTGTGGTACTGATATAATATCTATATATATATATATACACTACCATGGATCCTCAATGGGATGATTAAGTCCGAAAAAGGACTCTTGCATAATCTTGCCATGCTTTAGTACAATGTATATATATATATATATCATAGTATATGTATACGTATGTATATAATACATATACGTATATATATATATGTCTTTCCAACTATAATATTAATAAAAGTGAAGACTCAATTTCTTTCTTCGTGAAATCACAATGTCGGTTGGGTCCTCATTGTAGGCCTGGTACGCAGGGCCAACCTCGTTTTTTTTAGGCGCCCGAAAGATCGGTTGAAATGCAATGGGCAAATCGCATCCACAAACGACAGGTACCAATGGTAGCAGCGATCAACAAGAAACGCCTTCCGGTGCTCGTGCTGAATGTACGTAATTTGTATGTAACATATATATATAATATTATAGACTATATATAGAGGATAGATATAGATGAACAAAACAATTCAAATTACATCAAACTACAGTCCCAGCACTGTATAAGAATTCCTTGTATAAGAAAATCAGGGGCTGGATTTATTTCCAGCGTATATAGATGTTTTGTGGAATGCATATGGAAATGGGAATTAAGAAATTGAGGGATCCTGGACTCTTCAAGCCTAAGATTTGGATATTTGCGAAGAAATTGATAGGCACAAGAGCAGGGGGAGGCTCAGAAAAACAGTTCGCGCTCTGGAAAAACAGACAAACAACCTCTTGCATGGCTAAGAAATTGAGGGACCTTCGACTGATTAAATTAAATACACATACATACTGAAATACATGGGCCCTTTCTGTTACGAAATTAAGGGACCCTAGCCATCGGCAACCAACATTCTTATATAGCGCTCGCCCTGTATATCAAACTACAATCTGAGAAAAACCCACACATGCACAAACAAAATGCTGTAATATGCTGCAATATCATGTCCCCAACAACCTCCAGTACACGACAAAGGTAAAAAATATACGTACAAATGTGGGGTATCGCCCCCACAAGTTATCGAAGTCATGTTGAAGAAAACCTGATCACAGTGCTTTGGTTTTAAACCACTGCCGTGTAGACCCGACCGTTGATCAAAGAGCAGTCCAGCCCAAATGGGTCAGGACACAGGAGGAAATCTGGAAGAAGGTTAGCCTGCATTCATGAAAAACTCAGATCTACCAGCCAAACATTTCTGATACTGATAGAACTCTGATTCGGAAAGATGAAACGGACCACTTTCAAAGGGTCTATTAGATCAGTAGGTGTCCGCTGGCCCATGCTGGTTTCAATGGTTGGCAATGATTGAAATCCCAAAATCAAAACATTGTGACAAATCGTGATCCAAGAACCCTTGAAGCCCACCAAATAAACTGGTGAAATATTAGTGATCCACTGTACCCCACTTCCTAAAGCACTGATGATTTCTGGCACATTGCACCTGATGCACCATCTGGCGGTGGGTGGCCAGGATTTCCAAATCAACTGCCTTTGAATGCCTAGGAGCTTCAGAGGATATCCCAATGGCCATCCCTCAGGCAGAGCCATGATTTGTTCCTGTCTTCCATCCATGTACCCACACTGTACCCTGCAAATGGTCTCCAAACAAAGAAGAAAGTTCAAGGCTGCACCTTCCTCAAATCATCTTAAACCACTTCAAAGAGCTACAACACTTTGTCCTCGAAGCCAAGACAGAAAACTGTTGGGGAGCCAAGCATGACTTCACAGCTTCAAACATTCCAAATTCTGCTACGAATGGCAAACTATCCTGCCATATCCCGCCCATATCAGGACTGGGTCCATGTTCAACCCCAATGCCCAAGCCTTCTTTTCATTTCACGCATTCACCGAACGTTTGAAATCCAATTGAAATGCCGCTGGCTAGGCACGTTGATGCATTACGTAGCATTAAGTATCAGTTTTTAGCTCGTGATATTTCATTGATACTACTTCATTAATCATTAATCTTTAATAGCATTAGGTATCCATTTTCGCTCCAGATTTTCCCAATGATTTCCCCAATGATCCTGGTGGTTTTCGCCATGGCACGATGATCCTCCTCCAGTCGCCACGCCTTCATGGGCACCGCTGGCGCCCGCGAGGTCATGCTTGGCATGGCTGAGAATTGGCTGATTAAGGAGCCCCCCTGGCAACGAGCTAGTCTTTGGGCACTCCTGCATATTCACCCATCCAAATTATGAGGCAACGGCCATGTTGATTTACAATGGAAGCGTTCTCATTTAGTTAAGAGTTCGTTTTTTGGGCTAGCCATGGGTTTGATGGAAAGCACATGAAAACACCACACCTTTCTCTTTCAGCTAACTCGAGCACAAAGGAGCTGCGTCGAACAAAGTTCACGACTTGGCTTCACATGTCGCAGTTGCTGGTCAGTCCCTTAAGCATCCAACGTGGCCCAGACCAGTTTTGTCATACGCTTGCGTAGGTTTACAGGTGGACGTTGAAGGCAGGACCGATGGTGCTTGAATATGTCTTCCTGCATGGAACGCCGTGGTCACAGCTAAGTCAGAAAACGCTTACGGTTGGTAGACGTGAAAACACTCACTTCCAGAAGCCTCTTTCCAATGGAACGCCGGTACCCAAACTACTAAACATATTTGGTTGATCATTCACCGTTCCCATGGAACGCTGGCTTTTACTGATGCTTCAGACCTGCCCAAACCACTTGAGCAAATCCCCATGTGAACTCCGCTTCTCAAGACTACTCTTGCCAGAATCTCATGCGCAGTGTGTTTAAATTCAGACTGGAACTCCGGATTCACAAGTCAGGTTTGGACAGAAGGGTTGCATATCAAAAACTGTGGTGGAAAAGGATGCATTTATACGAGGTCCGCTACGAGGTCTATACGAGGTCAGTCTATATGGTCTGTCCAGGAGCTCGCCATGAGCTTCTGAAGCGAGATTGCTCCACGTGAGCTGGCACTTGTTGTGAAAACAATGAGCAGCTAAACATGAGAATATCTTGTTCATGTTCATTTTAATTGCATGATATTGCATGTCTTGTCATTTTGATGATCCAAGGTTTGACATGTATAATCCAATGTCTGTGAAATGCATACTAAACGCAAAAGGTACCGCCTTCACCTGAATGCTTTTTACAAGGGAACAGCTCTATTTTATACCACCGGTACCGTCTTCAACATCTGCCTGTACCATGGCTTACCACAATTTACCACTCCGTTGAAGGGGTCCAACATGACGCAACATGTACAACCTGCATAATATATCATAATATTATATACATTGATATATCTGATGGTTACAGTTGGTGCCAAGGCACCACGCTGCAGCGCATGGCACATGTGCTGCAAATAGCAAGAAGCATACCTCACAGCCACGGACCCAAGAGGAGCAGGTTGCAATTTGGACTCATTGTCCACCAAAACTACTGCAGGACCATGTTCGTTTTTACCCGGTGTCAGCCAGTGTCAGCTACATTCTATTACATTCTTACACCAGAGAAACTCAGATTGCATCAGAGCGAATGTTGTTTGTGTAGCAGTATCTATTCATGCATCGCCCAGCTGACATCATTCTGATGCATCTTGTAAGTAATTACATAAATAGACATTGATTATGGTCTCGTAGGATTATGAGTGTCTATTGAATTGCTATGCCGTGTGTTTGTTTACCCTTTACCTATGGGTGAGGGCTGCACCCTTGTCCCGCTGGAGAATGCTATCTTTATGCAACACAGCTTTGAGATGCATTGAGCATTTATCACCGAAGAGTGTGAAGTGGAGCAATTGGTTGCAATGTGGATTATCGGGATCCAGCCTAAGAACCTTTTCAGCCAAAATACCTGCAGGAGATTCACGCACCCCTAAGACTTCCGACATCTACATCTTCCAACAAAATATCAACATCTTAAGAATTTCCAAGGCCTCAAAGTGGACCCACAGCCCTCCAGATTCCTTTCAAGGGGCAGGTCGTCGTCATCAAAGTGGGCGATGATGGGCCCATGGGCCAAATGACAGCAGAGATTTCTCTTGAAACCTGGAAGCCGTCGTTCGACAAGGATTTATGTAGAAGGGATAGGAACTCGGCTGGATACCTTTCTACAAGTACATAACATATCAATCTATGTAGCTCTCCAAGTACCTATCTACCTATGTCCATATGGCTCACCTTCATACTGTTGCTACCAACAATATTCAACAATGGTATATGGGGCCCCTGGTCATCTCACCAGCATGAAGGGGATTTCCTACATTGGCTATATAAACCCATACCCTCTTTCTGGGAGAACAACTTGGGGAATGCAACAACATATGGACAATGGATCATGATTGCGCCCCCACAGTTGCAGGTGTAACTATGGCATGTGGGTCTCAACATTTTGGTCAAATTGGCTGAATTCATGGCAATTGACAGAAAAAACAAATCAGAGAAATGGTACTTTCAATATGGTCCTTTCCCAATAGCTGGATTGTCAATATTCATGTTCCAATGATGGTACACTTGTCAGATCTGTGCAGCTGGGTGTCCCAAGGACCAGCCACTCGTGGGTTTGAAGCTCAAGCCACGCCTCAACGTTTTTCGGGGGTACAAAAGCTTCACTTCAAATTCAAATACAGATGTTGTAGGTGTATATAGTATGTATATGTGTGTATACGCATATCATAATGTACATATATAATATACGTCTATAATACGTATATCATGTTAATACAAAATACGAGTAATTACTGTATGTAAATATATATTGACATATTTTGACATATTTTGACCATATCATATCCATGTGTTTAATCCACACGTACCACAATGAGATTATTGAGTCAGATATGACTTAACCACCGACAGAGAAAAAACATATCTCTTCACTATGGGATTATCAATCAACATTGGGAGGGAATGTTCTGTCCAACATCTTTGAGTCGCACTGGCACTAGAAGACTCAACATGTTTTCGGAATCACACGAAATCGCACAAGAAACCATGAAAGGTTGGATTTCGAAGCACTAAGGTCAACATAAACCTCTAGGACAACGGAACTTTCTCATGGAGTCTGCCCTGATATCACATATAGTCAGTAGAGTCCTTTCGGGCCATTTAAGTGAACCCACCCAGCTCAATCGGACAATTCACAGGCCCTAAGAGTACATGTTTAAAGAACCGGCAACATCCTGCAACATTATTGAATTCTTTTTAATTCTTGCATTGGATGCACTCGTAGTATAAGTCATAGCATCCGGATTTGGAATAGGCTGAGATTACGCCGGAGGCGAACATCTGACCCTGATCCATTGCACCATGCCCTCGGATCTGCTGGACCTCTTCTTCACATCCTCACCAGTTAGCATGTTGAAACCATCGTTGAGGATCACAGCTGACATTGGATCCTGAACGCTGCAGTTGTAGCTATGGTGTGTTTTGGATTGAGGCACCGCATTTGACTCCATCTTCCTCTCCAAGGCTGTCCTTGCCGTGTAAAAAGAAAATCACTACCTATTTTTCTGTAAGGCGGGTATTCCCCCTTCCAAACCAGATGTTGATAGAACAATAGAATCAATAGAACAACTTAACAAGGCATCTACATCTTGGACTCATGACCCAATCTGGGCTTCCAGCTCCCAGTTTTGGCTGTAAATACACAAGGGGTGTGAATGCCTTGGATTGTACCCCTCCACATCCTCCCTGCGACCAGGATCGTTTTCTCTGGAGTCATCCACATGGAAATGTCGATAGATGACCCGCGAATCTTCCGCTGCCTAGCATAAAAGTTGGCAGGCGACGCATATCCAAGGTCGTTCTTCTTCAATTTATGTTTATCTTCAATCTTTGAACATATTGGAACGATTGGATGGAGCTGCGAGTCAAAGCCAACTGTTTAAGAAAAGGGAACTAAAATGATCTAAAATGTACTAATTAAATCTAATTAAAACATATCTAAAATGTTCGGCATAATCTATATCATTGATCTTCAGAAGTTTTGGGGCAAGGTGCTTCAGCACATCAGGCTTTCGGCGCCGATGGAATTCGACCCATTTGATCCAGTTGATCCGTTCTGATCCAGGGAACTGCCTGTAATGGAATATAGCTGACATAGCCATGGAAACCATTACCATAGCTGATCTATTTAACCTGAATATGGAAACCAGAATATAGCTGATCTATAGATTTTCTGTCTATTCAACCTGCCTATTTACCATAGCTATGTTCTCCCGCCTTCGCCAAGAAAAAACTCGATGGTCTGCTGCCAGTATCCACCACCTCATTTTTGATGGGCCGGAAACACGGCCGACTGGAAAAAACATTGCAACAATAGTTATAGTTATGATAATAGTTAAGTTATATAGTGTTATATAAGCATGGTATAACATGTTATAACCCGGCAATCATATGTAATCATAGTGCTACATGTAATAAACATGCGGGTAATACTTAATGGGGGGAGTTGTAACCAACAACATTAGTGATCATTAGTGGATGTGTATATATATACCCTAAGAGTCCAAGCCCGATAGAAACAAAGGTGTTTAACATAACCCCGTTTGTCAAGACAGGGTTTGTGAGAGACGTGGCTCGGGATGATGCAGCCGATTTGTTTTTTTACCCGAGATTTGCCAATCATCACCGGTTGATGTTCAACCTTCGCCGTGCCACCGCATTGAACCTGGGCTGGTTGCAAAAGCAACAGCTAAGCAACATGATGAAGAAAGACAGAAGAAACACAAAAGTGAGAATAATTGTCAAGAAATAATAGAAATCACAAGTCCAACATGAAAAATGTTAATACCGAGGCACCTTTTGATCTTCCAGCATGTAGATATGATCCTGGAGAAGGACTGTAATTTTTAACAAAGACATGGTCACTTTACACTTGATGCAAGGTGACCCCCAAGAAAACTTGATCGATGTATGTTTTGCATGTCCCATGCAACTGGTTGGGTTTAGCAAACCCCACTCCTTAGCCGGCTGCATTTGATGATCCAAGAGTAGCGGTGGCTTGGGTGTGCCCTCAAATATGTTCCTAGAGCCAGTCAAAAGATCAGCTGTCCTCCCCACCCTGCATTCTGCACAACAAATATTTTGCCAAATGATCAATGTTAAACGCCTTTGCTATCGAGCTTGGAATCTTAGCAATTAGGATACACATTATTTAGGTTTGCATGCTGAAGATCAACATGAAGTAAAACAATAATGAAATAGTTAACTAATATAAGATCATAGATACTATAGCACCCAGATCATGCCAAGTAGCTCTTCAGCCAAGCCATGGAGTCTTCATCCACGAATCCGTGGTGAAATCTGATGTTGACACCTTAGCCCAAGGGGGCCGGGACAGCTGGCAAGTGAATATAAAACATGCATGATACACACAACATGATATGATACGTACGTTATAGTTCACTTTCAAACACAAAACAGTGCAGCCACATGGAAGATAGATAGATAGAAATAAATAATTATGATAGAAATAAACTTGAGCGTAGGCACGTCGATCCCGGCAAAATTTCAGGAGATGAAATAGGGCCTTGGAAATCCATCAATCTATCTAAGCAGTCAAACAACAATGAGTATTTTTTTGGTTTACTGCCAAGAGGTGCTGTAGTCAGTTCCATATCAGATCAGTGTCAACCCTTGCAAACTCATTCGATAACAAATTTTATCAACTGTGTTTTTCTGGGAGCAATCACAACTATGTATAAGTCACATACATGGATCGAGTTTTCATATTTATCTTATACGCATTTGTGAAAGAATTGGGGCCAAGATTCATGGTACTTTGGGCGCATAATCCATTCCTGCAAAGAGCTCCTGGTGAAGCGAGCCATATGGGCCGTGGGGTTATACATCCTATGCTGTAGCCTATATATGCACACATTTCATCTCCGACAGCAAGATGGGTCAGTCGACAGCCTGATAGAAAGCTTGGCGAGCGCACAGTACAGATGCAGAAAGTTGCGGCCATCGTCGAAGATAGCCTGCGCCTCTTCTTCCGTCCTGGTCGCTTGTGAGCCCCCCAAACTAGATCAAACAAGCATACAGCATACATTGTTTGACGTTTCGAACAGTTTGCGTTTTGATCTGTAGACTTTCGGCGCTCGCAGTCTTTCCCCCCTTCCCCGATACCAGTTCTGAACAAAAATTATGCGACACTTGTTGGCTATGAACTTTAAACGATATTTACGTATTAAGTATCAGTTCTGTCAAGATTCAAATACCGACCAGTTTTTTCAATTCGTCCCAGAAATCTCGAAGCATACCTCCTTAGTATGGTCAGCAATGGTTTTCAAAACAGTTAAACTAGCTAACGATGCCACAAAATATTGCGCTATATAGACTGTTTGTAATGATCATCTTTAGCGTAAACGCTGCAAGGCATCCATTATAGTTATTACATACTGCTCATGCATCGATATCGTTGATAAATGCAGAATAGAGTCAAAGCCCCAGCGATGACCAGAAATCTCTGAGGTGCAAATGAAGAGAACTGTGGGTTTTGGCTGATTTCATGCACTCTGTGCGACAACCATTCGAGTACACACCTGCCGTTGTACGCCTTGAGCGTGAAGAGGACGTCCCCGTTCTTTTTGTAGAGCTCAGCTCATCAAACAGCACACATGCGTGCACATGTCCAACGAAATCGTTCCAAAAAAAAGACAGTGAAACTGCAAACAAATAATTAACTATTTTGAGTTCCATCTTGGTCAAAGAGTTACATCACAATGCAATGTGAAAGTCAAATGTCAGTTGCATACAGTGCAACACGCTTTTTAAACAAAACTAGGCAGTCAAGAAGCCATTGACTCCCTGAATTCGGGCTGTGAGCAGTATATGCGGTGGAGCCTACAAAAGTCTTTGAACTCCCGGTGGGCCCTTGCCAGCAGAAGCCCCTTCGAAGTCAAAGTCGGATCTCCCCAAACCCCCGCAGATAGCAGCAGATGCCTGCAAAAACACAAAACGATATGAAACGTCAAATAAAACGTTGGATATCATTGCAGCAGAAAAAAAAAACTGCAGGGCAAGATCATGCAATAACTGCTGCACACAATTCAAAACAAAACCATCAAACGCAGCTAAACGACATTGCCGAACCGTTTGCATCAAATAGCAGGCCAAGATGAAAGACATGCATCAAACACCACCTAATCGTTGTGGGTTGGAAATTCTTGAGCCCCACCAAAGGGCCTTAGATGGGATCAAAAATCGGCGCCTACAAAGATGATCAACATATCGCAACAAACATGAAAATTAGACTAGTATAGAATAAAAATTTTGGCCACTATCGATCTCTCCATGTGTAAGGAAAGTAATTTCAAAAGTTTAAACCGGTTAACATAACATGTGGACACATATCCAAAAATGTTCAAAAAACATATATTTACAATGACTGTAAGCGTCAGATGCCATCATGGGGCAGCCGTTCCTCACACCAGTCATCAAAGTCAAACGGCTGATTGACCCAGTTGCTTGAATCGCCCAGGTTCCAATAAAGATCGCTCCACTGACCAGCAGACAGCGCTCTACACCAGTGACACATTTTTATTCCATTCCATGATGTCTCCCGAAAACGGAAAACTTTCTTGTGCCATGACCAGTCCCCCCGGATCTCTGTCACAGCAAACTTGTCGTTGTTTGGTGTAATGCTTTGCCCACCTTTGGATGCCATTTTTGGCGGTAAAGCTTCCCCATAAACACCTGTCAATGGGTGAACTCCCTCCCACAAAGTGTTCATCGACCAGCAAATCCTCCTGTACACTGTGTTCAGTGTGTAGTAAGACCATAGCTGGGATTCCGCGATGGTGAAAAGCAAAAACCGTGAAGCACGAACACTGGATGGTCTCCACAAAATTATATTCATGAATATCCCAACCAGCTGTACCACCTTCCCATACTGTGTGGTTAGCCGAGCAGAGTCCCCGAACAAACCAAGTGGAATACGCGACCAATCGTCGCATCGCTCAGCCCAAGTTTCCCCAAAGCGCGCGTGATGCTGCCAGTACTCGCGCACATGTTCTGCTGGCACTGACAGCTTTGCAGGCCCGAATAAAAAACTGACGATGGAGTGCGGGTCAAGAAAAGGCCATTTCTCTCTTCTAAATTTAATTTCGCCATCATTCAAATCTTTGTACTGCACTGGAATCTCAATTTGTTGTATTTCCTCATGATGTTCAGAGCGTGGTAGAATGAAACCAAAAGTTATAAGAAACACAACAGAAATTCAGGTAACAAAAACCAAAGTTCCAAACAAAAAACAAAATATAACCCAAGTTCAAGAGTCAGGTCCACCCTTGAAATTTCGCCACCAGTCCCGCGCATTGTTCCTGCCACTGGCACTACTCAATCTCCGAGTTGCTGGATGTGCAACTTGCTGACTGTCCTGGGCAGCACATGATGGAGCGGGCTTAAATGGCAAATTTGATTCAAAACACAAACAGATTAGCGAGGTTTGTGCGTGAGTGTTTGAGCGGGGGGCAGGGCAACAATGCATGTATTCAGCTTGGTATACTGCGCCATATCTTAAGCCATATCCGTGGAAACGAACACTCATGAGGTTAGTGTTTGATCCCTTTTAGTTGTTGGGTTTCAGCAAGGGCGGAAACAATAACTTCAAATCCATTTCGTAAACACAACATTATTAACTAAATGAAGGACATACATGCAGATGTATATGATATTTTGAATACCCAACAAACATAGAAATTGCGTGAAAAATGGCGTTTCTAAATTGCTGCACAAACATTTGCTAGTTGTGGAAGCTTTCACAACGTAAGAACAAGCATTCGGGTATCATGTATAGGTCAAAATTGCGCGTACGCTTATCGCAGTTGGCACCAGTTCCACACTTATCGCACACATCGATCTATACTAAGTGCACGCGCATCTGATCGCATGTGTGCGTGTGTGTGTGTGTGTTTGCGTACGCGCGTTGTTGTGTAATATGCATATGTGCGTATGTTAGGAATGATCAAGTCAACAAGTCAAACCAGCGCATGAACACATGTAATGAAGCACAAACAGTGACCAATAACGATGCACCCAACCCTCCCAGACTTCAAGGCATTTCTTAGGAAGGGTGACAGCGCAGTAAATATGTTTCTGCATGGCGAGCGTGCAAAAAGGACATTGCGACAAGATCTAGCCCAAAGGTTCATAGTCAAATGCCAAGACTGAGAGAAGGAATGCCAGCAGCATTGATGGACACCACCTCTTGATGTGTAAGCTGTATCTTACCCACTTGTGCGGGGAGTTGCACATGTTGAACCACAAGCTTTCTGGGTACAGTTGGGGACAGACCATAGGGTGTCGGCATTTATATCATGTCATACAATAGTATGATCATATGCTACAAATACAGAATGGCAAATAGCCGCGAGCTACTCAGTTGGGAATACAACATTATCATAATATATGATATGATCGATTGTCTGATATTGAACACTGACTGGCACCATAGAATAGGTAAGTGCTGCTATACAAGTTCTAGAAATACAAGTTCTTCAAGGTATTGCTCTGGGATGATTTTGACACCATCTAGTTCATGATCGATATGGGTTGAGTTTACCATGACCCAGGTCATGACTGTGAGTGACAATAACAAAATTTAATGTACTAGTTTTGCAAAACAATGACCCCAAAGCACAGGTGTGTAGAAAATCTGTGCCAGTTCTTTGTATTTGTACTGTTAGTATTTGTGTTTCTATTTCTAACTATTTCTGATCTTGAGTACAGAAATTGTACATCTAAAACCAGCCAATGGTTGTGGTCAGCCATCCATATGATTCAACCAGGGATTTGATGATTCTGGTAACTATTTTTCGATCTTTACAATACACATTACTTTGTGAACTTTGACCCTTGTGGTTGAGAATCCAAAATACGCTGCAGTACCTTGGGTGCCCATATATCCTAATCTTAGATTATATGTTTTGTAGTTAGCAATAATATATATTATATATAATATGATTTTATTATATAAAACATAGAGTCACTGAAACTTAAACCACCAAGGACTCCTGCTAAGTTCAAACATTCAGCTTCATGATGGCATAAGTCAAGTAAAAAAATGTTGATATATATAATACGTTCACTGATTTTTCACTAGTATATCATAGACTTGTCACATCCCATATCATCTTCGGAGTTGCCTCCTGTTGGCCGCCAAGGTGCCATTGCGTGGGCTCGAAGGTGTCGCATAGCTTTGCTCACGCTCGAAGCCTTAGCAACTTCCAGATCGCTTGGGTGGGATGAGTCTGCAAAAATAATTTGATATTTTTTGGGGTCATGTATTTCGATTTGTTTTGAATCTTGGAACTGAAATCAAAATTGACATTTGACATATGTGTTCAACTTTCCAAAAATGATCGAAAGCGGTATTCAGTTTAGGCACGCCGCTGCTGACATCATCCATAGCAGTATGAAGTACAGCTGATGACCCTGCATGATCACAATCATTTTGACCTGCGTGGGGATTGAGCAACCCAGTCCATTCATCATGATGAGATTGCAAAACCTCAGGGGGCAACCAGTTGTCTTTGCGATGCAATTATGATTTTGAAATATTTCATAAGGTCCCTGATTCCAAGTCATGGAACGGCGTTCATTTTGCACATGTGGTTCCACAAGAGGTCGCAGGATGGTATGCACATAATTGGCATAGGGTGCGTGTTATCACACACAGATCCTCTTCGTCAATCTTCGTCAAGCCTTTGCGGCATCCAAACATCAAACGCATGAATCGTCAATCCCAGAATTCAAATGATATATCAGGGGTCTACATTAAGCCATGATGGTGCTTCAGATTGCATGACCCCCAGGAACCTGCCATCTATGGAATTAAAGGGATCATATGTGCAAACAAACTAATAGATGTAAATCAAAAGTCGGTTTCAATGTTTTTTTTTGACCGTGTTACTTCTTAAGGTCTTAATCTTGCCAGCCAGATAATTATCACAACCATTGCAGGTTCCATCCCTGGCATGCAGGGCACCCTAACACAGCCAACGGAGCTACCCGATCAAAATCAAAATAGGCAGAGGTCCTTCGTTGAAGACCATGCCAGTCAAGTCAAATCATTTCAAGTTGACCCGGGTCAGGAAATCTTTGTAATCGGATTCAGCCTTCTCACAAGCTGCAATACTTTGATCCAGATCGCCAACCTTGGAGCTAGGATAAAATGAAACAAGAAAAAATGACATCATGTTAACAGTGTGATGTGAACCATTTTGGTGAAGTTGTTTCCAATCACCATGTCCATGCGCATTGTAGTTAACTGACTACTAAGAAACTTTTCGAAGATCAATGTCGGATTGCAGCTGATCCCTCTTTTTCACCAAAGCCTTCCAGCTGCTGTCGAAGTCCTTCTCAATCCAATTGCGGAGGTTGGGACACCTGCCAACGACAGCGACGATGTGACACTGGGGGCCCAAATTCGGGCAGTGGGGCTGTGGGGCTGGTGCTTCTGGCGCCATCCTTTCCGTTGCACCAGTGACAAAACAAAGATCATTGATATCATGGATCATTGACATATGAATTGCAATATTTCTTAAGAGACTTGACCTGGCTTGAAGCATATTAAGCATAATTTTGTAAGTTTTGCGCCATGATGGTCATGACTTTTTCCCAAGCTAACCAGCTTCAGGGACCAAAACCCAAGTATCCCAAAAACATTTCAGGGAAAACATGATCAAAATCGTTCTTGATGATGGTTTTAGAATCATGGGAACCACTGAGTATTACATGTCTTTGAAATTTGGTTGAGAAGTAGAAGGTTGTTTGATCATTTAATTCACTTATAGAAGCTTGGTTGGAAGAACCAATAAGGGTATAATATATATATATATCACATATCTGATGCAATAGATTTGATTGATAGATAGATCAATCTATATTATATAAAATTTATATACATGCAGCAGAAGTATATATTATATTAACAATATAGGATCGATAGATAGATCAATAGAGATCGGGGTATTATAATACATTATAATATGTTCATGATTCCTGCATGTTAGCCATGCTGATATCAACTATACTATGCCGCAGTTGCAGGTGTCAAAGCTTCAAAAAGCAATCCACAATATATAAAAAAAAACATAATTTACCTAGATCAATAAAGTGAATTAGGATTGTAGTGTTCTGTGACCTTAGTTCATTCCCAGTTTCGAAATCTTGGATCATGTTTGGGAAGAACCATTGAGTACAATGAATAAACACTGCAGTACCATGTATCATGTATGGCACCTGTTAGAAATGCAAAGTACACAATACATGAATGATGGAAACATATATAACGTAAGAATTAATATATAGTATATTTATATTATATAATATAAAATATAATAATTATAAAATATATTATATAAAATTTATATAATATATATAATATATAATATATAAATATAATATATAATATAATATTTATATAATATATAATATATAATAATTATAATATAAAAAAAATATAGGCCTATGGGGACCTCAGCCAAGACCAACCCATGGCTCTGAGGCCCGGTCATCGCGTTGATGGTATCCACCTTCTTGGAGGCTTTCGTGATCTGGGCGCTGGCAGCGTTGACAGCCTGTCGCAGGGTCGGATCAAAACAAAGAAAGGGACCAGTTTATCCAATCATCATAGCCTGAACCCACAAGGTCGTAAACATTCTGATTTAGTACAAAATGATGCATTCCAATTCCCTGGTATTAGATCATTTGAGCTGCTGCTGAACCAGTGTTGGGAAGGTGCTTTGCTATTTCGAAGTTAGAAGGTTGGACCCAACAGTAGCCAAACTCACGAAAAAACAATCATCTTTATAACTTCATCAGGCTTTGACCAACAGTGTTGGTGTTGGGTATGCCCATGCCCAAATGCTTTGATAGATGGTAAGGGTACAAATTTATCAGTATACTCGTACTTGAAATGCAGTGAAAGATCGGTGTATTTCATGCACCATATCCTGAACCCACTACCCATAATAATTTATTTAAATGCTAGTATACTTATATACTACATGCATGATCAATGCATGCGCTGCCTCAGCAATGATGTTGTCATAGCAGTTGTTTGTGCTAACATTTGATAACATGTAAACTATCTTGCCTACACCTGCTGCACACATATAGTTGCAGGGTTACCCAAGGAAAAACACGAAAACACATGCCTTCTTCGCTTTGGAAATCATCTCGTTCTCCTTCTTTTGCAACTCTGCCTTTTCTTTCTTTTCGCGCTTCTCCTGTTCCTTTCGCTCCCTTCTGTCCCTTTGCTGTTGCGTTTCCTTCTTTTCCTTCTTGTCCTTCTTACCTTTGCTTTTCTTGCCTTTGCTCTTCTTACCTTTCTTGCCCTGAATCTGTTCAACAAAAGAATGCAAAGCAAAACATTTCCAATCCGGAAACCAACCAAGAAAACGGTTGCGAACAACTTGGAAAAACTTGCTTTTGAGATGGTGACGTTTTAATTGAAACTGCACACGCACGTGTTCATGTGTTCATGTGCTGCCAGTGTGGAACCTTCTTGCCATCGTCTGAGCTTGAGCTGCTGTCTTCGTCCTCCTCAGATTCATCACTGCTGCTGCTGCTGCTGCTACTTGAAGTTTTCTTTGACCTCTTTCCACGCTTTTTGCCCTTGGAAGCGGCCCTCTTCCTCTTATGTTTCCCACCACCAAACTCGCAGTCCGACCCTTCGTCTGCTGCTTGAAACAAAGATTCCATGATCGAGTCTTCCCGCTCTGAAACTCCTTCGGAGTCCCAGACCAAAAACAGACGAAGTTCCTGGCGGCAAACCCCTGGGATTTGCAAGAGAATATTTCACTATGAGAGATGAGTACTCTAGAGACAGTAAGTTGTATATATTTCAAGAATAAACAGAACAATGATATGATATAATGGGAGCTAAGTGTTAAAATATTCCCTGCAAAATGCACTGCTATAATTTTACTCAATTTAATCACATATGATCTGAACATGCACATGTGGAACATGATACAGTGTGTGCATAGTGTCTCCAGTTAAACACGGCATGGTCCATACATAGTCCCCCACTAAATTCTACATGGCCTCGTTTCCATCTGCATCTGGATGGAACTTCGTTTGTTTCTCTTTGACCTCCGCATCTGCGAGCTTTGCGTCGCAGATATGGTCTGCAACCTTTTGATCCTTGTACTTCTCTGCCACCTGGGCTCGCGTCAACCAGACCCTTGCTCCGTGGGACGAAGTGGTCGTCTTGTGGCTGATGTTCTTGAAAAGGCTAGAGGTCTTCCACTCCCCCTTGCAGGCTTCCCAAGCGTCTCTGAGGACTTGTAGCTTCTGCTGACCTTAGAAAACAAAGCTGTGTGGTTGATGTGTTTTTTGTCTTCACCATAATGATGGTCGCATTTGCATTGAAACACTGCATCATATAATGTAGGTACTACCAGTTTCGACACATGATCACTTGGGGATTTTTGTAAATGGTGGCATGATCGGCTCTGCCCCAGAAAATGTGGAATACTGCACTTTACTGTACAAAGCATACCCATGGAAAAACATATGTTCAAGCAACATGTTTTAAGTAAACACTGAAATGCACCACAGGCTACACACTTGGCATCAACAAATCTTACATTGGCATGTGCATGCACAGTAGAACAGACCTGCATCAACCAAACCAAGACACAATACTTTGCACACTTTCCAGCTCTTCTGATCTCAACCGGCGTCCTTCTGCCTTGGCTCTTAAGTCAAGTGACCATATGCAGTTAAAAACATAAGACCTTAGGGAAGTAAACCAATCATATGATGCAGGACGTGCACACATGAGTAAACTCACGCGCAGCTGCATTATAATTTTAATTTATTAGTCAGATTTTAAAGCTGCCCAAACACAAATGACATTCAGTAGCTGCAGCTAGCTCCTAAAACAAACAGTGACCCAACTCATATGGCCTCATTTGAAAAACGTTGACCTCATCACACATATACATGTAAAAAAGGTCACCTAGAAAAGTTTGACTTCCAAAATGTTCCAGCACTGTGATGCACATCACACATACAACTATTCTTCTCTTATATGTTGTACGTTGTTTGGAAGATCTCGTTCTAGAAGTCTACACACAAGAGCATGATGTAACATGTATAAACTATAATATTAATGCTAAAATATAAACAAGATCTTTTGGTTGTTGATTGATCGGTAATCCTTTACATGCGCTATGGTGACTATGTTTTAGTATACACGCAAAATCAACACGACGTACATATTTGCTGACAGGGTGCTTCTAAGCGATCGGCTAAAGCGCATGTAGCGTGCGTGCATCGCTTTTTGCTCAGGGGTCTTTGCCTTTTTCTTCTTCTTGCTGCCAGCAGACTTCTGGGGTGGGGGCTGCTCTTGGTCTTCTTGTTCTTTGTCGGAACTTTCATCCTGCATATCGATATCCAACCAATCACCAAACTCCGATGGATTGGAAAACGAATCATCATCAGGAAGTGGAAATTCCTCATCCTCTGAGTCAATGGGATTTGCTTCGGGAGGTGGTGGGCTCTTACCAAGCTGCTGGTGGGTTTCCGCCCGGTGCATGTGGTTCTGTTCCTGGGACTTTTGCACAGCTGCTTGCCGTCTTACACTTGTTGGGGTCGTGGTTTTCAAGCCTGGCAACGACGGTGGTTCGTTATCCACTTCAGGTTTCACCAGTGTAAGAGGTGGTGCAGGAGGGGGCTTGGCAGCAGGCTTGGCAGCAGGCTTGGCAGCACCCTTCACTGCTGTTGCTTTGGCAGCTGTTGCTTTGGGGGGCTGCACGGGTGCTATGTAAAGCTGGGTGGCATCTGTGGCAGGTGTTGGGGGCGCAGGCAATGAATCTCTCTTCTCAGCAGTAGCGGGAACTTGCTGCTGCGGCGAGGCAGGTTGGCTCTTAGGTGTCTTCTTAGATTTCTTCTTGCCATTGCGGTTCTTTCCTTTGCGCGTGCTCTTCTTTGGCTTGTTCCCAGTACATGTCGTTTGTGGGGACTGGGTGCTATTGCCACCAGTGCCGAGATCCTTCTCACTTTGTCCCTGGTCCAAAATGGACTGTTCAGCCACTGCATCACTGAGTGTGGGGGCCGTGCTGGATCTTCTGATCCTGTCTTTGGGTGTGACTGGAGAAGCCACTGCCTGTGCGTACATTGCCCGTTGCTCTGCAAGACCTCTCAAAACATTTGCCTTTGCAGCCTCATCTGTGGCAGCTACTGTTGCGTCGCTTTGCCCTCCTGGTGTGTAATGCATGTCAGATCAGAAAGGATTACAGATTGTTTGAGCAAATTGGAAACTTATAATATAAAAAAGAATATGTCGTATCAATATGTCGATCTACCCACCAGAACTGCTGAAGGTCTATGATATTATGACACATGTGCACTGTGTTAAATCCGGGACAACGATATCAAACAAAAAACAAACACATTAATAATATAGGTTACAACCCAATGTATGAGTAGTTGGATTGCGGCATCAGTTGATTCCAATATGCGATGGCCATGAAAACCTTAAAGAACATGCATACATACAAAAAAGATTGAACACATATATTAGAGGATAATGCTATCAGAAACAAACATAGCAAAGTCAACTCAAGTAAAAGTGGTAAATCATCGACCATCCCAACCAAGCAGAATATCTTAAAATGTTCAGATTGGGTGTGGGGAAAGGGGAAAAACAATAATTTCCAATATGGACGGGAATATTGATTTTATAATAGTACGTAGAAAACAATTTGAAAACCCATTAATTTGAACAAGTACATGCACGAGGCAAGATGAATGCCCGTATCCCAACAAGACATACAGCTCACCACAGGGTTCAACATCACATACCAGAGGCGTGAAGCACACAATTCAACAGTACATGCCGGCATGAACCACACCAAAGACATAACCTGTACAAACTGTGTGGAATACATGAGTTCCTCAGCGCCTAGATGCATCCAAACAATTCAACGAACGTATAAAAACCTGTGTTTAGCAATGAGTCACTTAACTCAGCCACATGTATGACCCACCCACCATGTATGTTGAAACCGACTGTCCTGGTGAACTTTTTGGGCTGGGCTGGCCAGGAGGGGGAGAGGCAGTGGTAGAGCCGTCTGGGGATAATGAAGCACGGTCTCCAGCTTTTCCTTCTGAAACAACCAAAGCTGCATCTTTCAACCTTCAGCGGTTCTGATTGTGGCACTATATTAATTTGCAAGTTTGAAATGAATATTACCAACAAATGAAACAATCAAATTTGCATGGAAAGTATTCATTCATTCTTGCAATTTCTTGCATCACAACAGCATTCTGACATATTCTGATCATTCCAATGTTTGTCTCTAGAAAGTAAGACTTCGACATAGCATCACCCCAAGGGAGCGTCTCAGGTGGATGTGGAAAATTAAGCAATCTTTCCATTGTTGTATGTGCCATGTCCAGCTCTGCTAGCCTTTGTGCGCGTTGCGCCGCTCTGGCCAGCGCATCATGCACCACAGACGCCGCCATCTCTCCCATCAACGATTCCCGAACACAGCAAATCTTGCGAAACACATACATACATAATCGTTTTTTGTTTCACATGTGCATATGTGTGGTTGGCACCATTTTTGCTTGCAGCTGCACAAAATACAGCTTACTAGCATGTGAAAAAAACAGGATTTCAGGCTCACGGTATTTAAAGGGGGTTAACGGCAAACAAAGGGGGTTCACGGTAGTTTCACGGTAGTTTCACGGTACCTTTTTTCCCAAGAGCACAGGTTCCTAGATCAGGCACATACACTTTCTAACAATGCATTCCGTCCATAAGACACCATTTTTTGACTTTTCGAATCTCTGATCTTGTTTGGGCAGTCTGAGTTACATATCCCTGTTAATAGTGCATAGTATATGGTACTAAAGTTATACCACACTTTGGAATGCATGACGTGAATCCAGGCTCGAATTTGTGCAAAGTAACATGTGGCGGCATTTATGTTTGCACACCGCACATATGTGACTATCTCACATAGGTGCACAATCTGTATTGGACAGTTGTAGAAAATAGACTTGCCCATCATATTTCAAGGGCCTAGTCAAAATCACCCAGCCCAGTAGTGATGATAGGGTGATAAGCACCCTCAGCGACCTTCTGTTTCAAGAACTGTTTCAAGCTTGCCAGTCGTGCATGCCTCCATCTGAATGGAGCCTGACGCTGCCAGGCTGAAAGCAAGGCCAGAAGATGGAGACCAGCAAGGACAGACTGGGTGGGTATATATATTATATAATATAATTTTTATTATATTTTAATGATCATGTTATGTTGCGTATCACGTGCTACTTTTTGTTTTAACAAAGGCATCTAAGTTGAATGAAGGTGACTGGAGATATGTGTGACTGGATCATGTTTTGCAGGACCAGCACGTACATAAAAAGTCAATCAATACAATCCCAGATAGTCGTAATATGATCAATTACATTAGATTCAATTATATAATTCTCAGGGTTTGATCGTTCATGGCTGAAACAAACTCCTAATAAACACTGTTCAACAAGCACTGGTCCAAACATTAGCAAAGAACGATGTCACCCACGCGGAAGTAGTGACTTTCAGCATTGTGTCAAAACAATAAAGTCATTCCAGATCAGATTAAGACACAAAACGCCTTGCAAACAGCTTCAAATGCCACCCACCCCAGCCTTGATATCCTGGGCTGGACACGCACGGTATGGTGAGGACATTGGCGAAGATGCAGCATCCTCGGTGACCGATTGAAGAAGCTGATACGGGACCTAGTTGGGATGCTGAATGGGTGAAAAGGATCATCAGGAAATTGTTTCAACAGTATACAATTGTCACCATATGTGTTCAAAATGGTGGTTTCAACATAATATTGTGATATATCTGATTTCCTCAAATGAAATGTGAAATTGAAAGTCACCCGGGGAAGACCAACACCCGCCCAAGATTCCTCCATAAAAGCTGCGTGCTTTTGGAACACCAGTTTGGCAAATTTTTTGGGATAGGCAGCTGAAGCCTTCATTCCAGGCCCCCCTTGCCTTAGATCAATCAAAGATTTTGGGTGTTCAAGAATCGGGTTGGTATGGAAATAGGTTGGGACACTTTGGGAAACGTCATATCACACTGTTTATTGTAAAATGTCTTGAACTACAGACCTACTTGATCAAATTGCTCTGAAATCATAAATGATGGCACCAAGGTGCACTGAAGGTTTCCCCTTCTTGGAAATGGATTTAATTACCATTGCATTCTTTGGGTTCTTCTTTGCCTTATTGATGCGCTCTTTGTCCTTCTCGGTCAGCTTCTTCTGGAACGCAGAAAGAAACGGCCTCAGGCAGTTTCATTGCTAGGATAGAACAACGACAGGATCGAGAAGTAGCTAAACAGTAGAACTTTGTCTGGTCCAGTTCACTCTTGCAAAATATAGAGAGGAATATCACTCAATCAACAATTTAAAGACGATAAACTATAAAAGTCGAAACCGAAACAGCGTACCAAACCATCATATTATGATAACTAGTACTGTAACCAATGCTGCAGTAGCACCCCGCATTGCATGACAAGGTTCATGTTGTAAAACATAACATATATAATAATACTTATAATATATATAATATTATAACATAGACTGATATAGTAGTTGATGTACAAATTACTACAGCTGCTTTGACTAAGATTGTCATGTCACACTAGCACGCCAGGCCACACAGTTCCAAAGCATAATGTAGGCTTCTGGGAGGAATGACCATGCGCTCCCATTGGACTCAGATAACACATTGATCAGAATCAAAATTGTTGGGGACCAACAAGTGACAAGTAAGTTCATATCAAGTGCCATCACCAAAAACGAATACAAACGAACATTTGTTTCACATATGAGAAAAGCACTCAGCACCCTACAATGAGACAGAGTCCCAAAGCAAAGGTCGCAGAGCAAGAGCTGCATATTGCATGTATCCACAGGAGAGCATCAAGGACGACCGTGGCTGTTCCGTGAGCCACAGCACAGACCGAGCTGCTGCTAGCATTCCCAACAATATCCATCTTGTGGTTATCCTTACACCCGAACCCAGCCCAAAGCAAGTAGTGACAGAAGTGTGAAATTGCAGGCGTTGAAGCACAACGAAGACAAGAATCCAGTTGTGAAACCACTGGTGTAGAAGGCACACAGTTTGTATTTCAACAAGTCCCAAAATGCAGTAAACACTGAAAAGACAATTGAGACTCATGAATGACAAGGGTCGTATTAGCATCCCTAACGTACTTCAAAGCACAGTTCCCAAAGACGCGTCGGGTTGATCTCTTTGATGTTGCACGGTTGATGAACACCCAACTGGAACAGGGCGGCCCACCAATCAACATACCCAGGGGCACCAGCTTTAGCAGCTTCTTGATGATGCTGCATAGCCCAAGCCTAAGTTTGACATTGGAGAGCAATGAGCTATCATTCATGAGCCCTGCTCATGCAGCCTGACTACCTGCATAGATCTAGAGGCTTACACGATCTTACACGTTGAAAGATCTACAAGACAAAAAATATGTGCACAATCATTGACTGTGAAAAGCCTATGTAACAACAGACACAACAGAACCAGCACCGTGCCAACAACAGTAAAAACCACAGCTATTGTGCAAGATAACATGCATGCATAGTATGTATGTGTTCAACCTTCCAATCATGTATGGGAAAAATATCGATTTGCAAAACAAATGGTCGCTAAACACGCTTGGGGCTGGGCGGGTCCAAGATGTCACCCGTAGGGCCATCCAGCACATCGAAGCGGTCCCTAGGCGCATGACACTGAAAACATGAGATGGATGACTTTCACATGTTCAGATCTTTGTGTGAGGACCTTCAAGGATCTTTGCGATACATTTGCATATACACCTGCCTGACTAACGCATAGCCTTCTTGGTCCCAGATATAGTATACAATGGAACTTCCTACATTAATTATAAAACGCACATATTGTATGGATAGAATATTATGCGTATATATATATAATATATATAATATTATAATATATATACCTCATAGCACTGATACCATGCTGCAGTGAGGAAACACACCATGTCAACTCTTGCAGAAACATGCACACATGCGCATGCAATCACATCCCTGTTCTCAGCTCTTGACGCGTTGTACCCTTGCTCGCCTCAAGCGCGGTGGGTTAGGGAATGACTTAACGAGGATCCATTGAAGGGCGCCATCATGACTATGGAGCCTGGTTACGCATTGGTATCATGATCATACAGTTTCATTTCACAATAAAACTCTTAATGCCTTCCTATGGACCACCAGTACCTGAACAACGATGATGATGACTTGTTTGCTGACGCTGCTAGAAAGATATTCTTTTGGTTCTGACTGTTGTGTTGTGAGTCATGTAGATCAAACTATTTTGGAAACAGTTTTTATGGATAAGGTACTGGGCAATATGTAAGTTGCGCGCCACTTCACAAGCACTCCCACGAATATATTCGATGTATGCAGAACTTTATTTTTTTTGACTCATATGCTCATGTTGTTTACACATACATGGCGAGATATGATTTATTGTACTTTCTTACACCTGCAATGCTGGGGACCCCACCGTAATAGGCACTGATAGCACCTTTTCCAGCGAAGCCATCCAGCACGTAGACGTCCTTAATTGGCTGTTAACAAGCCACCATTTGTACAACTAGGCCACAGGGGTGAAAATTTTTTGAACATGTTCATTCAGGAGGAATGTAGTATGTACGTTATGTCATATTGAACATGTTGTTCAATTCATATGTGCAAAAGACATATATATATATATGTACAAGACTCTTCCCAGTTCACATCAGCTAAGCTAAAGACTCTGGCCCATTCATCAGGAGGTGTAGACTGCACCACGAAATCCACAAGGTGGAGCCTTAGCTTGTCAAAGATCTTTTGGGTCTATCTAGAAAGAAGGGAAGGGTCAAAGTACGTACAGTATTTGCAAAGAAACCTTTATCAAACACACAGTTAAAACCGAGAAACATTATGATGGGAACACCCCACTGCAAGAGCAGGTTAGCTCCCCTCTTCGATAAGGCCATCGGGGAACGGGTCCAAGCAGACCTCATCGCGCCTCACTGCCTAGGTCCAATCTTCCAATCTACCACTGAGCCAGCCTGCTAAGCAGAGGCGAGGAGATGGCCCATCAGGCCACTGGTCTATGTAATTAAATCATTAAGCAGCACACACACTCAAGATTATAATGCGTTGACAGGTGAGTCAAAACAGCAGAAAGTAGTATGGGATCAGAAACTCATAAAATCAAAATCAACTAATATGATCTCAGAGGCTGGTGGGTGATCGTATCAATTTTTTGCAGCATTTATCAACTGCAGATTCTCTTTTTCACAAACGCAACGCTGCTGCCAGCTACATCTTGCAATCGACGTTGCTTATGGATTTCTTTGAAGGAATGATTCGGGAATCAACTATTAAACAAGATTTTTTTTCACGAATTACGGATTATATTTTATTCAGTCATATAATTGCACATTGTAAAACTGTCGGGCCAATGATAGAGTTGGTATCCGATATCTAAATTCGAATAATAAAACCTGAATCGCATTCCATTTGAAATTTCTCAAACATAGGATCATTCTGATCCTTCTCCTACTGGCCGCCAAAGCCCCCAAATCAGACAGGCTGTTGAGTTTTCAATCAAACTGTTTGAACAAAAAATATGTTTGACGGTTGTGTATAAATTATACTCTTATTTATATTAAATAAAGTACGTAACATAATATATTTATATGATATAACACTCAGAGCCTTGCTGAAACCTATAGGGACAGCGGCTGTGTTCCATCTACCAAAAACGAGCAGCTAAGGGCAACCAAAAATGGCATGCCAACACTCTGCCCTTTGTTTGAGCAGGTGGCCCAGCACTTGCAGTGATCGGGCTAAGCCTCCGTGACCGGGACTTCCCACCCAGCGGCGAGTTTTGCCATTTTCCACCTCAGCACGTGAGGGCGCAAGGTGCATATATTCTACATTTTTTCCATGACTGTTGAATACATGATATTTGCCAACAACCATGATCCGAGATAGTTTTTTGGTTTTACAAATAAAGGGGTTTTATTGTTTGTTTGAGGAATGGATTCAGGGATCAAACAATGCACCTGTTAATGTTGAGATGGGAGCCCTGGGAGCCCGATTTCTGATCCACAGGTGGCAGCACCCCTACCTAAAGCACTGACAAATGTCAATCACGAAGAGTGGAAAGTTCAATGGTACTTTGATTAATCCAAAAGTGTCTCACCCAGACCCACTGGGCATTGGACGCTGCATCTGGACCACCATGCTTGTTCCAAGCAATGCTGACACCTCTGGATTTTGCGTTGTTAGCCTGCGGCGGCGCAGTCAGGTTGGGATATGAGGATGCAAATTCAAAACATCAAAGGACTACTATATGGCACATGTTTGAACAATATACATGACTGTAAATCAATTTGTTTTACATTGTTTGAAGGTAAAACAAATTACAATTTACACGACATGCATGTGTATATTGTGTGGTTCCTTTCATACTGGAAAGATACTCAGCACTGATTGTCAATCAGAAGGAAGCCCAGACGTGTCAAACAACACAAAGTATGAATCTTGAGTGAAAGTTTTCGATCAACAAAGGAACCTGAAGCATGATTCCTTTCTCCAATTTCAGAAGGTCCAAGGTGTCATCTGTGGCATTGGCGACGTAGTAAGAGGCCGCCACTGATCTCGAGAGGAGTAGCCTAGGCAGCTGTGTTTTCCCAATGCTGGTGAAGCAACACGCTATAGCCAGCCTATATTACACAATGATATAACATATGCAGTATATGAAATACAATAATTATGCGTTTTATATTAGATATGCACTGTCAGACTTCGTTCAACTTAGTAATGTACAATGAACATTCAGAGACGTCATGTTGAATTAGACGCACTGATGTCCCCTTCAAGAATGAACAGTGTGTTCGCTGCATCCCACGCTGAGTTCCCGACAATACCTGGATCTTGGATCGCCTGAACCCTTTGGGATGGGGCGGCAGATCATCCGGCACATCAAGCGTGAAAGACCTCATGCATTCATCACACATGCACATGTATCATGCCAAGTGCCAAGTGTAAGATCACATAATCATTCGTTGATATTGTGTATTCGAAAATTGGTTGTGTTGAATTTGAACTAAGTTCAGACCTAGGTTCCTGATGTATCACCCCAAAGTCAAGACTCCAAAGTCAAGAAGTCATCTTACTGCAGGGCAAGCTCAGGTTACCAAAAGAATGTAAGGGGTTCAATATCCTAGACTCGACTGTCTTGAAGAACTGCTAGTGAGAACCGATAGTTGCAATCTATCACATTGATACAGTGTATGTGTAATATAACTATGTGACACGTATACATGCATGTGCGCAGTATCAAAGCCACAGAACTGTAATATGAAGACAACCTAAGAAGTACAAGTGGTACCAGCCAGCTACAAACAACACTCAAATGCGAGTCTCCTAGTAAAATCTTGTGTGATGATCATACATGTGTTTGCAGTTTTCCTAAATGCTTGGTTTCTGAGTTCGCAGCTTTGACTGGCCAAGCTGGTCCAGCGTAGGCATGATGCGGGCAAGATCGTCGATGTCCTTCAACAAGTTGTAGTTGGCATTTCGTGCCTGGAAATGGCAAGGGTTGGTTAAAACATTATATACTGCATTACCCATGCAGAAAAAACATCAGCCAATATAATATAGTAGATTAGATCTAGACATTGATATGTGTGCGTACATGCGTTCAATTATACCAATGAGGTATATACTGCATTCGGACAGGGCATCTATGACATACATATTTGCGGCATAAGTATGCAACCATACTACTGATCTTCTTTGAAGAATGTTGCAGTCATATCAGCATGATTTGTTAAAACAGTTTTAGATCTCTCAAAATTGATATATAATAATTATATTATAAAAGCATTGAATTGAGTAAATACATGATATGATGTGTGTGATCTTCATGTCAAGTACACATGCGTGCCTCGAAAATTTTCTTTTGCTTTGCTTCCTGTTCTTGTCTTGCTACCTCGTCTGCCTCCGGCTTCGTTGTCTCTTTGTCTTTTGCCACATCCTTTTTACCTTTCACACTCGGCCCTTTGTCAGCAATGACAGGTTCAGTGTCTGGCCCTGGGGCAGCGACATCCACATCATCCTTGTTTTTTTCCTCGTTCGCTGCATGCTCTGATGCGTCCTTCTGTGACTTTCGTTTTTTTCTTGGTTGCTTGACATGCTGTTCAGGTTCATTTGCTGGAACCGCTTCAGGTTTATCTTCTTCCTTGTTTGCCTTGTCCTTGTTTTTCAGTGCCCTTTTCTTGTCACTTTCGGGAGTTGATGATTTTGCTTTCTGAAGCAATGCTCTTCGTTTCGACTTTGTCCTGCGTAGTTTTTTAGGTGTGCTCTTTGGGGTACCTGGCTTTGCCTCCTGTGTGCTATCAGTGTCCTTTGGCTCTTCAACTTCAGGACATTCCTTTTCATTTGCTTGATCACTAGAACCTGCTGCTGCATCGTTGTGTTTGCGCTCCTCATCATGTGTGTTATTGTCACTGTCTTTTGCTTCTTCCTGGTGTAGATTTCCTCCTGGATTTCCATCCTTACCTTCTTCACTCTTTCCTTTGCCTTTTCCCCTTCCTCGGCCCCTCGCTCTTCCCCTTCCTCTACCTTTTCCACCACCTTTTCTTTTTTTCCCAAGATTCTCATCTTCCTCTGCCACAGCATCTGCATAGACACGATCAGGGTCCTCTGCTTCCTGCAACGCCTCCCTTTGCAGCTGTCGCAATGCCAGCTGTGCCTGACAACTTGCTTAGGTGCAAGTATTGATCACTTGAAGAACACATCCAACAGATAAAACGATGATTACTTAATAGCAATGTTAATTTACAGCACAATCAATTTTTAGACCAGTGTTTCGAAAACACTATAGCAACTCTCAGCAAATTCCCAAATTACTCGCTCCTATTTCAAAATGGCGCCAATGACTGAAGCGCTGATGAGTAACAAAACTTGGACGAAAGATGGGCCTTAAAGACCTTGTAAGTCAGAGGAAAAAACGATCTACAAGCTTCCTGTCAGGTTGTCCCAGAACCCCACCTTCCGAATTTCTCGGGAAGCTTCTTCTTCTTGGGATTCTTTTGCAAGTGTTTCATCGACAGTGGCCTTCATGTCAGCAGGTATCTCAGGCATCTCTGCCACGAGAGGTTTACGATCCTGCGCAACGAGGAAATGCCAGATATAACATAACAGTACAGGATAAGGAAATGAAACATTGGGTCAGAAACCGTTTTGAAAAACAATGCGATCTAAAATATATTTTAGTTTTGTGTTTACTTTGTTTCTCAAAGGTTTTGGGAAAAGGCATGCAACACGTAATGGCTGAAAACAAAGACGGGGTCGAATTTGATGAGTGAAAACCACTGCAAGAGGGTAGCAATCGTAAGAGGATATAGTGTTACGTTGACAGCACAGTGAACAGCAGGATAATGATTAATAATAATAGTACAGTACAGTATACCACTGTTATGAAGGTTTCTGTTTCTGAAGAAAAGGTAGGTCAAAACAACTCCCTTTTGTATAAGGTATACCCCCCACCCCCCACCTTGAACGCGGTCTTCCTGTCAACCGGTTCGTCTTCGCTTTGGAGGGCATCTTCAAGCTGTTGCTGCTTGGCTGCTAGCTGGGCAGGAGTCTCTTCAAGGTTTGACGAGGCTTTGGGCTTTGGACCTTCAGATTTCAAACAACTTGTTGTTGCTTCTGGTGTTTCTTTCAACTGCTTTGACTTCTTTGCGGGTGGTTGTAAGTCTTCTCCAGTTTCCGAGTCTTTCTTCATTTCACAACCTTTAGCATCATGTTCTTTCAGATCTTGTCCCATCTCTTGCTCTTCCACTCTCCAGTAGCTATCATAATCCATAGTGTGCACATGGTCCTTTTTTTGTTCTTGGGGTCAGGCGACAGGACTGTCTCATCACCGCTGTCAATGATAACTGGATCATCCCCATGGCAAACTACCTCTAGGCATTCATCGATAACAGCATCTTCCTCCTCTGGGTCCTCTTCCTCTCCACCCTCACTTGCATTTTCCTCTTCCCCCAGTTTCCATGAAGAGGCTTGTTTCAAGATCGGGGCAGGGCTGGGCGAATTGGGCGGCAACGGTCTCATGGGCTGGATGGGAGATGGTGTCCATGTCGCAGAGTCGGGCATTGGAAGCGTCTCGGCGTTGTCTGGGTTTTTTGCAGGCTCCTGCAAGGAGGTTGGGCCCACACGATGGATCATGATGGTTTGGTTTAAAAGAATAAGTCAAACATTACGATTAATTACAGCATATTTTTATGATCTAGTTTTAAAATTTATGTTTGCCAACACAAGCTAAATTTCTTGGAATATGTGATCGTCCAATGAAATGGTAAACATGCATTTTTGGTAACATTATAAATGTAACATAACTTGATTAAACCACATGTTTTTTTGCACCTTTTGTGAAAACAACTACATACTGTAATGCCATTAAAAGATACAAACAAAATCCTTTGAGAAACAAAACGAACAAGGGAACATAACAAAACTCAAAAACAAACACCAGCAACCCGTTTCCCTGTGTGATCTTGATCCCCAACCAGACCTGCACGGGCTGGGGCTTGCTCATCCCTCGTCCTCTTGTCGGCGTCTTTTTGCCACTTTCGGTCAGCATATTGCACACCTGCCCAGCATGTTTGATGTCACCAGCTACATCATATTATTTGCAAATATGCACCTTATGCGTTGTAAATATTTTGTATGATCATGATACAAAACATATGGAAAATACGTTGTAAGTTAAATGACATATCAACACGCTGTCACATACATGTATTACAGGAGAAGAGGGTACAGCACGTAGAGCCGAGCTAGGCATGACACTTGTCAATGTTGAGAACATGACATCAACAAATTAAATGATATGCCGATGCAACTGCACAAATACATATGTCCCATGTCATATCACATCTCGTTTCATTAGCCTTTTGCACAGGTGACAGGATTTGAAATATTTGAACATATAAGCAAGAATGGTCGCCAACTTTTTGAACATACCCTTTTCTAGTGAAGTTGTGCCTAAATGAACTGCCTTCAAGCGCCCGTGGATGATCTGCTTCAGCTGCTCAACCCGCTCGTGGCCCGGCCTTAATGCACTTGCTGGCTGGACTGGGAACCGTAATAATTAGGAAGCTTGAAGGCAAAAACATGGCCTTGACCCCAAGCCCCAAACATTGAGAATATTCACAACCAATCAACGGCAACGTTCTATTCTTCAAGTGGGTTAGCACCCATGTATGGCAGGTACTGTGATGATTCTCACATGCTAGCTGTAACTGCTACCATGCGTATATTGTAAAACACTCTGGGTATTCTGGGGCCCCTTGCCGAACTCCAGGATTTCTTTGAAATCGGTCTAAGCAATAGCTCAGCAACGATTTCACGACTCCAGCTTCAACTTCTGCCCATGCCTGCCACAAGAGCAAAGCAAACATGTGGTATGGCCCATGCCACACAATTTTCGTGATTGTCAAGTCTCATCACTTTCTAGAATGCATGGTTGATAGGTAGTGACGCAATTGGTGGTGGGGCTCATGATTGTCAACATGGACCATGGAGGTCAAATAAACTAGGCCGGGCCTCGTGTTCAAAGTGATCTTTCCAAGGGTTCAAGCGGTAGTGCACCGAAGACCAGCAAAGAGCTGCCTCCCGTGGAGCGCATGATCGACATGTTTTTATTATTTTTGAATGGGCATGCTACCCTAGGTGACTTCATAAGTAATCCTATATTTCATGGTGCAAAAAAGGGTGCCATGCGGAATTGGAATGATTCCTATCTAATGTTTTTAAGTGACATGACAGTGATCCACATTATGAAACATCGAAATCCATTCATGTGCTCTACTGGGGTCTAGCCTGGAACTCTTTCCGCGTGGGCGGTCGGTCGGAAAACGATGCACACAAGGCACAAGCAATGCCAAAGTTATGGTCGCTCTCTGCCTGTCACTGTTGATGTAGATGGGACCATGGTAAATCTACCAAGTCATGCAGACCATGCATGCATATTATATTATATATCAATATCATAATGACTTAATGAAAACAAATGCAAATATAGTACATTGATTTGAATTATTGTTATTTATTATAAACATGCATGAGAACCCACAATGGTTTCAATTCAGATGAATCAGATGAAGCAATTTCCTGTATACCAACATATCTCAACATGGTTTCCACGACCCCACCTCCCGTTCTCCCATGTCATGCCCGTCCACAACGACGAACTTGAACTTGGGCACCTAGATGACATTAAAAGGGAGTTTAGTTGGCCAGCAGTGACTCATGCAGGATGATGCGGTCAGAACATATATAATTGATGTAAATTTAAAATATATATGACATCGGAAGCAAAACGACGATGACCGCCAAACAACTAGAAACTAACTCCCATTGAATTTCATGATCAATTTATGTTTCGAAGTCCTGTCCTGCACCATCACTACAAAGACATGACCACCCAAACGTACTCCCACCAATTGGTGTTTATGATTGAAATTGTAAACATTAAATTGCAGTTGATACAATTTGAAAATTGACAGTAAGTTATTTGTACAAGTGAGCTTCTGTTCTGGTAATCTCGGGGTTGCACCTTGTGCTTCTCAGATTCCTTCAATCCTGCCTTTATACGAAGGACTCGGCGACGGTCTGCAAGAAAAGCAGCATCTTCACAAAAGTCTTTCAAAACCTCCTGGCACAGGGCAAAGACAAGAACCCGAGTAGGAAAGATATATCTGGAAGTCGGTGCATGTATTCCCATCCGATCCTCATTATAGTAAATTAATATCATGTTTAATTAAATTGAGTTATATAATATATTCCCTAGCCTTCAACCACCATGGAAACAAAGTGGGTACTTCATTGGACCAGCCATTGCAGCTATTCATGACCATTTGGTCCAAAACCATGCAATACTTTGAATATCTCAGGTGGATCCAAAGGATTAACAAATGATGTGAAAAGAAACGGAATCTCCTTGAGCAGGGCGACCCGCCCAAGATTTGGTTTCTTTGGGCTGCGTTGTGTGGACATGACACCAAATCTAGGTAGCAAGAAAAGTGTTATAATAATAATGTTAATTAAGTAAGTTATATATAAAATCATGTATCGAAACTGCTGTTGCGTCGAAACATGTTGAAACATGTTGAAACCACCTCACCATCTTTTGGAACACTGAGCTGTGAGCCGACCAACCGCTGGCGTGGCTTCGGAATCTGTTGAGCGATGCACGGGCATGAGAAAAATGCAATGGTAAGGCCAGGCTGGGGTGGGCGTACCATCAACCAAATCAAGGTCGATAATGTCATCACCTAGTTTCTCCTCCATGTGGCCTCACAGAGGGCGCGAAGTGATTGAAGTTGGGGTTCGAAAAGAACATTGAAACAACCACTCAAATCAATTAAGGATGATGGGTTGGGCTAGTGAAGCCGAATCAGAACAAGGCTAAGTTTCTGGCGCCGTTTCAGCGCAGTCTTCATGATAATGAAAACCACGAAGGAGAAGCAGAACCATGCAGCTCGCATCCCCGGATTGAAACTGATTGAAATTGTCTAACACAGAATATTTTTGTCAAAGTCTGGTTTTTGGATCCAAGCCACTTCAAGAAGATATGGCACATGCGTGCCCATGTTATGAAGTCTATTTTGAGACTAATGATTTTCTGATCCATCATGTCCCTTTCTGTTTGTAAATGCCTGCGTATTGAGCAGGATGCAGCGAGCAACCCTGGACCTCCATGTCCAAATGGTAAATAAAGGTCGTTAACGGCAAACAAAGGTCGAGGTGCAACCCCCTTTGTTTCCATAGTGGTTGAAGGCTAGGGTATATATATATTATATATATATATAATTCTATATATATAAATGGGATGGTGATCAAACATGTGATCAACCACATTGATTGGTTATTGGGGACGAGCGTCAATTTCACAAGACCGTGGACAGTTTGACGCGTGGCTGGTGGGTTTGACGCGTCCTTACAGTGTTGGTCGCTTTGGATCATGGAGATAGATGACAGAATATAAAGAAATCTTAACCAGCATGTAACATCCCCAGCACGCATTGGTAATCGAGCCCCAATTACTGTTACAAACGGCCACCCCAGTCTAGTTGCTCATATCCCCACTTTATGGTGCTTCAATTCCCAGGCTTGATGCTAGATTAAATCCCAATTTCTTTTTGCTATAACGTTTTTTGCTGGGATGTGTTCCCATTTACCATTTCCTATTCATGCTATTCCCTTGTTATCCCATATTTCTTCTTGGTAATGAACCATTTTTGATGGTAAAATCCCCGAGTTTCATTGTAAAATCCCATCGTTATTGGCTAATTCCCCATCTTTACCGGTGAATTCCCCATTGTTTCATGGTAAAAATCATGCAACATCCTCATTTCTGAAAGGGTAAAGTCCGAATCTTTGTTGAGCCAGGTGACCACCAGCTCCTTCTCCTCGTAGCTTTGCGAAGTGAAGCTCTGGTACAACAAGGGATGAAAGGCGTGACCTGCAAAGAATTGGGATTTCTCGCGATGCCCTAGGGAGTTTTCCTGTTCTCACTGATGGATTTGAGGAAACATTGAAATACAAGAAGAAACAACCATGTTTAATCACGATGTAGTCACTCCGCGAAAACTTGGAGTTTCCTGCCAGTTGCGATCTTGGGACTTTCCACTGAACCCTTTCAAGCAAGCTCCACTGCTGCGTAGTCCTTTCCAGGATTTGCTTTGTGGTTGCAGTGGCCGTTTCTATCCAATATCAAGCCAACGATACTTTCAGGTCGAAACCCAGATAAAGCACAATCCTTTCCACCGTGGTCTCAAAATGTCACAAAAAACAATTTGAAAAATAACACGCTATCATTTGCTCTTAATTTACTGTGTGTCTCCTTGATGTTATGTTGGGACATGTTGGGACGTCGTGCAAATTGAGGCCATAAGGCCATCATGAGGCCCCATCGGTACCACAGCCACCACATCTGCCAAGCAACGTTTCTCACTGGTGGGGCAAATGACCGACACACGAGTTCCACGAATTCCACCTAAAACGATGGACAGATGTTCCACCAGCGATCTTTGAAAGGTACCATGGACGTTAAAGAAGCAGGATTGAAACGTGGCAATACGTAACATACATCTCCTGCAAACGGAAACCCAATAGCGCCAGAGGAATGAAGCCAAAGGTAATCCCAACAAAAGGCATTGGATACATGGAAGGACGAACGATGATGGTGACATGTCTGATCATGAAACCGAGTACTTGTCAACCGTTTGAAACAAGAACACAAATGGCAAACGAAGATAAACAAAACATCAGTATGTTAATTATGTTCCGTGCTTCCTGCCGGCATTCATACCTCAACATCTGCTGTTTTTTTGTTCTACTCCAACTATCATGGTGCCGAGCGGCTGGCATCACCTTTAGTCCCATCATTGCGAGGATCATAGACCCCCAACGACAGGAGAAACATGGCAACCTTCGCGCGGATCTCACCAGTGCTATGGATGGAGGTTATGAGGCCGAGCTTTGCTGAAGAATTCGATGCAACAAAGTGTCATTAGAATTTTCATGAAACATATCAAATTTTGAATCAAATATGCAGAAACATGTTCTACAGAAATCATGATTTACAGTTCATGATGGATGTTTATCAATGCTCATCATTCATTGATTAAACTGATTAGTAATATTCCATGCTATGATGCTGGTGCCTCCTCATGGGACCACTGCAAAGCGGCCGCTGGAATCTGTGCGACCCGTGGCAAACGCCGTGGTTTGGCTGTACCTCGAAAGAAATGGCAGTGACTGGTAGGATTCGCCTCTGATATCTGATGATATCTGATGCCACTGGTAGTTTAAGCCAGGTTTGGAAGCTAATATGTCCCACATATGTCCCATCATCTGGAGACACACGGCATTTCGAGAGTGAAGGCCAGGGAGCTATGACACGCTTTTGACCATCTGTGAAGAAACACTTACAGAATGGAGGACTCAATGGAAGGGAGCAGTGGTCTTTGTGGTTTTCAACCCAACTGAGAAACTGCAAAGAAGGCACCGATGGCTCGTCCCAGATGCCGATATGCTGGGTCCTGTGGTGGTTCAAGGGCATCCCGAAGCCTATGGAAATTCATGGAAAATCATGGAAAATCAACATCACTCAAATCTTCCCAATCAGGCTGGGATGGACAAAAAACATATATATAAAACCCGCATCTTTTAGCCAAATGTAGAATGAAGTGTTGGAAGTGTTGTGTCCTTTCTTGCTCAGGTAAGGGTCAAAGGTTTGGTTGTGTCTGCTCTGGCTGTGATGATTGATGTGGATTGATCCGAACATTATGCATACGACAAAGCAATCATTGCGGCTGATAGAATCGGATGCAGCCGAGACAAACCAAATAAATCCCCATGTCGAGAGTTTGACCTATGGGGATGTTTATTGGATGTTTAATGGTTAATCTATGATTTTTTCAAAATGGTTTAACCCATCCCCATTGGTTGAGAGCCTTCCCCCAGCGCTTGAGTCCTTGCGAATAGCCACCTATGGCAGCGGCACCGATTTTGGGTGATTTTGGCGAAGGCAGGGTCAAATGGTACAAGTACCACAGGGACTGGAGATATACCTTCTGGTAAACTAACATAGCTAGTGAAAATGGCCATCTATAGGTAGATCAACTGATGCTGTTCATTGATTTTCCATAGAGTTATGATAGTTTACCAGAGGGTAGCACCATACTATTCCAAACTCTGGAGGTTTAAACCTCAGTTATGAAAAAATATGGCAAGTATTCTTTTGTCCATGTCCATGATTGGCATGAGTCACCTTGACATCAAGGAGGTTTACCAGCATGTCACCATGTCCATCTTTGCTATAACGGCCTTGCCAGCAGTCGTTGCCAGGCAAATCCCATAGTCACCACTGAGTCACCCCAAAACCCTTGGGTTTTTGCTCACCAAATCACCAACACCATAGTTTTCTTCACAAACGGTGCAGGTGTTGAAACATCACAATGGGGATCACTCAACCAATGGGGTCGCATCTCCAGCCTCGTAGGTCTCACGAAATGGCCTGGAGAGGGACGTGGAGGGGCCTCAGAACTGCTAGACATATCCTGTATACGCTTCTTGGGAAGGAAAAGACCATCAAGTTTCATCAACAGGACATTGTTGTATTTGCAGTGCAGAGTGCAGGTCCAAAATTCCGATACATATATATATATATATATAATTATATATATAATATACAGTATACACACATATGTATATTATATATGTATGAGGGCATGTCAAAATGTGTGTACCTCCAAAACTCTGATGCCGAAAGAAACTTCTCCCCAGAAATCGTCCGTCTCAAGGTGTCCTTCTCATCACCCATGGGCCACTGGCCACAACCAGTCTACTGCTTGGTGGTTTCACCTGCCTTGGAAAAAAGAAAATACACTATTGATTCTGGCAACTATGATGAACCATCATTGACCACAATTAACATGCTATTAAATAGTTATTCTGGCATGCATAAAATCTGATGAAACATGACAGAAACGAAACAATGAAATAAATATAATGTTATATATATATATATATATTATAGACATTTATAATCACGAAATCATACAATGACAACATACATGTACGTTGTATGATGTTGTATGCTCCATTTATTTCAAAAGAAAAACGTCACATTACAGCTGGGCCTTGCAGCTGCGCGCACGGCGTCCAACCAGCCACTGAGATCCAGGTGCAGCTCTGCTGCACAGCCACAGCTGCAGCTGGCACCTGGGAACCAACAACTTTTGTTGGGATTTTTGGATTTTCCAACATATTGAAAAACTTGAAAACTATAATATATCTATAATCCCATTGGGGATTGTTGTTAGATTTCAGCAACTATTCACCCATTTCCCAAATGTACAAGAATATGGTGGATTAATAAGATAATCTGTACTGTAAGATATGATATATAAGTGAATATTGCAAAGATGTGAAACACATGTGCAAACAATGGCAATTTGAACTGAAACGTGTAAACAAACTTGGGAATGCATTCAAAAATAGTCATGAGTATGACTCCAGTATGACCAGAACTGGTGCAATTAAACCTGCTTAAGTCCCAGCTATGCAAAAATTAGCTTTATAAATCTGTATAATCAAAAACTATTATGCAAACAACAAAAATAGGATTTAATCATCAAAATAGTGGAGTAAACTGAGTAAACCTTCAAAATCGGGGAGGTACTTGGTGATTGGTAACCAGGTATAAAACTCTTCTGTTTCATTGGTGAGACCTTACTCACAGGTACAGTAGATGCTGTCATCCCATGCATCTTATCACTGGGTAAGGTTGCGCTTCCTTGATCGCCCTTTCATTGGGGGCCATGGTTCAGGTGTTTGAGGTCCTTGAGTGCACCCTTGAAACATCTCGAGACCATGGCTATGTCAGCAAGACCAGCAATGAATGTGAATTAATATAAACCCAATGCCATAAACCACCAATTAGGGATGGTCTATACCACCCGTTTCTAGCAAGTCACTGAAGATGGCTTATGTTTATGTTTCTGGCTTCACTTTACCATAACTGTTATCCAATAAACTGTGCCAATGTCCAACGCTGTGACCTGGCAAAACAACAGATCCTTCAGCTATTCATGGACCATGTTCGGATTGGGTATGGCTCAAGCCTGATCCTTCGGGCAAGCAGCCATACGCAGTTCACATCATGTCACCACGTTAACCATATCATTATTGTGGTGAATCTGGCCCATTGAAGACAATGATGCTGGATATGGGTGGTATGGGTCATTCACCCTCCTGCCGAACCTTGCTAAAACAAATGGACTAGTCAATTTCGGTATGTTCATCTAGCCATTTTACCATTCTTGGAGAATCACAGTACTATTTGCGAAACGAGTGGTTGAGTACTTACACAATATGTATAGTATAAAGTATATGTATCATGTATCTACATATATTATATATGTATGTATTGTATTACATTAAATAAATAAATATATATATCTATCTAATCAGGACTGATCTTATCCAACATTTAATTTAGTGAGCCATTGGATTCCAGGTCTTACCATCATCCCATCTGCACTCCTGGCAAAGCACTGATGCCTTTCCGCTTCTCCTGGTAGCCTCGCATCTTTCGGTCGTACGACTGACGTCGGTCCTGCATGTTGGGGATGATCTTCTTGGCACCTGACTGTATGTTGGGCACTGTGAAGTATCTAGGGATGCAACACATAACATATATATTTCACATTGTGACACTACTATACACTACTATATTTTGATATATTTTGGGCCCCAAACCTAGCCATGTGAAATGGCAAAGTCCATCTGGCCCAATACAGAAGGATCAGGCCATATCAGGCCAATAGGGTAAAGTGGTAATCCGGAACCACACCGCAGAAAGATCTGTTGCAATTTGATTTTGACATCCCTCTGAACGAACTGGCTTACATATATACATTACATATATATGTATATAATATATACATTACATATATATAATATATATATAATATATATAATATATATAATATATATAATATATATAATATATTATATATAATATATATATAATATATATAATATATATAATATATATATATTATATATAATATATATAATAATATATAATATATAATATACATAATATATATAATATACATAATATATATAATATACATAATATATATAATATACATAATATATATATAATATACATAATATATATAATATATATAATATATAATATATATATAATATATATAATATATAATATATATAATATATATAATATATATAATAATATATATAATATATATAATATATATAATATATATAATATATATAATATATAATATATATAATATATATAATATATATAATATATATATAATATATATAATATATATAATATATATATATATATATCTTATTATGTCAAGCATTTTGAAGCATGAAATGTGGCAGAATGTGGTACTAGCAAAACCCAATGCCATGTCCTCAATGGTGGTGTTGGTGTCCGGTCCACCCCACTCCACGGAGCTCATGGTTTCAAACCTTACCACGGCGAACGAGGAGCTGTTGGGTCGATTGCATGTTCCTCTAAATGAGTCAAGACTTTGAGACTAAAACTTACAAGTAAATTATATAATCATATAGTGTGTATGTATATGTATATATATATATATATCGCAGACAATCCAGCAAAATGCATATTGATGTAATGACATGTGATGACCATGTTGTCAGCACCTCTGGTTTGAACAACATAACTTTATCAACGACATGCCCTCCTGTTGGCAACTGTACATGTCATGTCATTCTTGGTGTCGCTTGGTCCATTTCGCCCTGGCTCGCAAAAGGACTTGCTGGAGGATCCAACAATGATTCAAACGGTAGTTAATGGTTCAACACAATGATCCAAACGCAACTTTGAACGTCAAACACTCGTGGTTACATATGCGACTTCTACCCCAAATCATAATTTGCGGAAAGCACCCACAAACAGAAGTGAATGCCATGAATCCTTTCGCAAATCACCAAGATTCACAAAGCCAACCACGGCTTTTGTGATAAGCCCAATCAACTGATTCTGCGAAGAAAGTTGATCCCCTCAGACAATTCAGACTATCAGCTGGACGGCCAACCTTAACATCAACTGAGAAACTGCCAAAGTTGACATTCCCGACAGCCCGTGCAGGCGCCACGTGGAATGCCTGCAGCTGGTCTAGGGCGAAACCAGAGACAACCATTCCATCACCAAATTGGCCAAAACCTGCCAAAGCTTAACAGCAGTAGCATGTACATAATCATGACATACAATTATAACAATATTGTTTATGAAATAACATATCATGATGCAAATAATTGGTATGTGAATACAATTGATTATATAACATATATATATATATATGTATACATATTTATATAATTATATCATATAATATATTAATTATATAATCATATATATATATATATTATACATCATTTGCCAATGGCAAGGGACCCTGCCTGAGTAGTCAGTGTGCAACATGACTTCGGAGGTCTTGGGCTGCCCTGGCTTCACCTTTGGATCCTTTGGTATCCTGCGCCGTTGGGGCAAAGTGGACAGCAGCAATGCATTGAGGGGGAGGCAGCATGTGTGAACCGACTCTCGAATCACTGCAGAAACTTGGCAGAAACAATCTTAGCAGCTAGAGTGATCTGCACCAATCCCCAGTTTTGCCACCAGGCGCTCTGATGGACGAGACACGTGTCAAGGAAACAGTACTGATATCGTAGAATACTTGCTGGCTCTGGGATACATCGGATACACATGGATACACTGCTTCCCAAAAAAAATACACTGCTGAAGTGTGAGAACAGATTCTCAAGGGGTTCAGCAGAAGGTCCCATCTGTTCGTCCAACCCCTGAGGTCATGAAAGGCACAAGTTCGACTGACGATCCAATGACAAGATGAGGGATCAATACATTGAAATCATTGAATATGGGCTGGGACAAGTGTATACAATGGATTCGAGTGTATACAAGTGCTGCAAATCAATGCAAGTGATAGCGAAAGTGATACAGGACATTGTTGTCTGATTGTTGTGTGCCATGACAAACGGTCACACGAAGACAATAAGTGGAACGATTGAGACTTCAAAGCTGAGCAAGCTGCAGGGATGGCTGCCTCCTCACCAATTGATGGCCGCTTGCATGCAAACCTTGCAGTGCACGGGATATTGGGGGAAATTAACATGAATTAAATAAGTTTTGGATACCATGACAATCATTTCTGGCGCGTACATGCGCGTACCCTCCAAATTTTGAGGTACCCAACCTTGACATCACATTTTCAATATGCTTCGGTTGCTGGTGGCAACCGTTTTGGGCCTATGGTTGCAACGAGTTCGGGTTTCAGGATTTATTATATAGGCATGGTCATACGGTCATGGTGATGGTAAAGGGTCCTGGCCACCAAACATTTAGAGTAATCTATATAATATATTCTATTTGACTTGACCTTCTTTCAATACACCACCCTGCTGAAGAAAATTAATGAGAGAGGACTGACATGACATGCAAGTTTGCAAATATCATACTTTTGAATGTCTCTCTGAATTCCGTATGTTGTAAACCTGTCTTCTACACGAAAAACGAAACAAACTCAAAAGCAAATGATTCGCAGAGAACATAATGACATGATAAATAAATTTTAATAAACATCGTTCTGATAGAACATCAACATGCTAATGCAACATGTTCGCAAGATCAAAACACTCCATGGGACTCCCTATAGGCAGAAAGGACACATCCGAAACTATACTTTGCCTGTGAGCGCACCTTCCAGGATTGCTTCGAATGGGCAACAGGATCATGACTGCCAGTTGTGGACAAAACTTTGAAGGCTGCCGAGCATATTGGTCAAGTAGGTTTTTGAAGTTTTGGATCAACAAGAATAGGCCAATTGATCCAATTTGAATGGGACATAGAAACACGGTATTTGGATGTATTTGGATGATTTGATGGCTGACACCACGAAATCTGAGGCCTCAACTGACCCATCCAATTTTTGGACCCTCTCCTTTCAACAGCTCGTAGTGCAAACGGCCACCTGCCTGGCTGTTCGGTGATCTGATTTGCTACTAAAGTGCATCGTGAAACTAACAAAACAAGGGAGAAAAGGTTTAGTTTAACTGCTGAATTCACTTGAAATATATCTGAATAACATGTCATATATCATGCCACAAGCCGATGTTTTTCGGATTTTGGGATTTGGTCAGTCTTTGAGACCCGTAGTTCAGTGCTCAACATGTACAGTAAACTGGTAGAAAGTGGTAGAACCATGTAGAAATCAACAACTCTGTGGTTTGGACATTTTAGGAATGTGTCATTTCCTGTAGTTCAGGCTTACGTGCTACTCATTAGTCAACGATGTTTCCCTCAAACAGATTTACTTTTGCCATGGACAAAAACTTTGGTGAGGATCGTCAAAAGGCATTGTTCTCTACATTTCTCTACAACCCTTTCGGAATCATCAAAACACAATATTCGATCAACACCCTGCTGTGACTGTGTCATGTTGCGACAAAATTGCACGCTATCACCATCCCCAAGCAATCTCCACCATCCCCTGCCACCACTGAAGCTAACAAACTTTACTGTCCACTGTAATGGGCACAGTGGAACATTTGTCCTTGAACCTTCAACACCACATTTCTCGAAAACTCTCCAACAATCTCCAACCCATGCGTGACTTGGATGGAAACTCTCCAAATTTGGGAGTTGCAACCAAATCTGACTTGGCTAAATTCAACAAATTTTCGCTCCATGTGTTTCTCCACCTGGTCCAATTCGATCTGCCGCAGCGTGGCTCCTTTGGCCAAACGCCTCGACAACATCTCGGAGCTCAAGGAAGCTCCAGTCCTGGGCAAATGTGGAGCCGTAGGCTTTGAACTTTATTGATAATGATTGATATACTGTATGTATATTATTGTATGTATATTACATGCATAGTACATGTAATTACAGTGTATGTATATAACTTTTATAATTATATATATATATTATATAATATATATATATATATACACGAGATAAAATATGTATCGATTGTATCTGATACTTATAGAACATTATAGAACCAATGTGCTCCAAAATGTTTCACTAATTCCACTCATGTCACTTCTCTGTCTTTCTCCTAGACGGAAACACGACCAGTACGACTGGAAAGAAATGAACATGTTTAACTGATTTTAACTGTATCCTTTGTTGCTGGACTCGGTTGGACAATTTTGTGTTGCGATTGCAGGGAGGGTCCAAAAGGTGCTACTCTTGCAATTCCAAAGCGAATCTGAGTGTGAAACATATCTGTAGAATTAATGTTCCATGGATCCAATTGTTTGGGCCAATGATTCTAAACAGGCATCACATGACTGTAACTGGATAACTTCAAGCTCACCAGTCGTGCATCGCACCTCACCAGCAGACCTTCTGCTTTTGTTCCGGTGACTTCCCAATGGACTGACTCCTCGCCAGAAAGACACTCCCTGAGGATCTGTAACCGGTGGATGTGTAGTCGAAACGCTTCCAGCTTGTTGATTGATGTTGATTGAATTTTGAAATCAGGTGATCAATCAAACATACCCTAAAAAGTGAAAGCTACCAAGGCATGACTCGACGAAACTGATCACACAAAGGGTGAAGGATTCGTCACCCAAAATGTGCCAAGGTGAAAATGGAAAATGGTCCGTTTGTTTATACAGTAGATGATTCATACCTATGAGAAATGGTGTTTTTTTCCATAGCTGTCATAGCTATGTTGAATTACAAGAGGGTATTGTAGTATGATCATGTATGATCCTCCCACTCTTCATGGACGTTCCTTAAGTGTTGCAAATAGGATCGATACTTGCAGTGCCACATCCCCGACACTCTGGAATCCATTCTGCCTGGATGGAAAATCCGCACTCGACATCGGAAACATGTTGATGTGAAAAAATAAGGGCTTATTAGCCACCAACAACCGCTATATAATAAAGAAGACATATTATATAAGACCTAAGAAGGGTTATTATAACCGTTGATGCAGTGATATGCAGTGATTCCATGTTTAATTTTCACAGGATACACATATTTCCAGGCCACCCCTGGCCGGTCATCGACCCTGGTCATCCCTGGTCAGGCCACAGTCCGGCTGACCTCTGCACCCACAGAATTTGCGAGCCTAGCCAGCTGCTGTTCTGGGCAGGCGTCTTTTCCAAACTCTTTGTGTAAGGCAAAGACGCAAAAACAATTAAAAAACTTGGATGGTGAAATGGAAATGGATGGTGGTTTGAACCCTTGAGAGAAACATAGAGAAACATTGAAAGGGCAAATGGAGGATCATCATTCCAAATAGGAATGGACGATCAAAAGGGTTGAAACCAATAACAGCAGCTTCAGGGGCGACAAGAATACTCTACAGGCAGCTGGTTTCCTTGCAGAAATCATATTGCTTGTAATATGTTGTAATTTCTTGTGATATAAACTGGGTGTATCATGGTGTATCATGGTATATCATGGTGTATCACCCGTAAATCATTTGGAAATGGCTTCTGGCCACCAAATCATCTAGCCAGGCTACGCGAGGGCGTTTTTCGATGGCAGACCTGAGGGAGATTAGGGACCAAGCCAACCTTGAGGATAACCATTAACTAATAGGATGTTCAGATTTTCAAGCTCAGGGATTATGATAATCATTGATAATCCACAATATATTGGGTAGATTTTGGTAGTACAAGTACAGTATAAGCCACGAATTAATCATCAACCAACAAGGGTTTTGAACTTGGTTCATGTGCTTCTTACCCAAGCAAAATATGAGAGAATTAAGCTGCTGGGTCACTTGCCCCAGTGGCTTTGATTCACCCAAACCAACAGCATCCAACAGCTATGTGGACCCACAAGTTGGAGGATCTCCGACAAGTCCGTAATTACCATCCAAACCGTGAGTCCATAGCAGGTTGTGGTTAGAGGTGTCGATCAAGGAAATCCCAGCTTGCGGTTTCATTTATTGCTGGCACTAGTCATCCAGCAATTTCTGGCAAAAACATGTGAATATGGTTAATATTACTATACAGACTTTACAGACTATACATATCATATATCATCTTATGTACCTATATACATGTATACACACAATTATATAGTGCATATATATATATATATAAACTCCGGGGCCAGGATTGATGGCACAGATTGTTGCATTGCGCCACCGGTCTCCCAACAATTCCCAACACATGGGGAATCACAGCGTTAAGAACTTATAACTTATAATTTATAAGTTTATTGTCCTCTATTTGAGTATTAAGACGGCAAAAATTTTGGGATCCAATGCTCAACCTTTGGGGATTTCCCAATGGATCGCTGTGCTTCCCAACTCTCTTTGGCCTTCGCATCCTCCACAGGCCCCAGGGTGGCATGGAACAGGATTTTCGGTCCGGCACTGGTGGCTGCTGAGGTTCTGGCTATATTATTCGGCTTTCCTAGATTTCCTGGTCTTCGTATCTAACCTCCTGATGTACTGTTGATTGTTTTTTCTGACTAGATCAAACTCAAGCTCAAGATGTGACTTCAATTCTGCACCTGTGTGCGTGTCATCAACAAAATATACGGTAATTATATACATTTAGACACGTATAATTATAATATATATATATTATACAGCAAGAACAAGGCCGTTTAGAGTTCGACAATTTCAGACATCTCGTCTGTCAGAGCCATGAAAGCTCCTACAACCGGCGCACCGACGCCCCAAAGGCCGCTCCTCAGTGACTACCTCCTTCAGTATTAAATCCTCGAAGTCGGCATGGCATGGCCCGTGGTGTACCATTTTGAAACCATTACAAGTGGCTGCATGAAATATGTGGAAATCCAGAAGCCACCAAATTGTTGGAAGGTCAAGAATGTTCTGCCAATCGCAGGGGCAACATCATTTCAGGAATCGCAAAAGTGGGAATCAGGTACAAATTCATACGGAATGATGAAATTTGCTTACCCAATTGGGGGGAGGTTTCCTATGACTTCCGAACCGTTTCCTAACTGAAATTATCACTCAGGTGGTGACTATTCTTGTTTTTCGGAAAACCCCATAGCAAAACAAACATAAAAACGCGTCAAGCAGACTTGGTGGATGTTTGACGTCTCAAAGTCTGACTCATTGGAATGCGTTCAGCACGGAACAGGCCCTTCTGATGGCATGCATTTTGCGACCCAATTTCTGGGGATTAAACGGGATCAATGATATCAACGTCATGGCCAAGAATATCCAGAACATGTGTATAATCCAAGTCTATCTTGGTTTTCAAACTATTTCTGGATTATCGAAGGTAGCTATATCACTGTCACTATATAATACTATATCCAGTTATAATATCCGCCGACCCCGGCTGATGCAAGGGGGGGCGCGTCAAGGATTACAGGTTTCTGTTTGTGCAACAACTAGATGTTTTTCTTTGTGCAACACCACCAACAAAAAACAAAAACAACAACAACAACAACAACGACGACGACGACGACGACGACCACGACAACGACAACGACAACGACAACGGTCATTTCGGTCTTCAGTGCCATGGTTTCGCAGGCGGACCAACAAAAACACCACCACCACCACCACCACCACCACCACCACCACGACCACGACCACGACCACGACCACGACCACGACCACGACAACCACCAACAGCAGCAGCAGCAGTAGCAGCCGACAGTGCAGGAACAAGGCCGACAAACAAATCAGCCAGTAGGATCAAGTAGCGATACCAGCAAACAAGAGCAGCAAGCAAGATCGGCATGTTCTTTTTTACAGGTTCAGAAGTTATGTGAAGGTTTTTTGGGGGCAATGTTGGGTTTTTCCGTCTCTCACTGCCATGGGGATTTGCCGCTGGGAGCGGTTCCGTTTTCGGAGCTGTAGCGGTATTAGACACAGTGCAGGAACAAGGCCGACAGGCAAATCAGCCAGCAGGATCAACAAGCGAGATCAACAAGTGAGACTAGCAAACAAGAGCAGCAAGCGAGACTAGCATGTTCTGTTTTACGGGTTTCAGAAGTTACGTTAGGCACTTTTTTGGTGCAATTTTGGAGTTTCTCCGTCTCTCACTGCCATGGGGATTTGCCGCTGGGAGCGGTTTCGTTTTCTGAGGTGTAGGGGTATTAGACATGAGTTCAAGTTGAGTTGGTTGATGTGGTTTATTCCTTGGCCCGAATTTGGAGTTCAAGTTTGGCTGGTTGATGTGGTTTATTCCTTGGCCCGAATTTGGAGTTCAAGTTTGGTTGGTTGATGTGGTTTATTCCTTGGCCCGAATTTGGAGTTCAAGTTTGGCTGGTTGATGTGGTTTATTCCTTGGCCCGAATTTGGAGTTCAAGTTTGGTTGGTTGATGTGGTTTATTCCTTGGCCCAAATTTGGAGTTCAAGTTTGGTTGGTTGATGTGGTTTATTCCTTGGCCCGAATTTGGAATTCAAGTTTGGTTGGTTGATGTGGTTTATTCCTTGGCCCGAATTTGGAGTTCAAGTTTGGTTGGTTGATGTGGTTTATTCCTTGGCCCGAATTTGGAGTTCAAGCTTGGTTGGTTGATGTGGTTTATTCCTTGGCCCGAATTTGGAGTTCAAGTTTGGTTGGTTGATGTGTTTATTTTTCTTGAACCAGTACTCCAAGCTCCGAACACTCCAAACCTGACATCCCTGGATTTCATCTTGCACGTTTTGTTTGTCAAAGCATTAAAAATGGTGTTTTTGATTAAAATACCGCCCCAATGCAACAATGCTACATTGGACACCATGTTAGCACAATAGTACAGCAACGATCAGTGTCATTTAGTGTCAATTGCGTCTCTGGGGGTGGATACCCCAAAAATATCCCGGACAACAAAATATCCCGGGACAAAAGGACTTACTGTAAGTTTTCTTGAACCAGTGCTCCTAGATCCCAACAAATCTTTTTGGGACAAAACAATGACCCAACATGGGCCCATCGAAACCCCCAAATGGCCCAACACAACGCCCAACATACTGTAGTCGCACATAGGCCCAGCCAAGCAACCGGGAAGCAACCCCCATAGTTTTGTTTCTATCATCACTGGTTTCTATCATAAAAATGGTTTTCAGGGTCCGGGAATGTTCAACGAGCAACGTGCAGGGCAAACATGGGCTAACGCATCTCTTGCCCACGAGCTGCACCAAAGAGCCAAAACTAAAATCTACAGCGAACCAACCCACAGGGGAAGAGATATTTTGAAGTATCATGTCGGGTATCCAACCCACAAGTGCCCATCTGGCACCTCTGTGCGCAAAAGGGGTTGGTAACCCACCCGATTATCCAAGGATAAAATCTACCATGAAACGTTGGTCACCTGTATCAAAGCCACACAAACAAAATCAAATAAAGTTCAGGGTTCCCAACCCTGAGGTTCCAAATATTTTTTCCCGAGAGCGTCTGAGCGCAGGGTTCTTCCAATAGTGGGGGGCCGGAAAAAAAGGGCGGCTCATCGGCACAGCGGGCGCAGAGGCACAGCTTTTGCGAAGCGTGCCAGGCCGCGCAGCGGCACAGCGGCGCGCTGGTACAGCCGAGAAGCGGCACAGCTCGGCTCAGCGTCACAGGCGCGCATCTTCACATCCTCTTATCTTCACATCTTCTCATCTTCACATCTTCTCATCTTCACATCTTCTCATCTTCACATCTTCACATCTTCACATCTTCTCATCTTCACATCTTCTCATCCTCCCATCTTCTTCTCATCTTCTCATCTTCACATCTTCTCACATCTTCTCACATCTTCTCACATCTTCTCACATCTTCACATCCTCACATCTTCACATCTTCTCCTCTTGCCCTCTTGCCCTCTTGCCCTCTTGCTCTCTCCTTCTTCTCTATTTCTCTTCTGAAGGCGGGGGCAGGGGCAGTGCAAACGAGACGGCACGAAACGCAACCCTTTCGCACGAAATGAGGGTTGATCGGCAAAAACAGAGGTAAAATTGCGATTTTACTTGTCCCGGAGCAACCCTTTCGCACGAAATGAGGGTCGATCGGCAAAAACTGAGGTAAAATTGCGATTTTACTTGTCCCGGAGCAACCCTTTCGCACGAAATGAGGGTCGATCGGCAAAAACTGAGGTAAAATTGCGATTTTACTTGTGCTGGAGTAACCCTTATGGCCGTACCCATGTACCTTTATGGCTGTACCCATGTACCTACATGGCCGTACCCATGTACCTACATGGCCGTACCCATGTACCTATATGGGGGTACCCATGTACCTACATGACCGCACCCCCTACACCCCCTGTGTATGTCCCTCAGCGTTTCTCATCAATAGAAACCACTCGTTTCATTACTCTCCAGTGTAGATAAGGCCTGTCCAAAAAGTAAAACCTGGTGATGACGATGAGGATGAGGATGATGATGTTCATGCCCTGTCAATATGAAGCTTAAGTGCGCTCTGGCAACTTAATTCTTCCTGCATGAAACGTTATGGCTTTAAGTTAGCCCCAATTTTTCGCAAAAGCGCCTTGTCCGGTCAAATGGATTCAAATGGTGCTAATGCTGCTTGAAACCCCAGTTTGGGTGAACATGTTTTTCGAAAACTGGTATTCGCCCATCGAAGCAATAATCGGGGCGGACTGGTCACCCTCATCAACATCAAAACACGGTGACAGAAATATAAGAAATATCACATCCATCACACTTCTTCTATCTTCGTACCCACCTCAACTATCTTTAGGCTGGTGTAAGGGTTTTTCGAAGTCCTTTGGGCCAAATGCAGCCCAGCCGCAGGTGCAGCGTTTCTTCATGCCTCCCCGGCAGCGCTCTTTGTGGCCCATGAAGATGATGCCATCGATGATGGCATTCACCACCTACAAGCGCTGAGTGATAGTTAGCACCCCTTTCTGGAGCCAGGGTCATGCGCCGTGAAGTGGTTCCTTCACTCACTGCTTCCTTGGTTGGTTCGTAAGTTGGTGGGTTGGCGGCAGCGCGGGGGAGACTATGGGCAGGTGTTGGGCAGGTGTGGCCTCATTCATCTCCTCAGGCTCGCCACGCCATGCTTTCCGCATCAGGTTGGCATCGGCGAGGTCCTGCCAAAGCAAAGATGCCAAAAAGAAACGTGACAAAGATTGAACATGGAGGTGAAAAGACATTGCGAACATGTGAAAAAGAAATGCTGTGCCTTCGCGCTCTGGTGCAAAAACTCTGCGTTTGGGGCCCGCATGTCTATCAGGAACGGTCGAGGTTTGTCGCCTCTGTTCCTCTCCTTAGCCGGCACAAAAATTCCAGCTTCACATGTTTTCGCTATGAAGGATCATGAAGGCATGACTTGGCACATCGGCAGAACCTGACCTTCATGGTGAACCCACATCCTCTTAAATAGGAAAGCTGCTTAAATCAAACCTGTGAACTAAACTAAACGCAGTAACCGAGCAAAAAACTACTTTACTTTGAATGATCTCTGGCATGCTTCGGCGTATAGATGTTCGGACAGTCTATCTGGCGGTTGGCGGCCGGTTCCGGCAGGGATGCTGCGAGCAGCAGCTTGCGGTTGAGGTCCGGCGGAGGAAGGGGGGAAGGAGGCGGAAGGGCAAGCCTTCGTGAACTCTAAGGCGTTTCCCTCAATCAACTGACCCACCGGTCATAAAATGCCAGGACATGCCAGGGACCCTGGCTGAAGGGGAATCAGATCAGAACATATTACCAGCGGCCAGCTGAAGCCAGAATGCCAAGACATTGCCGATCCATGCAAGGAGGGGGGACAGGCCTCCGAAATATTGTGGGTACCCAACCCTTACAGCCAAATACTGGCAAATACAATCCAAGGTAGCCAGCCCTGCATACAGGCAGGTCGACTGCTGAGGTTAGGCCCCTGCCAGGTGCCAACATGCTTTCAAAATCCTATGATTTTGAACGTTGCATCTTCACAAACGTTGGTCACCCAAAGTATTTCAGGCCTGTCGGGTATCCAACCTTTTACTTTGGCTAAATTCTTGCCTTTCTTCAGGACGTTGGTGCCCTGAAATATTTGAATCCTTTGTCTCACTGACCCAATCCCAGCATTCACAGTTTCTGTCTCACCGACGGTTGCTTGGATATCTTGGATTTTATCCTTTGCGGTAGGCAGCCCAACAACCATCAATGACTAAACCGGTTGTTACGGCTAAAATTATTGGACAACTTTCTTCAACCGAGGCTCCAAGCTCCGAACACTCCAAACCAAACCTGAGATCCCTGGATTTTATCTCGGCCCGAATTTAGAGTTCAAGTTTGGTTGGTTGATGTGGTTTATTCCTTGGCCCGAAATTGAAGTTCAAGTTTGGCTGGTTGATGTGGTTTATTCCTTGGCCCGAATTTGGAGTTCAAGTTTGGCTGGTTGATGTGGTTTATTCCTTGGCCCGAATTTGGAGTTCAAGTTTGGCTGGTTGATGTGGTTTATTCCTTGGCCCGAATTTGGAGTTCAAGTTTGGTTGGTTGATGTGGTTTATTCCTTGGCCCGAATTTGGAGTTCAAGTTTGGTTGGTTGATGTGGTTTATTCCTTGGCCCGAATTTGGTTGATGTGGTTTATTCCTTGGCCCAAATTTGGAGTTCAAGTTTGGCTGGTTGATGTGGTTTATTCCTTGGCCCGAATTTGGAGTTCAAGTTTGGTTGGTTGATGTGGTTTATTCCTTGGCCCGAATTTGGAGTTCAAGTTTGGTTGGTTGAATTCCTTGGCCTTGGTTGGTTGATGTTGGTTGATGTTGGTTTATTCCTTGGCCGAATTTGGAGTTCAGTTGGGTTTGGTTTGGTTGGTTGATGTGGTTTATTCCTGTGGCCCGAATTTGGAGTTCAAATTTGGCCCGAGTGGAGTTCATGTGGTTTATTCCTTGGCCCGAATTTGGAGTTCATGTGTGTTTATTCCGTTTATTTTCCTGGTTTGGCCCGAATTTGGAGTTCAAGTTTGGCTGGTTGATGTGGTTTATTCCTTGGCCCGAATTTGGAGTTCAAGTTTGGCTGGTTGATGTGGTTTATTCCTTGGCCCGAATTTGGAGTTCAAGTTTGGTTGGTTGATGTGGTTTATTCCTTGGCCCGAATTTGGAGTTCAAGTTTGGTTGGTTGATGTGGTTTATTCCTTGGCCCGAATTTGGAGTTCACGTTTGGCTGGTTGATGTGGTTTATTCCTTGGCCCGAATTTGGAGTTCAAGTTTGGTTGGTTGATGTGGTTTATTCCTTGGCCCGAATTTGGAGTTCAAGTTTGGTTGGTTGATGTGGTTTATTCCTTGGCCCGAATTTGGAGTTCAAGTTTGGCTGGTTGATGTGGTTTATTCCTTGGCCCGAATTTGGAGTTCAAGTTTGGTTGGTTGATGTGGTTTATTCCTTGGCCCGAATTTGGAGTTCAAGTTTGGCTGGTTGATGTGGTTTATTCCTTGGCCCGAATTTGGAGTTCAAGTTTGGTTGGTTGATGTGGTTTATTCCTTGGCCCGAATTTGGAGGTCAAGTTTGGTTGGTTGATGTGGTTTATACCTTGGCCCGGATTTGGAGTTCAAGTTTGGTTGGTTGATGTGGTTTATTCCTTGGCCGGATTTGGAGTTCAAGTTTGGCTGGTTGATGTGGTTTATTCCTTGGCCCGAATTTGGAGTTCAAGTTTGGTTGGTTGATGTGGTTTATTCCTTGGCCCGAATTTGGAGTTCAAGTTTGGCTGGTTGGTGTGGTTTATTCCTTGGCCCGAATTTGGAGTTCAAGTTTGGTTGGTTGATGTGGTTTATTCCTTGGCCCCGATTTGGAGTTCAAGTTTGGCTGGTTGATGTGGTTTATTCCTTGGCCCGGATTTGGAGGTCAAGGTTGGTTGGTTGATGTGGTTTATTCCTTGGCCCGAATTTGGAGTTCAAGTTTGGCTGGTTGATGTGGTTTATTCCTTGGCCCGAATTTGAAGTTCAAGTTTGGCTGGTTGATGTGGTTTATTCCTTGGCCCGAATTTGGAGTTCAAGCTTGGTTGGTTGATGTGGTTTATTCCTTGGCCCGAATTTGGAGTTCAAGTTTGGTTGGTTGATGTGTTTTTTTTCCCTGGCCCGAATTTGGAGTTCAAGTTTGGTTGGTTGATGTGGTTTATTCCTTGGCCCGAATTTGGAGTTCAAGTTTGGTTGGTTGATGTGGTTTATTCCTTGGCCCGAATTTGGAGTTCAAGTTTGGTTGGTTGATGTGGTTTATTCCTTGGCCCGAATTTGGAGTTCAAATTATTAGACATAGTGCAGGAACAAGGCCGACAGGCAAATCAGCCAGCAGGATCAACAAGCGAGATCAACAAGCGAGACTAGCAAACAAGAGCAGCAAGCAAGACTAGCATGTTCTGATTTACGGGTTTCAGAAGTTATGTATGGTTATGTTAGGGACTTTTTTGGTGCAATTTTGGAGCTTCTCCGTCCCTCACTGCCATGGGGATTTGCCGCTGGGAGCCGTTAGCAAGACCAACAAACAAGACGAGTAGCAAGCAAGATTAGCATGTTCTAGTTCTATTTTACGGATTTCAGAAGTTACGTTCGGCAATTCAATGTTAGGCACTTTTTGGTGCAATTTTGGAGCTTCTCCGTCTCTCACTGCCATGGGGATTTGCCGCTGGGAGCGGTTCCGTTTTCGGAGGTGTAGCGGTATTAGACACAGTGCAGGAACAAGGCCGACAAGCAAATCAGCTAGTAGGATCAACAAGCGAAACCAACAAACAAGAGTAGCAAGTAAGACTAGCATGTTCTAGTTCTTTCTAGTTCTATCTAGTTCTATTTTACGGATTTCAGAAGTTACGTTAGGCAATGTTAGGCACTTTTTTGGTGCAATTTTGAAGCTTCTCCGGCCCTCATTGCCATGGGGATTTGCCGCTGGGAGCGGTTTCGTTTTCTGAGGTGTAGCGGTATATTGGACACAGTGCAGGAACAAGGCCGACAGGCAAATCAGCCAGCAGGATCAACAAGCAAGATCATCAAGCGAGACTAGCAAACAAGAGCAGCAAGTAAGACTAGCATGTCCTGCTAAGGACTTTTTCGGTGCAATTTTGGAGCTTCTCCTTCCTTCACTCATCTCATGGGAGAATATGGGAGACACCATCAAGACATCTCGTGGGAGACACCATCAGCCCCGGTGGCCGTGGCATTGCCGTACGGCAGTTCCCCCCTCTCCGCAGGAGACCCTGCCGCCGACCCTACCGCCGATGGTACAACCCCCCCGCAACTTACGGTGTTTTGTGGCTTTCAACATAGCCGCAAGCTGGGTCTATTTATGATCCTTTACCCTCAAGTGGGCCCCTGGCCGGCTGTGGGGCGGAAGCCCTTAAATCCGGCGGCGCCTCGCCGCGTGTGGTGTACCTTGCAGCTGCCCTAGCTTTGGCTACCCGGGGCCGCCGGGAAGAAAGATGCTAAAATTATAAGATGCTTCTGGAAGTCGATTTTGGGCCGTGTTTGAACCATTTTTGGCGATTTGCGCATATAAAAACTACTAAATACCGTGATGCTTGCTACCAGAGGCCAAAAAACATCGTAAAGAGGCGCAAAAAACATCGGCATTCACGGTGTTTGTTGCTTCGAGAGTGTCAAAAAAGTGCGAAAATACAAGCGATTTGACGATTTTTAGGGCGCACAAAAATGCGAAAATAAGCTGTGCTGCAAGAACTGCAAGAACAAGAACAAGAACAACAACAACAAGAACAAGAACAAGAGACCGAACAAGAACAAGAACAAGAACAACAACAACAACAATGCGTGGTAAGATGGTTACAAAGCTGCGGTATGACAAGAACATCACACTGTGCTCTGCACCTGCGCACACCTGCGCACACGCGCAGAGCACATGAACAACACCAACGCTCACACTACTATACATAATCCTTATGGCATCACCGGTGTGCGAAGCTCTACAATATCAGGGTGACAATGATCATGATTACGACAACAATCAAGAACATAACGATGATGATGATGATGGTGATGGAGGAGGAGGAGGAGGAGGATGACTATGACTATGATGTTTGTGATGAGGAAGAGGATTACGATGAGGATGACGACAGGACTGCTGGTGACAATATTAATAGATGACCAGACCAGGGTGATGAACAGAACGATGGTGATGTATACATGTGTAATTATATATATATATGACAATTGCATATCATTGTATATCATTTTTATTCATTATTTATTATATAATATATTATAATAGTATTAATATCAGATGGATAGAATCATCTGAAGATCATGATTGCTTAAGACTGCAAGATTTCCAGGCAATGCCAGTCATCCACCTGGGGCGGTGGGGAAGCACGCCCCTGTCCTTTCCATTGGCTCTCAGGCTCACCCAGCCGATCTTTGGGCTTTCAGGTGCACCTGGCACCAAGTGGATCATTTTGATGGATGTTTCATGGATGTAGCTGATGGATCGTCAAGTTTTGGACAAACGCAAGTGCCAGTCACGTCATCAGCCTTGCTGAGTCCGTGGTGAAGCTGGGGGAAGAATAAAGAAGACTTGACTACAAGTATACACAAGAGTGTCCACTCCAGATGGTGAAAAACCTTTGTTTCATAATGCGCAAGGCTCACAGGTACTTCCCCCGAACAATTGGAGGATTTGAGCATGCTCCCAGCATTTTCTCAGTGAGTCCTGCTTAGTTACCTGACAGCTCGATCTGTATTTTGTTCTCGCCAAAATATGTCTCGCTGAGAAAGGGTGATAACACCAATGCCATTTTGCAACAGGATCACCATCTGTGCCGGAAGAGCTCTGAACATCCATCAGCCATCATAAAGCACCTGAGATGAGCGTATAATGTACGCGGCCAGCCGTTGGCGGATCTGCCTGAACCTGGGTGGCACTGAGGCACCATGGGGGAGATATGAAGTGAAGACATGATGCAAAGGGGAAAAAAACGCATGTCATGTGTATTCCGATCTTCTTAAAACAATTCATGGTCAGCGAACAATGAGACGAGGAGGTCAAAAGATGAGCCCGACCAATCGACCCGACCAAATCCCACTCTTCCACTTGCTGCCAAAGCCATCAAGACCGAAAACTACCTAGAAAATATATGAAAATATGACGTTGTTTCCGTTGTTTCCGTTGTTTCCCATAGAATATCCAAGCATGATACATATTTGGAACCAATAAGTTGAAACTAGAAATTGAAAATCACAACCAAAAAACATCCCATATCAATCCATACCAATCCATATCATGTCCTCCATCTCCCAACACGTTTCCTCCGAGATCCCGGGCTCTGGCACCCGGTGCGAGTCGCCCCAGAACGTCAGAGTTCAGGTCTGGCCCGCTCCTTCAAATGCCGATACTGACATTGAATCGATTTGAACAGATTCGTTGATTATATTGGATCTTCGGGTCGATTGATCTTACATCATCTTACATCTTCAGATGCATTGATTAGAATCGGACATTGATCCCAAAGCTACCCGGTCACATTTCTGGCATTTTGCAGGCACCCCAGGACACTCCTGACGAGGATCCCATCCACATTGGAACCTTAGCTCTGATCCACAAAGGAAAAAAGGAAACCGATGCCATTCTGGATCTAAAGATGCTGGTTCCATCAAACCTCAAATACCTGTGAAACATTGTGAAACCCTGACAAAATCGAACACCTCAAGAATGTGGCATCATTTCAAAGAATCAAATCTGTTTAGGCAATCGAAAGCTTAAACCAGCTTGTGGAGTGCAAGTGACTGGGTTTTGTGGTTCCACTACATTCCAGAGCTCAAACATGATAACTGATCATGATTTCATGTTTGCAGGCCAAACATTGAGAAATGGCCAGCAGATTTTCACAGATGGATCGCTTGGATGGGTAATTCACAGAACGATCCTGCTGAAAGACGGAGTCTTTGTGGACACCCTTGGGCACCTCGTACTCTGCCACCCAGGTGACAACCCTTGATATGGAGTTGGTTTAGAGAGTATTTTGCCGTGATTGGTGATCATCATTATTAATTTGACTGCTACAGGAAGTCAACTCATCACCTTCGCAACAAGGTCACAAGGTCCAGTGTTCGGCCCCTGGCCTCTACCGCTACAACCCGGATTCCTCTAGGACCCGGGACAGGACTCTGAAACCACCCAAATCTCTCGTGCACTGCCTGTCAAGTCGTGGTTCTCCGTCCTCGAGAGGTGAACCCAGGCACAAACAGACTCCGCTGAAATCGATGTAGCGTATCTCCAAGCATAGCATGGGCTTGTTGATACTATCAGAAACACAATCATCATTCTCTACTATCATAATACTCTATCATGCACAATCCAGGGCATCGCTTCTTTATCAGCTCAAGACTCCACCAATTTCTCAATGGAGAAGATTTCACCAGTGGTCTCATCCACTTGATTTCTTTAGAGGCCACCGCTCCTGCTCTCGCTCATCGGGGAACGACATGGGAAGCGCTATGCTTTGATGCTGTGCGAAACAGCTATGGAGCCTCCATGAGAACCCCCGGGGTGAACAAATTGTAATATAAACATGTGCTATTCAATATTCAATCTGATGTATATGGTCCTGTGGCAGTCCCATTTGCAGCCCGGTGTCAAAGAGTATTGACAAAAACGAGTTTTACCATCAAAATCCAGGATCCTAGGTCAAGCCAAGCCTTCGAGAAAAGTCCGTGGACCAATGCAAATTTGGTGATTCCCACACTGAGCAAAGATCATCCACGTGTCAACTGTTCTCAGGTTCCATCAGCAGCCACTGGCTTCACATGCTGTGCTGTGTTTGGACGGCTTTGCCGCTTTCTTCTGCTTCAGTTCCACTTGATAGCTCAAGGGCTATGGCAAGTTGACGCTTTGAGTCAGGGAATGACATCTACTTTGCCATTTCGTTGAACTTTTCAAACATGTTGGGGCGGTGCTAAACTCCTTGCGTACCAATGGAATCAAATGGTTACGTCGTACTGGAACACGTTGGATGCATTTTGTAGATCTGACAGGGTGGTTAGTTGCAGAAATGGTTCATCAGACAAACTCCACTTCAGCATCATTCCCCTGGAAAAGGGCAACCGACAAACCTGTTATTTACATTTGACTAACATATAGACATGTGACATATCGATCATATGGTTTGATCACAAAAAGGTTGCAAGATCCAAAGCATGTAGTCCCAAGCATGGTATAAAGACAAGTACATATCAAAACAGCTGGCTGAATCATATTCGTTCACCAACCTGAAATAAAGCATGCTGATGCCATGTTGGGATACTTACCCCTATGAATCTTATGAACACCATCCTTTCACTCTCCTGCCGGCCCCTGCACGTCTCCTGCGCCTTCAAACGCGCGAAGCTCTGCAAAGCATGGCACAGCTCTGGTGGCGCAAAGCCGCGTAAACCGCGGAGCACCTTGGGCTTCTGCTGGGTCATTGAGTAATCAGTCCACCAAGCAGTGAAATGGAGATTCCAGTAACAAGTTTAGCAGCAAAAAAAGAACATCCTTAAGCTATCTGCTGTACGTAACTGTGATTTGATTGTTTGACACTATGCGGATTGAAACAAGAGTTATTTTCTGGTTTGAGGCTTGGTGGGGTCTAAGCCATCGAGATCATTAGCTCACGCTTGGTCATGGCTGATGGCACTGCAAAAAATCAGGCTCTCAAGTGTTGTTACAGTATGTTACAGTCTTCAGCCCCTTTTGATGGTGTCCTGCTTTGCTTCCATTATAGTGTATCATGTCTAAGTTCCGGGAAGGTGGTGTCCTAATTCTTAAGTACGAGTACATTTGAGGCCTGTCTGACTGAAAAATGTAGCTTGTAGCGTATGAATGTCTATGAGGCCTAACAACCCCAAAAGTGTAAGTTGTTTTTTGTCAGAATCAGATTTCATGTGACTCAAGCAGCCCTCACTCAAGATTTCAGGCAGCTCAGCTAGACGCCCCGCAAAATCATATTGTTGGGTTCAGCTTTGGTGTCACAATTACAGTAGCCCAACACTGTGAAGCAATACACAAGACCTTCAAAAAATATGAACCACAATCTTCCCTTCAAGTTTACACAAATGTCGTGGACCAAAATTCACCTGAGGACGGATAGAATTGATCTAGAATCTAAACACAATGCAAAACGTGATGCAGACATGCGCTGGCGGGTTCGCTCATCAGATAAGCTTTCCAAATCCCAAAGTATCCCTTTCACGAACGTCCGCACACTCTCAAGATATCGCCTGGTCTGATTCTTTGCAATCAAACAATGTGGACAGTGAGAATATATGTATAAGAGATGTCAAAAGTTCATGCAGTTTCTGTTCCTGGTTCTTTCCACAATTGAGGGTTCAAGCCCCAGTTTTGATGATAAAATCCACATCTCCAACGGTCAATTCCCCATGTTCACCCAGGACACTTCTGCCGTGATGATCACCATGGCAGCCGGCGGCCTGGTGATGGACAGCTGGAAGATGACTTTCTCATTCAATATGGTTTGTGCTTCCGACAATTGATCCCGAAAGCATCTGAGCTCATCGCTGGAAACATCATGAAACAATCCCATTCTGGTGCCCCAATATCCCATTTCTCATCCTTTGGTTTTTTTGAATATTTTTGGGGTCTCCGAAATCTCCAAAATTGGATGTTGTCAACCCAAGGTGCCTGGCCCTCTCAGGGAGTTGTCCCACAGCACGCAAGCAACGCAAGGCGTCCTACTGGACCAGTGGGGACAGTTGAGTTGAAGCCCTTACTTCGGCCCTATACTAACAGCTGGGGTTGCTTGATGAGTATTTCAATTGTTATGATGAGGATTCAATCAAAAAGTACTTCCAACTACTAACAAAGTGCATGCTGCCCTGAACCAGATGCGCCTGCGGCGTCAGTGCCAAAACGTGGCGCAAGACCTCAGGAACGACAGCTGAAGGGTGCAGCTCTGCAACTTTTTAACAAGGTTGCTAAGATTACTAAGATCACCCATTGACTTTACCAGCATATGCGAGGGGTCCTTCTATTTCCCATGTTGAAACATTTTTGGCTGGTTCATGCTGGTTCAACATCACGGCTGGGTGGTTGAACAGTGAAAAAGGAGTTGACTTGAGTTCACTGAAGGTGAAATATCCACAGGACATCACAGGACTGACCCTGTAATTTGAAGGGTTATATAGTGCTTTTTGAAGCTGAAGTTCTTTAATTTGAGGTGAAAGGTCAAAGTCACCCTCGGACCAACGATGGACCATTTTGTGACAAAGGTCATGGAAGACGATCCACATTTCGAGGGACTATAAATACGTACAGTAAATTCAATTACAAGCCCTGGGGTTTGCTCGGTGGTTTCTCTGAAACTTGTTTCTAGTGCTTCAACATCCAACATCCAGGGTTGAGCTTCGCTGGACTCCAACCATTCCGCACATAGATTTTTCTAATGGTCCCCCTCAGTTGAGGGATACAGTCAGGAACATGCAGTCACCCTCAGGACCTGCCTGTAATCCAATCATTGGGGGTTGGCCATATTATATTGATCCGCATGATTCCGCATGTTTTTCTACCTATATCATATCCACGACACTATCCTTCATCTCAAAGTTATATAATATCGCAATACAGTAACGTTTACGTCAAAGGAGGATGTTGTTGGATGTCCACGGGTCCGTGTTCTGAACATGACACTTGCAAAATGGGCAAGAGACGACAAATTCACCCACACACACACACACATCCAAATCATTCCCCAGTTTTGCCACCCATCAAGTCCGCTTTGAACCCACCTGGTTCAAGAGTTTGGTGCCCAAGTCATGATTCCAGGCCACCACGGCCTGGCACAGGACTTGCTTCGTGATCTTCGTGGCTTGATATGGGTTGGCTATCATATCATGTTGCTCAACAAAATCTGAGGAAGAACATGGAAGAACAATTTCATTGTCTTAATATAAGGACCTAGGATCATACCCAAATTTCTACAACAGGATGGGCCTGTTGTGGCCCATTGTATCCCATTATGCTGTGTGATACACTTCCTGGCCTTGGAGCCAGATCTGTGGCTGACGGGCCAGGGCCGGAGCGCTCCCCTCATTTTTCTTCGCGGCGAGTGCAGCTGCGGTCTCAGAACTTGGCTGTTGAGGTCACCTCGTGAGGTGCATCTGCTAGCTGCTTGATACGGTCTGCGAAATATTACTTTCTTCGAGTGATCCCCACCACATTCTGTCCGCGTTTAGCCTGGCATTATCTCTGGCATTTTCTCTGACACTCTATCTGACATCTTATCTGGCAATATATTTAGCACATATTCTACCATTTTATCGGGCATTTTCTCTAGTCTGCGATCTCGCGATACTGTTCCAGCCGGGCCCGAATAAGAGCCTGCAAGCTCGCCGTGGTGTTTGTTCGCCACGCCCCCGAGAGCCCATGGGAGCTCACGGTAGAGCGGCTGTGCAGGGGCAGCTGGCGAGCAAGCTGGCGATGACGTGCTGGTCACCAAAATGTAATGCCTTGAAAGTTATTTGAAAAGGTCACCCTTTGGTCAAGACATCGTCTGTTGGAAAAGGTCAGCCTGCACACTGGACCACCCTTCACAAATGTCTCCACTGGGACGTCTTCTTGGCCTCGGAGTGGTGAATGTGGCAAAACATGGCAAAACTAAATGAACACGTGGTGAGGCAAACTTCTGGCATAGAAAACTTGTATCCTCAGAAAGAGAGAGAAGCAAAATCTGTCTCAAGCGGTGGTAAAATTATTGTCTATCTTTGTTGATTCTTTTTGGCAGTGATATAGGCTTACGATATATTTAACGATGAGTCCATCCTTGACACTCAGACTCAGACCCTTTTATTCTAGCAAGAGGTCCTCTTTAATAGGGAAACCTCAAAATATGTTTGGGGATGGTTAGAGTCATCGGGGATGCTCCGGTCAACTGCAAGAATCGTCTCAAGGATGGGTGGAACCAGGATATCCATCTCAAAATCCTATACAGTAGATAAGAAAGAAAATCCTGGCATTTCTCCTGTCAGAATGCCGGCTTGACTTCACAAAACCGCTACCTGTGGAATTAGTACCTTATGATTACTTATGATGTATTATGTATACTGTATACGTATAATATGTATCTTTCTCTATCTGTGGGGTAGTGCCAAGTCCATTTGCCATTGTGGCAAACAAAATCCACGGCAAGGTCTGTTTGGGGCTCCGATGTTTTGGTGCCGAACACGACGCTATTGCCGTCTGGTTTTCACTGGACCAAAACTTTTGTGCCCCAGCCACGGCCATTGATACCTGGTGTCCAGGCATGCTCTTTTCAAAAGGATTCGAAAAATCTGCTCGTGTAGCGTCCGCCAACACTTGCTCCTTCATCCGTCGCGCATTCATTCCCAAGGCAGGCAAGGCGGAGATTGATGAAAGTCTTCTGTCACCTTCTTGCATAGCAAGAATCAAGCATGATGGTGGTGTGCCCAACAAAGCCTGCCGAACCAAGCCAGTTGAAAACTTGACAAGGCACAGGCGAAACTCCATGTCCGTCTCCAAAAGCAAGCGCCCCGCTGCCTGAACATCCATGCCCGCTGTGGTACAAAAACTTGTTGTTGCACTGAGATGTGCACAACTCTTGCAAAGTACGTAGCATGTCTTACCCATCGGAATGGTTGCTTGGAGGATTCTCACCTGGTGCATCATACCCTACTTTGAAGTGCAAGACGTCTGCCCCATTCTCATGAAAGTATTCTGACATGTTGCAGACATCCCTGTACACGCGAGCAATCGCATTACCATCCTTGGTTTTTCTGGCCGACAGTGTTTCGGTTCCTTTCCACCGCTTAACGCTGGTGATGCTGGAACCAAGCACTCCAACCTTCAACTGATCATAAGAGACTGTGTTATAAACAGTGCTCTTATACCTGAAACTGTAGTCTCTACTCTTGATAAGACTCTTAGCTCCACACATGTTCTTGCTTCTGCCTCAAGCCGATATTTCACTAATCAGGGGACGTTTCACTTCCAAAGGTCACGTGTCAAAGCTCTGCTTAAAAAATTGCTTTACTTCGTGTGATCCCCACCATGACATTTATCGATTTGTTACTGGCATATCTTCTGGCATTCTATCTGGCATATCTTCTGGCATTCTATCTGGCATTCTATCTGGCATATCTTCTGGCATTCTACCTGGCATATCTTCTGGCATTCTATCTGGCATTCTATCTGGCATATCTTCTGACATCCTATCCGGCATTCTATCTGGCAAATCTTCTGGCATTCTATCTGGCAAACATTCTGGCACTTTGTCTGGCATACCTTCTGGCATTCTATCTGACATTCTATCTGGCATACCTTCTGGCATTTTATCTGGCATATCTTCTGGCATTCTATCTGGCATATCTTCTGGCATATCTTCTGACATCCTATCTGGCATTCTATCTGGCAAATCTTCTGGCATTCTATCTGGCAAACATTCTGGCACTTTATCTGGCATACCATCTGGTAGTCTATCTGGCATATCTTCTGGCATTTTATCTGGCATATCATCTGGCATTTTATCTGGCATATCTTCTGGCATTCTATCTGACATGCTATCTGGTGTTCTATCTGGCATATCTTCTGGCATTCTAGTTGGCCGTTGAGGTCCAGCGGTGCTCACTGAGCTCGGAAGGTCCCAGGTTGAGGTCCAGCGGTGCTCACTGAGCTCGGAAGGTCCCAGGTTGAGGTCCAGCGGTGCTCACTGAGCTCGGCGGGTCCCAGGTTGAGGTCCAGCGGTGCTCACTGAGCTCGGAAGGTCCCAGGGTGAGGTCCAGCGGTGCCCAGTGCGCTCAGACCCTTGCAGTTGAGGTCCAGCAGTGGCCACTGCGTGCGGAAGTTGGCGAAGAGCTTGGCGAAGAGTTGGCAAGGCGGAAGTGGACATGGAAGTGAAGGCAGAGGTGGTGGAGGAGGAGGAGAAGGAGAAGAAGGAGGAGGAGAAGAACAACTCTGATAAAATCTAACAACCCTCACCTGATCTCACCTGGCAGGTGGGGAAAATACAATGAAAATTCCAAAATTCCACGACAAAATGCTGGTATTAGTTTCAAGTTCATACTTTGGAAGTCTGCGGCAATTGCACACAAACCCACACACCAATGCACCACAGCGTCTAGATGCGTCTAGTATGTTTGAGCGCCCGGCCGAGCAATCAAATAATGAGGACACCGAGGGCGAAACCCAAGGAACAGAATGACCTACTCATGACTGACAGAATCCAGGATGACCCTGAGACCCAAGGAATCAAAGCATAGGAGTCCAAATTGGAAGGAACAAATGACCATATGGTTTGCAAAAAGTATGCACATGCCACATTAGATCTCACAGGAACAGCCAAACAGTTTCAATAATTGTTCGTTGGGAACAACCCAGACCCAGTGCTGAAACTATTGACAAAATCTACCCGGAGCCCCAGATGAAAAAAGACATCGACGCTGACAACACACAAGCACACACACACACACCGTGTACTAACAACGGAGCCCAAGGAAGTGTGATAAGCGATGAATCTACAGACAAGAGGCTTGGTGACCGGGGAAATAACGCCAAAGGAAAACACTGATTAAATACACTGAAGAGGATTGCACTGGCAACATGCCGCAACAAAGAGTATTCACATTTGCTTATTTATCTGTTCGGTCATCATCCACCCCCTTGCGGTGATTGTCCTCGGTCACAAGCATTTTCTCTTGGCAACGTGCCAATGGACACGTGCAATCAAGAAGAGAGCCAGAGGGTACCGTTGTTATCTTACATAAACCCTCGCGACTTTGCATTCCTGTGGGCAATCCTTATCATACGTACTCAAAATTGAATCCTCAGGCTGGTGCAAGGTTCCGAAAAAAAAGTGCGAAGATTGATACTGACTAAAGCCGGCGACCAAAATTAGGATGACATATCTCCATGATAATCATGATAATGATGATCATGATATGGGGGACCTACAAAGTGGTTTGCCTACTGCAGCACTCTGCAGTGCTCTGCAACTTGCGACGTTACTTCATTCTTACCTCCCTTTTTGATCTTTTGCAGAGCTAGTGGGCGGAGATATGATGAGATATGCAATGCAGAAGAGTGCCGTAGAGTAGCACAAAAGCCAACACCCACAGAAACACCCAGCTGCAGGCATCAAACATGTGGAGAAAAGGCCTCCTTGAGCGCATGGAGTCGGCGTACTTACAGACCGAACCAACCGGAGAATTCACTGACCAAAAGGGTTTAAAGCGATGCGACAAAATGTGGGGTATTTGATATTTGAATCTTTACACGGTCCATGAGATCGCTAGTTATGACCACAGCATTCCGCAACCATCAAAAGAACCTAGAGTGCATACAGTAATACATAGTAATACTGCGTGTCATTCATCTTCATTACTGGTTCCAGCCATTGGACAACCTTTGGCTGATCCCGGATGAGCAACAAAAATCCGAATAGGGGGCTATTGGCAAGCTTCTCTGAAAGGACTTTCGGTACCAAGCCTTTCATCTCAACAATGACCCATGAATTTGCCTGGTGGAGTATCCACACAAGCTTGTCTCAAAATGGCATGTCCCAAAAGGGATCAGAAAGGATCAAAACGCGTGGAGCCAAACCATTGGATTTCTGGACCAATAGTCAAGCCATGCTGCCAGCCGTCCCAGGGAGTCGAGGCACTTAGAGTAGAGGCGATCAGAAGGCTCTGCCTGGCTGAGAGGATGGACCCTTCGCAGTATGGTCCAGTGACACTTGGATATGTCTGGACATGTCAGTCGTATGCTTTCCATAATTACTGTACATTTTCTAGCAGGCCAAGCTTGGAGAGATGATGTATGTTTAAGACATGATCATTCGCGACCATCTGCAATGATTGCTACTGCAACATCACCATCCCCTATGCCCAGCGACCTTGCCCAAGGCCTCCCAAGATCCACCATCCTGTCGTACACCCTTTTTGGGGCCATGGAGCCATGCGCTGGTGAAACTTGGCCCTGACCCACAGTATCCCACAGTAGGGGAATCTTCACCCACCACTGCGATCCAAAACATGAGTGCAGCACTTTGGCCACGCTGATCAGAAATTGTTATATGATCTATTGGGACAAAGCCGACCCTGAGAGATGGCTTTCAGGCACCGAAGCAATCTGCACACAAGGTTGGCCAGTACATCCTGAAGTCCGAAGGGTAATGTCACCAGAAACAGCGTTGCTTACCTGATTTTGATTTTGATTTTCACAGCATTTCACGGCTCACAGTGGCAGGCAGTTTTGGCTGCGGAAAGTGGAAAGGCGCGGCGTTTGTAGATAGAGGACGCGCTAGATATGGATAGAAGCGTTCGCAGGAGGCTGGTAAAGGAAGGAGACGCGCCCCCACTATCTTTCTTCCGCCTTATTTTCAATCTTTCACCCCTCTCACCCAGGAGATGAGCTAGGAAGCGCTAGTCGGGGCTCCGAGAGAGGGCCAATACACCCATCTCTTGTAGCTCGCAACAGGGTACTCGGGCGTTCCGGACTGGGATGTCCTAAGTTCTTATTTGTTCGCAACAAGGTAATTTTCTCATCTCTGGGGAGATTTTGAAACCGGCGTGATTGCCCTACACTTCGCAAGTCCGCATTCTGGGAACTAGTCAGCTCAGGTGACGCAGGCATGTTCGAGGATGACTTGTCCTCTAGAGGTGAGTTTTCGCTCTCTCTAGAAGTCTCAGGCATTTCGGAATTCCCCGATGTCTGGACGTCAGTGACATCAGGCTGCGAATTTGGATCACTTGAGGCACTGGACCTAGGAACATCGTTCTTGGCAAAAACAGTCATGTTGATTCTAGTGGCATGAGAAGGTCTAATCAGATTTCTCTTGGCTAAGTTTTCCCAAGGTTCCCATTCGGTTTCAGCTCTCAGCTCTCCAGTGCCTCGTTCAGTGAAAATGCAACACCGGAATGGAGCAACACCCTTGGACATTTGTTCTGGTGGGGCAAGGGTACGGCTGGCCCCTCTGCAGGCTACTATGGAAATGATGTTCTTTTCAGGCATGAGTCTTTGGACAGCTTCCCTTAGGCTATCTTCATGTACATGTTAATTTACCAACCCTGGTAACTCCTGATTCAACTTGGAGAAGATCTCTTGCCATTGTTGCGAAGCATCAATAGGAGTAGTTTTGCCTATCTCTGCAATCGCCATTGCAAAAGAATTGCATCGTTGGCTTATAATGGCTTATAATGGCTTATAATGGCTTATAATGGCTTATAATGGCTTATGTGTGCCTTGGGGCTTTAAACCTTCGCAAAATCAGCACTGGATATCTGCCGAACACAGGGACGGTAAAACCAACTCATCCGAACAAGCTGGGCCGCTGGGCCAGTTGGGTCAATCATCCCATTAGGGATGATCATCTTCTCCCGGCGCAAAGCAAGCCGCTTCCTGAATTCCAGTGGAAGTCGCCAACAAAATGTTGGCAAATCCGCGCTCAGTGGACATCAATGCGCTGGTGAAACTTGGCCTGGGAGTTCACCAGAACAAGCACTGTGGTCGCTTGCAAACATAAAGTGAACAAACATGTCAAAATAACATCAAGATAGGCTAACTCCTTGTAGGCTAATGACAATACAATCACATGGGTTGGATTATCATAGAGCAGTATAAGCAAAGTTCATATGTGTCACAGTATTCAGCGCTTGTCATCTGTGAATGGGATGGATGTACCATGATGTACCATTCAGCGAGGGAATAGTGAGGGATGCTAGAGTTCACAGGTTTGACCAAACGTGTTGCAGGAGGCATCAGGAGGCTACAGCAATACATGGTACGAGTAATCTGTCTAGCTCACCATGTCCCCAGAGCGACCCGCAGGGGTCCGTTCAAAGCACTTCATAAACCTGTCCAAACTCGCTGTATGCACGTTTGAAACATGCACTGGGCACCCATGCTGTGTCTTGTTCGATTCTCTAATGTCACTATCACATATCACAAACCTTTATACAGTACATATTATATTACATTGTACACATACGTAAGTTAATACGAGACGCGTCCACCAAGCAGTTCCCCAGAATAAAAGCTCAAAATGTGATAGCTGGGCATCCAGCTGTCAAACCACCAAAGCCTTGGTGTCCCTTCCGATGGTCACCTCGGTCATTTGATCATGGCAACAGTCGGACAGTCATCGTCAACCAAGTCAACCATACGGTTTTTTTGGGGGTAGCATGGGGTAGCTGATTTTGAGACATACCCATGATATGATCATAGAACATCATCAGTACATAATCATACATAATCTATATTCAGACATGGAGGATATACCATCATATACCCAGTATCCTCCAACTAAAATCTGTCACTTGACAATTAAAGGATGTTCGCAACATTAGCGGCACCAGAGCTTCGGGGATCTTGGACCTGTCGGCGTCAATGACTGATTTGATCCAACCCCCCAACAGGACCGCTGTCCAAAAGCAAAAGCGGATCTGGTTAGCGGATATTGGCGGTACAAAGTACAGACCAATCTGAAGAGTGTTGATTACATACTTGAATTTGTCAGAAGATTAAAGGTAAACACCAAGGACTGCTACCGTGGAATCACTAAGGCTGATGTTTTGGCTACCACAACGAGCCAGAGATGTCGCCAGTCATGGCCAGTGCTCGCCCCAATGCTTGTACTGCTTGGTGAAATGAAAACTCAATGATCTACGATCTACAGTGACAAACTACCTAGACATGACATAGTGGTGCAACTAGATTTGACATGGTACGATTATGCACGATTATATTTGAGTCCAATAAGTCAAAGATGCATCAGCTTTGAGTTTCCTAAAAGAATATTGAGCCAACCATATTGTACTAATTGTACTATAGTAATCCAACCCAACAATTCCCTTCAGTTGAGACCCCATGGCCCATCGGGTCACTGCTGTCTTGGAATGTTTGGGCTCCAAAGCCTCCTCCAGAAGAAACCTGAGGCAAGGCTTCAGCTACCCAGAAGGTGAAGCGGTTCCACTCTGCCATGCGATAAAACCGGTACTCTTTTTCACAATCTGGAAACCCAGGGCCTGTCTCCAGAATAGAAAGATCGATGCGCCTGGAGTTGGAGTATGTTCTCCTTTTTCTCTATTTTTCTTCCGTGTTTTTCCCGGGTTTCAACAGGTTTCAACATATTTCAACCGTTTCAACCGGACCTTACGCCGTAGCCATCATAGCCTTATGCCGCTTATGCCCAGCAACAACGCCACATCCTCCTTGGCCACAAGTAGCTCCAAGCCTCCTTGGCCTCTGCCCGTGAGCAGCGCATAGGACCCGCGTTGAGGCTCCGCGGGGTCGACGCCCATGGGTCTCACCAGCAGAAAGTCCAGGTCGGTATTGCGCACCACGGCCTCATGGCATGGCATGGCTGCTGATTTCAACACTTGGAATATCATTGGGATATTCATTGTCAAGGGAAATCAGTATTAGTAGGTATTAGTATCAAAAGAACACAGAAAACAATTCTTGGGACCATCACAGGATATGGAACATGAAAAAACACTGGAACAAACTAGACGACGGATGGCCCGAGAGCGTAGAGGAGCAGGGTCTTCTCTTGTTAGTATGGAGACACCATATTACAAACAATATATTAAAGATGTGTTATAGGCAGTCGAGAAGAGGAGTATCAAGACAAAAATAGTAGAAGTGCAAGACAATAGTTTGCATCGCAAACACTTTTACACACAGAAGCTTTTACACACAGACGCTTTTACACACAAAAGCTTTTACACACAGAAGCTTTTACACACAGAAGCTTTTACACACAAAGGCTTTCACACACAAAAGCTTTTACAGACAGACACTTTCACACACAGATCCTTTTACACACAGACGCTTGTACACACAAAAGTTTTTACACACAGAAGCTTTTACACACAGACGCTTTTACACACAAAAGCTTTTACACACAGAAGCTTTTACACACAGAAGCTTTTACACACAAAGGCTTTCACACACAAAAGCTTTTACATACAGACACTTTCACACACAGATCCTTTTACACACAGACGCTTGTACACACAAAAGCGTTTACACACAGAAGCTTTTACACACAAACGCTTTTACACAGACGCTTTTACACACAAAGCTTTTACCCACAGAAGCTTTTACAGACAGAAGCTTTTACACACATACGCTTTTACACAGATGCTTTTACACACAGACACTTTTACACACAGACACTTTTACACACAGACACTTTTACACACAGGAGCTTTTACACACAGAAGCGTTTACACGCAAACGCTTTTACAGTTTTACACACAAAAACTTTTACACACAGAAGCTTTTACATACAAACACTTTTACACACAAACACTTTTACACACAAACACTTTTACACACAGACGCTTTTGCACGCAGAAGCTTTTACACGCAGACGCTTTTACAGACGGAAGCTTTTACACACAGGACAAGTCCGGCACAAGTAAAATCGCAATTTTACCTCAGTTTTCGACGATCGACCCTCATTTCGTGCGAAAGGGTTGCTCCAGGACAAGTAAAATCGCAATTACCTCAGTTTTTGACGATCGACCCTCATTTCGTGCAAAAGGGTTGCTCCAGGACAAGTAAAATCGCAATTTTACCTCAGTTTTTGACGATCGACCCTCATTTCGTGCGAAAGGGTTGCTCCAGGACAAGTCCGGCACAAGTAAAATCACAATTTTTCCTCAGTTTTTGACGATCGACCCTCATTTCGTGCGAAAGGGTTGCTCCAGGAAGGCGAGAGAGAGAAAAGGGAGAGAGAAAGGAGAGAGAGAAAGGAGAGAGGAAAGAGGAGAGAGAGTGAGAGAGAGAGAAGATGTGAAGATGAGAAGGTGTGAGAGAAGGTGTGAGAGAAGGTGTGAGAGAAGGTGTGAGAGAAGGTGTGAGAGAAGGTGTGAGAGAAGGTGTGAGAGAAGGTGTGAGAGAAGGTGTGAAGATGAGAAGGTGTGAGAGGAGGTGTGAAGATGAGAAGGTGTGAGAGAAGGTGTGAGAGAAGGTGTGAAGATGAGAAGATGAGATACAGACCCCACTATTGGAAGAACCCTGCGCTCAGACGCTCTCGGGAAAAACAAACAACTACAATATTGATGTATGTCACAGCTATGTCAGCTATGTGCAAAATTATGCAAAATTTACATCCCATTACCAGCACCCCTGGACTCACCCAACTGGACCCCTGCCCTTATGGCACCTCCATTTCTTGAAGGTCACGGCGGGTGCTGGGCCAAACCACCCGGAGGAGAAACCCCCAAAAGTACCTCAGTTGCGAAAGGATTTTTCGCAGGACCTGGCAGGATGTCGAACAAAGTCATTGATTTCACTCGAATTTCTGGCGGCAATTTTGAATATGCACGAATATCCATTCAAAACATGGGTACTTCTTAATTTCACAAAAATAGACATAACTACTGGGATATACTGGGATATTTGGTTTGTCTGATTCATGAATATGCAGAAGCTGGAAACTCGTAGCTAGGCCTGCTAGGCCTTAATATATCATAATATATCTATATTTGACAGATAATCCCACTTATACCCGACTTCATCTGGACAGATCTGGACAGGGACCCAAATCTTCAGGCTCCAACCTCCTACTGCACACATGGTGGGTCACCCCTCGGCCAAGTTGCTTGATGCAGCTGCCAGGCAAGTAGTCGTCGCCAATGCCCATGGAAGATAGCCTTCCGGAGGAGGCCCTCTTAGAGGTGGACAGTAGGTGGATAATGACCTATGCATGACCTATATGCAAGTGGGAAACGCTGGTAGTACTTCATAGTATTTCAGAACCACAGCTGGATTGTAAGCATTAATCATGGCTATGAACTATGTCCATGTATGTAGCTATGGGCTATTGGGTATGAATCAAACCAAACAGTGACCCGGGTTTTCACATCAACTTCTGCATCCCATCATGGTGCCAAGCAACACCACCAAGCGTTTCACTTCCGCAGTCTTCATGGCTGCCACCACCTGGGGAGCAAAAGCCACAAAGGTGCTGACCGCTGCGGAAAGAAACCCTCAGATTTGGATGGAACCATCAGATTTGTGTTGGAACTGATCAATCTGGAATAAACCAACCTATGATCATATTCATCATTATACCCACAAACGCCGTGTGTGTCTGGATTCTGGATGACAAATATTGAAATTTTCACAAGACACCTGTTGGGGTTCAACAGGGCCCGGGGATATCCGGGGATACTTCGTTTCATTAGTTGCGTAAATGCCGCCTGGTGGCCAAATCCCTGTCAAGAGCGCTTCCCTCTTTACGTTTTTCTAGTTCCTATTTTCATTGACCAACTTCGCAATTCTCATTGGTTTTCCAACTCATGAGCGCATGAAAAAAACGCTGGAAGTCTAACAACTTCGGATATTTTACCCTTTAGCCTACAACCAAAAATGGCTGGCTGACTTTCCATTGCCAGGTTCGATTACCAGAGGGTAGGGATTCCTCCATGATCCCATCCCTTTGAACCCCAGACCCCAAAATGATTGCAGCAGAAGACCCAATACTAAATCAATATTTCTTGCTGGGGCATAGTCTTTAAATTGCATCAAATTGCAACTTTTCTGACTTCACAAACCCAGATTTGGTATATTTAATTAATATAGTTTAATATGTTTCTTGTGGCATGTGGTTTCAAATCATGTTTAATCACGTCGTGATTTTTGCGATGGTTAGTCACACTATGGTATAGTCCCGAATTGAAATGGTTCAATCCGCATGATTGTGAAATCTCCAGGTTTGATGTTCAACCCTTCCACCATTCAACCCCCCCCTGATTTTTTGAGTTCAAATCCCCCAAGTCTTCCCCTCTGCCATAGCCCGTGGCCCCCGTGGCCCCCGTGGCCCCCGTAGCCTTCCGGGCTCCGATGCCACAGGTGCGCGCGATGCCACTCTGACGGCTGCCTGGGCAGGCGATGACGCTGTCGCAGCCCTGGAAGGTCTGGGCCAACTGCGCCTGGTGCGTCATCATCCACGTCATCGTCGTCGTCATCGTCATCGTCGTGCTGGTGATGATGATGATGATGATGATGATGATGATGATGAACTTGAGAATTACACTCATGGGATTTCATGGGTTTGGCGAATGTGACCATTGACATTGAATGAAATTGACGCACATGTTGAGAATGACTATGAGGACTATGACAACAACTATGACTATGACCTCAGCATCGTCACTGTTGATGTTCAGCTTCAGAATCTCCACCTGGAGCCCATCAGTGTGCAGCTGGGCAATGCTGGGCATGTCCAATAAGTCATACACAGAATAAACCGAACCAGCATAGTTTGCCAAATTTAACCATCAACATCCATGAACTAATGGATTTAGGATTATCGAGCTGCGCCCACAAACGATGGGAAACTGATCAACCCAATCATTGCCTTTATTGGTCCAGTCCCAAGATTATTGTATCAGTCAACCTTATTGATTCACCCTTCCGGTATCTCCAGAAAATAAAAGTCTTTCAAGCACACAACAACCGCACACAACAACCGGCCAGTTGTGGATGGTTGAAAGAAAACAACCGTCCTTGCACTTGGGTTTCCTATGCTCGGCAATTCGCCGCTCTGGATTGAAGTGATTTTGTGCCACACAGTCACAATGAACAAAACCGGCAATGTTAGGACATTTGCTTGTAATTCCCGAAGCATGTGTGCCTATTTTGGACATATCCCGTCATATCCCCATTTTGCTTGGTCTTTCCTTTCTAAATAATTCTCACCCCGACATGGGCATGTCCAAAAAGTTAGCCCCACTAGTGATCCACAGTTGGTGATCTCTTTTTGCAATCGAAATCAACCAGTTTCGGGGTCCCGAATCTTCAAAACATGTTCAAAAATAAATGCAGAAACGCTGAAAAACAACTACGTACACCCACTGGATATATTGAATCACAAATTTGGGGCGGTTTCGAGACCAGTTTTTCCTGGTGAAATCCCCTTGAAATGCTTCATGAGTTGAGTCCTCCGTTCGATATCCCAAGTCGACAGCCCCATTATTTGCTGGTTAAATCCTCCATTTTTTTATCAAACATACCCAGTGTGACTGGTTGTAGATCACTAGGCCTACATACACATATTTTATCATATTATTGTATTATTTTATATCGTATACCAATACACATATGAAACATATCGTATATGTACTGTTGTCATATACCTACCCTTTGCTCTTGTTGCATAAACTATATCCCAAAAATTCCAAAAACAAGATTCAACACCAATTAGATTCTCACTGTGAAACAGAAATGGAAAGCCACCCAACAAGTGTTGGAAAGGGAGAATAGACAGGGGAAATATTGTTGCTGAATGACTGAATGTTGTTAATTTGGAGATACGATGACATTACATGTATGATCATGTATGTACAGCATGTATTATAAATATTAATAAATGGAATAATGATTAATTATAATATCTAATTTATATTATATTATATTATATATATATGTAATTATAATTTCCCGTTGTTTATCCCAGTAACCTATTGCTTGTTGGTTAAATTCCATAACATCAATCAGTTAAACCCCATGAAGTCAAAAAGAACACCGTTTTTTGGCTGGTTAAATCCCACAAACGAAACACCATTGTTTGCTGGTTAAACCCATTAAATCCTTAATTTTAATGGTTGAACCCCCCAAAAAGAAAGCTGTTTGCTGCTTTTGTACAGCCAGGGCACATCTTTCAAGATCTCCTGCAGCTTCTCCAAGCGTTCCGCCGGCTTCACTTCCGTGGCATCGATGCCGGTGTCCTGGCCGTCCTGCAAATGATTGAGCCGTTGCCATGGTGGATGACCGGAGGGCCGGAGGGGAACCATCGACCAATTTCTTCACAATAAGAATGTATGATTAAAACAAAATACTGAAAAATGATGATAATGATGAGGAGGATGAGGATGAAAATGAGGATGATGATGATCATCATAATGTTAATGACTACAATATAATAACAAAAATCATTGTAATATATTATAATTATATTATAATAACAGGTGGTTCAGTATGGATGATAAACCCTGGGAGAAAAACGTAGAGTTGATGAATCCGGCGGTCACGTTGTTTGAGCATGTTTGAGTTAGAGTGGATCAGCATATGTTCAAAAGGTACAAGTCAGCTGAAACTGTCCAAGTTGGGAGAGTCTATTCTTCTTGGTTTTTCTAAGGATGCTAAGTACCAGCCAACAATCTGATCATCCAATCATATATCCTGGTAGGTAGGAGTCAAAACCCTGGTAACCTTGTGTTCACACCAACATGGCTCCCCGTAGGTATTGATCCATTTCAATTCAGTTGAGGCTTGCATCACCATGCTTTTCTTTTCTTTTTGGCGTATCCATTCTGAATCCTCTTTATCCCCCATTGTGATCATTGAATCCCACTGTTCAATAGTTATATAAATAATGTTAGCTCCAGCATTTTTGTGAGCGAAATCCATCATGTTCAGCGATATTTTCCCCATCTCTCCATGCGCACCTCAGACACCGCCACAGCACGAAATTTCAGCTGCTCAGAGCCTTTGGCAGCTGCATGCATCGCAGCGAACTTGCCCACATCTCCCAAGCCGCCCTGACGTGGCTTGTCCAGAGCTAGGGATTTCACGGGAATAATGAAATCCATTCAACGGCTCCATGAATAAAACAGATTGAAATGAATGCCTTCTTCCAACTCTTCGATCTGATTCAGTGGATTCCAAATTGAAACGATGTAAACTATGATTACCTATGATTAGTATATGCAGTGCATCTTTCATCTGCCATTTAATCAACCTCAACATACTTCATCCATTTTCCACGAAAAAAACATCCAGGTGTTCCCGCCTTGGAAGCCCAAACGATGGCCACCAGCTTCGACGCCTTTGCCACGCTCATCGCCGTGACGCCGTTGGTGACGCCGTTGCGCCACTAAACGCGCGTTGCGGTGGGCTTGAGCCGAGACTGGCCATGGCAGCTGGTTGTATCAAATGGTAAAATTGGAGGGAAAACTCAGGGATTTTAATGTAAATTGAAACAACAAAGTGTAATATGTTGAGATGCTTATCTTGTGGATTCTTTTGGGGGATTACTGTACGGTATTACCAAAATATTTGTCAGTTGTCATTTGAACTTCGCACAGCTGGATGTCAAACAAAGGATTACAAAGGAATGACCGCCAATACGACCCCTGGAAATTGTCGACTTTGGTTGGATCCCGTCATCTAAAGCTGAATTATCCCCCAACAGTAGGAATGGGGGTACATGTTTTTGTATCATATCCAAATCAATTGCATCCGATTCTGCATTCAAAAGGAATTGGTCGGTGATGAACCGACCAACCTGCGAAACATGCTGTTGTTAGTTTGTAATCTAAACTGTGGACACTACAGTATGTTACACGTGTTTTGTCACGTTTTACATGATGTACCATGATGTACCTAAAAGTCCTAAAAAACTTCACCGATCTCGGCCTGTGAGAAGGGATGTTTCAGGGCAGTTTGCGCAGTTCAGCGACCTTGCAGGCAGCTAATGGTGGTTGTGACGCAACAGGCCGAAAAACATGAAGTCGTTGTCTTTTGAGTTACAGTACATGTTGTTGGTTCATTACAGGAACATACAGGAACTATTTCAGTAAGAAGTGTCTACATCAATCAGTCAGTGGTTGCTCAAGGGGTCTCAACTGCATATTTTGTTCAATCTCGGTTTCAAGGTATGTTTCGTCCTGCTGTCAACACAGTAGTCTATATACAAGAACTTCCTAACATGGGACCATATCAACTCGTCTCCACACGTGTTTAGGGTGCGCATTGCGCCGATGTATTTTCAACAGATGAACAATCAACAAAAAAACTAATCTAAAAGTTTATGCTCAACCAAAGCGACATTTCTCTCTGATCCTGGAATTGCTATGGTTCTCACTTATCACATACAAAAGTTCAATACGTTTTCCGTTCATGATTCATGATGCGCGCTACTTCCGGCCCCTGCACGTTCAAATTGCGTACTGTACCTAGATGCACCCAATGCATGTATTTATTTTATGTGTACAAATTTTTACAAACATGTTGAACACATATTGATGAGGAGAAACACGTGATACATGTGGACGATGTATGACGCAGCTGTCCGCATTTCTTCTGCACTACAGCCACACTCGTGTTCAACCGATCATAGCTTGACATCCAGCAGTTCCACAAATATAAATAGTAAGAAAGGACGAAACCTGAACAAACATGTTGTATTACATGTTGCATTTACAATCCAGAAATCATACATTGATACACCTTGCATCCTCACGATTTGGTGGGAAAAATTGCTTCTCAAGGCATTCACAAATGCAACCCGTCACCAAGGATGACACCAGTGATCCCACACCGACGCCACAACGTCGAAGAAGGTAGTCCTGCTGAAAACAATCAAGTGGGAAATCACCGTAGGGAAGGACAACAAGAGATTTCAAACCACCAACGCATTCGTATTATATATATATATACATTCCAAACAGATACAATATAATAATCATAAAGGTAGAAATTGTTAGTGCCTCCCAAGGCCAAATGTTGACTCCGAGCTTTCATTGATTACAATATGCCATGGCTGCTGTGGTTGGATTTCTCTGACTGCTCTAGCCGTAATGTTAAGACCTTCACAGCATGGCGTTGCATCAACTCATGTGCGATCTCACTGCATCAACGCAGCCTATACAAACAAACGTGTTCATGAACATCTGGACCATTCAAAACTCTACAGGCAGAATTGGTCCAAGAAGTATACTTTACAGTGTAGATATGTAATGATTGGATTCGGAGTCTCAGTCGAGCTACAAATCATCAAATCAAAATCTGTACTGTACATAGAACAAGACTAGGGCTTGAAACGATTGGAACACATTGGGTCCCTTCAGCCTACAAAATCTTGTGGCTCCGGACTGGCCAGAAAGGTCTGGCTATCCATGCATGTTTCACGATCAAAAGGCATCAATTTGATCTCTCACTTCTCCACATGCCACATCTCCACGGAGGTCTCGTAGGGAACGAAGAATGGATTCTCCACCCCCTCAGCTTTGGCAAATTCCAAAGGGTTGATCCATGGATGGCCTCCCCGTGTCGTGGCAACATGTTCCGAAGCAATGTTGTGGCCTAGGTTCCAATACCTGGCATGCTCTTCACCCTGCGAGCTCTTGGGGGGCAGGCCAACCGTGCCCAGAACGCCAATGGTGAAGAAGCCACGACAGTCGTTGCACCAAAAGTTCTCCGACAAGTGGTTCGCCAGAGCTTCAGATGCGGCAACTGCCTGGCTGGACATGGGCGAGGGTTGGTTGTGCATCACGAAGTGGATGAGGCTCCAAAGCAAGTTGGGGCGGTGGCTCCAAGACCCCACCATGGCCAAGGCTTTGGAGATTCTTCCATCAACTTCAGCACCAGCAGCGCACTCTTCTGGCTTCAAGGCTGCCAAGTCAAGATCAGTCTGATTCCACATGTGTTGGTAGAGCTGGTCCAAGGTGGGATACTCACCCACCAAGTGCCTTGGCCACAGTGCCTGGAAGATGTTGTAAGTCACATTCCTGACACCTTGAGTGAAGGTGGAAAATGATCCCGTCCAGTACTTGCAAGTCATGGGCGAAGCTACCTCACCTGGGAACAGCAGAAACGCTGTTTGTAAGGACTCAATGGCCCAGTCTCGGCTCATGCCCGGTGTCCTCATGGATGTGCGAGGGCATCGGGAGCTGTCCCACCATGGTCCAGTGTAGCACACGTCCCTGGGCCGAGCTTTCACACAGGTGGAGGGCAACACATCAAAGGTGGGGCCCGTGCAGACCAAGTTCGGGCCACAGGCCAATGGCCGTTCCATGGTGCCACCATTGGGATAATGCCCAGTCTCTGTGGGCGCTCGCCGCACGAAGGCGTTGGCAAAACTTCCAGTCGTGGCCAAGGTTGGAATGCAGCTCTGTCCCTCGAGACGATACTTCACGCAGCGCCCGTGCGATGGTTTCCACAGGTTGTCTTCACTCATGCCGTGCAACTGGATACCATTGGCAACACCTACCGTGGAGCTGCCACAAATGGCATCACGGGTCGCTTTCAAAGCGTCCACCGTGGCATTGTTGACGTTTCCTTGCGCTTCGATGGCTTCAATTTGCTCATTGTATGCTTGGCCACACTGGTCGAAGTTTGGAGTGTGGCCATCTTTGCCCATGGCCCATGCACCCCACTTCTCATGCGTGATGACCATGCACCACTCATCCGCAGCACACGCACTTCGGTCGCGATAGCAGTCGACAACTTTGGGCACCGGGCATTGCCAGTTGTCACAGGTCATCTTGATGAGATCTCCTTCAACCGCTGTGTGCACTTTCCCATCAAAGACATATGTCAGGGCCATTGAAGCCTTGCTGCAGCCAGCTGTGTAGGGGTTGGCATACCACATGGCACCCGCTGCACCGTTGTAGCGTTCCCCAGGACCACACCAGACCTTCGACATCTTTGACTCTGCCTTGGACAGTGTCCGGCCACCCAGGGCACGTGCAGCCTCCGAACCCTGAAGACTCCGTGCGCGGCGGACGGCAGGTGTGGCCAAGGCCCAGTACTCACTGGGAGATGCCAAGGAAAGGGGAAGCAAGGCCAAGAAACACACACTGGACACCATTTTTGTTCAGAATCCCCTGTTCAGGAGTGGCTTCTGAAACGTGTGATGGCCTAATCCAAATGCCTGAGCCAAGGACAAAAACTGCGGGGTGACCATGCATGAAAGACAAGATTGTGTAGAAAGTCAACTGCTTCGATCTTTGATTCAGAGGCTTCCCTCTTTGCACTTGTAGTGATTTCCTTGATAACACATCACAACGAAGACAACAAACTCCGCTGTACATCGTTCAGCAGCTAAAACCCTGCACCAACAACGGAGAAAATGCACAGCCTGTCGTCCAAGTCTCAAAGAATCCAGCCCAGGAGTGTCAACCGCGCCTGCACATCTCGACATTCTCCTGATCAGCGCAGGGCGTGGCGTGGTGTTTCTCGCCCAAACTGGTGCCAGACTGTCAGTACTTCTCAATTTCTCAAGTTGAAAATGTCTGACCAAGCATTTCCCGCTACAAGGAATCAAACATCAATCAAGGATAATTGAGGATGTATGTTTTGCATTTGGCAAAGTCACATTTAAAATCTACAGAATCTATCAGAATCTATATCATTCTATATCAATCTCTCTGGGATAAGGTGAAAACTGATGAGATGGTTTCGCCCTTACGTTTTGACCAACTGGTCTGTAGAAAAGAAAACCTGCAGTTGCTACATGTGATGGGTGATGGGCCCTCAATAACTTTGGAAAGGGGTGACTTGTCACCCTAAATATCACCAGGCTCAGATGTGAATCACCCTCACTGTGGGATACATCATGTCATACCCCTTCAACTTTGACGCTGTCACCATGCTGTTGTTTCTTCATTTGTTCCCTATCGGTGTAGTTGTTGGCTGTACAAAAATGATCATTGGCAAAATGTAATTTCTTGGCTGTTGGCTTCTATCAATCACCAACCTGAACCAATGTCTTTTCTCGGGAGGCTGCCCTTACTAAGCTTGATCCATTGCTGCGTCCTAATTCACTTACACACACCTACACAACATGAAAAAACCTTGGGCAGCATTGCAAAACCATGATGATGCATATCATCCCAACTAGTTTTGCATTTCCGATCTTTCTTGGCGTATCTTTGGTCTTACAGTATCCACACAGATTTGGGCAGAACCCCCACCTGTTGAAACATGACCCTCTCCTCTGTGAGATTTCGAGCTGCTGTGCGGCAAAGGCATTCGTCAACTGCCTCTGTGGCCACAGGCGGTCAACCCAAACCGCTTGGTGCTCGTGGGATCTCGTGGGTCAGAACTGCAACAAAAGTCTGTGGCTCATGCCGCTTTGGGGCTTTGGGAAATCATCCAAGGGATGTACAGTAGATTCAACTCATTCTTATAAACTACTATACACTGACACTGATTCTTATAGACAATAAGATACAATGTCATGCAATATAGTGCAATATCAATATATTCAATATGGTTTTAAAATGTTTTAAAAAATATAAGTTCCCAAATGCCTGAGACTTCTTTGGTTACAATATGCAATGGCTGCTCTGGATGCATATCCATTTCACGATTTCTCTGACTGGACTAGCCGCAAGGAATCTTGCGACCGCTCACAGCGATCTCACTGCATCAACGCAGCCTATACAAACAAACGTGTTCATGAACATCTGGACCATTCAAAACTCTACAGGCAGAATTGGTCCAAGAAGTATACTTTACAGTGTAGATATGTAATGATTGGATTCGGAGTCTCAGTCGAGCTACAAATCATCAAATCAAAATCTGTACTGTACATAGAACAAGACTAGGGCTTGAAACGATTGGAACACATTGGGTCCCTTCAGCCTACAAAATCTTGTGGCTCCGGACTGGCCAGAAAGGTCTGGCTATCCATGCATGTTTCACGATCAAAAGGCATCAATTTGATCTCTCACTTCTCCACATGCCACATCTCCACGGAGGTCTCGTAGGGAACGAAGAATGGATTCTCCACCCCCTCAGCTTTGGCAAATTCCAAAGGGTTGATCCATGGATGGCCTCCCCGTGTCGTGGCAACATGTTCCGAAGCAATGTTGTGGCCTAAGTTCCAATACCTGGCATGCTCTTCACCCTGCGAGCTCTTGGGGGGCAGGCCAACAGTGCCCAGAACGCCAATGGTGAAGAAGCCACGACAGTCGTTGCACCAAAAGTTCTCCGACAAGTGGTTCGCCAGAGCTTCAGATGCGGCAACTGCCTGGCTGGACATGGGCGAGGGTTGGTTGTGCATCACGAAGTGGATGAGGCTCCAAAGCAAGTTGGGGCGGTGGCTCCAAGACCCCACCATGGCCAAGGCTTTGGAGATTCTTCCATCAACTTCAGCACCAGCATCGCACTCTTCTGGCTTCAAGGCTGCCAAGTCAAGATCAGTCTGATTCCACATGTGTTGGTAGAGCTGGTCCAAGGTGGGATACTCACCCACCAAGTGCCTTGGCCACAGTGCCTGGAAGATGTTGTAAGTCACATTCCTGACACCTTGAGTGAAGGTGGAAAATGATCCCGTCCAGTACTTGCAAGTCATGGGCGAAGCTACCTCACCTGGGAACAGCAGAAACGCTGTTTGTAAGGACTCAATGGCCCAGTCTCGGCTCATGCCCGGTGTCCTCATGGATGTGCGAGGGCATCGGGAGCTGTCCCACCATGGCCCAGTGTAGCACACGTCCCTGGGCCGAGCTTTCACACAGGTGGAGGGCAACACATCAAAGGTGGGGCCCGTGCAGACCAAGTTCGGGCCACAGGCCAATGGCCGTTCCATGGTGCCACCATTGGGATAATGCCCAGTCTCTGTGAGCGCTCGCCGCACGAAGGCGTTGGCAAAACTTCCAGTCGTGGCCAAGGTTGGAATGCAGCTCTGTCCCTCGAGACGATACTTCACGCAGCGCCCGTGCGATGGTTTCCACAGGTTGTCTTCACTCATGCCGTGCAACTGGATACCATTGGCAACACCTACCGTGGAGCTGCCACAAATGGCATCACGGGTCGCTTTCAAAGCGTCCACCGTGGCATTGTTGACGTTTCCTTGCGCTTCGATGGCTTCAATTTGCTCATTGTATGCTTGGCCACACTGGTCGAAGTTTGGAGTGTGGCCATCTTTGCCCATGGCCCATGCACCCCACTTCTCATGCGTGATGACCATGCACCACTCATCCGCAGCACACGCACTTCGGTCGCGATAGCAGTCGACAACTTTGGGCACCGGGCATTGCCAGTTGTCACAGGTCATCTTGATGAGATCTCCTTCAACCGCTGTGTGCACTTTCCCATCAAAGACATATGTCAGGGCCATTGAAGCCTTGCTGCAGCCAGCTGTGTAGGGGTTGGCATACCACATGGCACCCGCTGCACCGTTGTAGCGTTCCCCAGGACCACACCAGACCTTCGACATCTTTGACTCTGCCTTGGACAACGTCCGGCCGCCCAGGGCACGTGCAGCCTCCGAACCCTGAAGACTCCGTGCGCGGCGAACGGCAGGTGTGGCCAAGGCCCAGTACTCACTGGGAGATGCCAAGGAAAGGGGAAGCAAGGCCAAGAAACACACACTGGACATCATTTTTTGTTCAGAATCCCCTGTTCAGGAGTGGCTTCTGAAACGTGTGATGGCCTAATCCGAATGCCTGAGCCAACGCCAAAAACTGCGGGGTGACCACGCATGAAAGACAAGATTGTGTAGAAAGTCAACTGCTTCGATCTTTGATTCAGAGGCTTCCTTCTTTGCACTTGTAGTGATTTCCTTGAAAACACATCACAACGAAGACAACAAACTCCGCTGTACATCGTTCAGCGGCTAAAACCCTGCACCAACAACGGAGAAAATGCACAGCCTGTCGTCCAAGTCTCAAAGAATCCAGCCCAGGAGTGTCAACCGCGCCTGCACATCTCGACATTCTCCTGATCATCGCAGGGCGTGGCGTGGTGTTTCTCGCCCAAACTGGTGCCAGACTGTCAGTACTTCTCAATTTCTCAAGTTGAAAATGTCTGACCAAGCATTTCCCGCTACAAGGAATCAAACATCAATCAAGGATAATTGAGGATTTATGTTTTGCATTTGGCAAAGTCACATTTAAAATCTACAGAATCTATCAGAATCTATATCATTCTATATCAATCTCTCTGGGATAAGGTGAAAACTGATGAGATGGTTTCGCCCTTACGTTTTGACCAACTGGTCTGTAGAAAAGAAAACCTGCAGTTGCTACATGTGATGGGTGATGGGCCCTCAATAACTTTGGAAAGGGGTGACTTGTCACCCTAAATATCACCAGGCTCAGATGTGAATCACCCTCACTGTGGGATACATCATGTCATATCCCTTCAACTTTGACGCTGTCACCATGCTGTTGTTTCTTCATTTGTTCCCTATCGGTGTAGTTGTTGGCTGTACAAAAATGATCATTGGCAAAATGTAATTTCTTGGCTGTTGGTTTCTATCAATAGATAACCATTTCTGCAAACAGTGATGGACAACTGATTAAAAACTTGTAATATATCTGGCTGGATCACGATAAATCACCAACCTGAACCAATGTCTTTTCTCGGGAGGCTGCCCTTACTAAGCATGATCCATTGCTGCGTCCTAATTCACTTACACACACCTACACAACATGAAAAAACCTTGGGCAGCATTGCAAAACAATGATGATGCGTATCATCCCGACTAGTTTTGCATTTCCGATCTTTCTTGGCGTATCTTTGGTCTTATCCACACAGATTTGGGCAGAACCCCCACCTGTTGAAACATGACCCTCTCCTCTGTGAGATTTCGAGCTGCTGTGCGGCAAAGGCATTGGTCAACTGCCTCTGTGGCCACAGGGGGTCAACCCAAACCGCTTGGTGCTCGTGGGATCTCGTGGGTCAGAACTGCGGTAACAAAAGTCTGTGGCTCATGCCGCTTTGGGGCTTTGGGAAATCATCCAAGGGATGCACAGTAGATTCAACTCATTCTTATAAACTGACATTGATTCTTATAGACAATAACATACAATGTCATGCAATATAGTGCGATATCAATATATTAAAATCCCTACCCCTATAGAGGGGGAGGGCGAAAACCAACCTGTCGAATTCCACTTCTTTTTGCTTGGAAACCCTGGGATAGTGATCCACCCCCTCGAATGGAATTGTAAAGTAACATTTCTTAACAAGCCTTGGGCACTGGTTAGAAAATACTTGCGCTTAGCTCCAGAGGAGCTAAGCGCAAGTATGATCACGGCAGCGCAATTTTTTGGAGGGATGCCATCCCTACACATGTGCTGCTTCAGTCTGACATGTGCTTAGCTCCTCCGGAGCTAAGCGCAAGTATTTAATTTTCACCTGCTTGCCAATGACATGGAATGATGAGGAATATTGATCATTGAGAAAACATGATTGCAAAAATGGAATTTTAAAATGAAATTTCATCCCCCTTGAAATTCGCCCCGAGACGATGAGAGCTCCATTCTGTAGGGTGCCCAGCCTATCCCCCTACAAAATGGTATGGGGACACCTACAACGGCACCAAAAAAACCATAAAAACTGATTTATAGGGGGCCCAAGGCCTACCATTCTAAATGGGAAATGTCAACGGGGATGAAATTTCAGTACGACTCCCCCCCCCCTCAAATTCCATTTTTAATCCCTTCCTCCTAATACTAAACGTCCCCCTAATACTAAAAACCGGCATCCATCTCCAATTTCCGAAAATTTCAGTTTGGCCAATTTGACTTTTAATTGATCCCCTTTAAAAAACAATTCAAAAATCAACCTACCATTTGTGGGTTCTCCCCCTAATACTAAAAACTAATTCATCCCGGGGTGTTTAGTATTAGGGGGGCTAGTTTTTAGTATTAAGGGTTTTAATTTAGTATTAGGGGTAAGCTTCGAACTGCCATTTTTGGCAATATTTTAATTGCGTTATATAAGGAAATTTAATTGATTTTGAGATCGGAAAAAAAAGTTTTTAGTATTAAGGGTTTTAATTTAGTATTAGGGGTAAGCTTCGAACTGCCATTTTTGGCAATATTTTAATTGCGTTATATAAGGAAATTTAATTGATTTTGAGATCGGAAAAAATAGTTTTTGGCATTAAGGGTTTTAATTTAGTATTAGGGGTAAGCTTCGAACTGCCATTTTTGGCAATATTTTAATTGCGTTATATAGGGAAATTTAATTGATTTTGAGATCGGAAAAAATAGTTTTTAGTATTAAGGGTTTTAATTTAGTATTAGGGGTAAGCTTCGAACTGCCATTTTTGGCAATTTTTTTATTGCGTTATATAAGGAAATTTAATTAATTAATTAACATGACTTCGATTTGGTTCCCTAATAATAAATACCCCCCTAATACTAAAAACTACCTGCCGTGTTTTGTATTGGGGGGGGGTTTAGTATTAGGAGGAAGGGATTAAGAGGGTAGGGATATATTAAATATGGTTTTTAAAAATATAAGTCCCCAAATGCCTGAGACTTCTTTGGTTACAATATGCAATGGCTGCTCTGGATGCATATCCATTTCACGATTTCTCTGACTGGACTAGCCGCCAGGAATCTTGCGACCGTTCACAGCGATCTCACTGCATCAACGCAGCCTATACAAACAAACGTGTTCATGAACATCTGGACCATTCAAAACTCTACAGGCAGAATTGGTCCAAGAAGTATACTTTACAGTGTAGATATGTAATGATTGGATTCGGAGTCTCAGTCGAGCTACAAATCATCAAATCAAAATCTGTACTGTACATAGAACAAGACTAGGGCTTGAAACGATTGGAACACATTGGGTCCCTTCAGCCTACAAAATCTTGTGGCTCCGGACTGGCCAGAAAGGTCTGGCTATCCATGCATGTTTCACGATCAAAAGGCATCAATTTGATCTCTCACTTCTCCACATGCCACATCTCCACGGAGGTCTCGTAGGGAATGAAGAATGGATTCTCCACCCCCTCAGCTTTGGCAAATTCCAAAGGGTTGATCCATGGATGGCCTCCCCGTGTCGTGGCAACATGTTCCGAAGCAATGTTGTGGCCTGGCTTTTAAGGGGCAAATTCCAAAAATGCAACGAAATCATTTCGTAGCTGAAGCAGAAGAACCAAAAACGTCTTACTGGCAGTACGCTTTGCCCGTCTTGAGTGACTTGTACTTCAGGTAGGCCACCCGCTTGGGGTTGTCTTCTGGTGGATAAACTTGATTCTCACACGTGCCCATGCTGGTGGCCACCTCGAGCGCCAAAGGTGCCAGGGCAAACCAGCCCAAGAAGGCTAGGAAGCAGGAAATGGTGGAAGCCCAGAATGCCCTCATGTGCGGATTCTGCTGAACCGTGCCACATACGCGAAGCAACGCCAATTCTGTTGCCTTGTTGTTCTTGTCCACTGCCAACTTGAAGTCCGGCATGTTTCTTGCGAAGGCAGGCCGACTGCAACTGCCGCGTGAGTCTCGAAAAATGACAAAAATGGCTGCGGAGTTTCCGTGTTTGCTCACAACTTTGCCAAAATCATCCAAGCCATTCCAAGCTTGCAGTGGCATCAAAGCTCCTTCTGAAAGGATCAAATCAACTCTTGTACCGCCTGTACTATCTATTTTATAATGCATTACACAGTCCAATACAAGTACAAATACTGTAAACCTCTCAGCAACACTGTGACACACTGCCCATAAATTCAAATGCAAAAGACCGCGTTTCGCTGTAGATATAGCCATGCAAGAGAGACTCTCCATGCGGTTTGCCCTAAGCTGCTAAAGTTCCTTTTCGTGCTGAGATCAGCCTATCAGCGACGTTGGTGCTCATCCGCCAGAAACAAAATGATCCCGCACTCCATGCAAAGGATCATTCTGGGCAGCAAAGCATGCCTTCTGCATGACTGTCCTTTGCTGTCCTTGGAGCTCTTGGGGGGCAGGCCAACCGTGCCCAGAACGCCAATGGTGAAGAAGCCACGACAGTCGTTGCACCAAAAGTTCTCCGACAAGTGGTTCGCCAGAGCTTCAGATGCGGCAACTGCCTGGCTGAACATGGGCGAGGGTTGGTTGTGCATCACGAAGTGGATGAGGCTCCAAAGCAAATTGGGGCGGTGGCTCCAAGACCCCACCATGGCCAAGGCTTTGTTCCATCAACTTCAGCACCAGCAGCGCACTCTTCCGGCTTCAAGGCTGCCAAGTCAAGATCAGTCTGATTCCACATGTGTTGGTAGAGCTGGTCCAAGGTGGGATACTCACCCACCAAGTGCCTTGGCCACAGTGCCTGGAAGATGTTGTAAGTCACATTCCTGACACCTTGAGTGAAGGTGGAAAATGATCCCGTCCAGTACTTGCAAGTCATGGGCGAAGCTACCTCACCTGGGAACAGCAGAAACGCTGTTTGTAAGGACTCAATGGCCCAGTCTCGGCTCATGCCCGGTGTCCTCATGGATGTGCGAGGGCATCGGGAGCTGTCCCACCATGGTCCAGTGTAGCACACGTCCCTGGGCCGAGCTTTCACACAGGTGGAGGGCAACACATCAAAGGTGGGGCCCGTGCAGACCAAGTTCGGGCCACAGGCCAATGGCCGTTCCATGGTGCCACCATTGGGATAATGCCCAGTCTCTGTGGGCGCTCGCCGCACGAAGGCGCTGGCAAAACTTCCAGTCGTGGCCAAGGTTGGAATGCAGCTCTGTCCCTCGAGACGATACTTCACGCAGCGCCCGTGCGATGGTTTCCACAGGTTGTCTTCACTCATGCCGTGCAACTGGATACCATTGGCAACACCTACCGTGGAGCTGCCACAAATGGCATCACGGGTCGCTTTCAAAGCGTCCACCGTGGCATTGTTGACGTTTCCTTGCGCTTCGATGGCTTCAATTTGCTCATTGTATGCTTGGCCACACTGGTCGAAGTTTGGAGTGTGGCCATCTTTGCCCATGGCCCATGCACCCCACTTCTCATGCGTGATGACCATGCACCACTCATCCGCAGCACACGCACTTCGGTCGCGATAGCAGTCGACAACTTTGGGCACCGGGCATTGCCAGTTGTCACAGGTCATCTTGATGAGATCTCCTTCAACCGCTGTGTGCACTTTCCCATCAAAGACATATGTCAGGGCCATTGAAGCCTTGCTGCAGCCAGCTGTGTAGGGGTTGGCATACCACATGGCACCCGCTGCACCGTTGTAGCGTTCCCCAGGACCACACCAGACCTTCGACATCTTTGACTCTGCCTTGGACAACGTCCGGCCGCCCAGGGCACGTGCAGCCTCCGAACCCTGAAGACTCCGTGCGCGGCGAACGGCAGGTGTGGCCAAGGCCCAGTACTCACTGGGAGATGCCAAGGAAAGGGGAAGCAAGGCCAAGAAACACACACTGGACACCATTTTTGTTCAGAATCCCCTGTTCAGGAGTGGCTTCTGAAACGTGTGATGGCCGAATCCGAATGCCTGAGCCAACGACAAAAACTGCGGGGTGACCATGCATGAAAGACAAGATTGTGTAGAAAGTCAACTGCTTCGATCTTTGATTCAGAGGCTTCCTTCTTTGCACTTGTAGTGATTTCCTTGAAAACACATCACAACGAAGACAACAAACTCCGCTGTACATCGTTCAGCAGCTAAAACCCTGCACCAACAACGGAGAAAATGCACAGCCTGTCGTCCAAGTCTCAAAGAATCCATCCCAGGAGTGTCAACCGCGCCTGCACATCTCGACATTCTCCTGATCATCGCAGGGCGTGGCGTGGTGTTTCTCGCCCAAACTGGTGCCAGACTGTCAGTACTTCTCAATTTCTCAAGTTGAAAATGTCTGACTAAGCATTTCCCGCTACAAGGAATCAAACATCAATCAAGGATAATTGAGGATTTACGTTTTGCATTTGGCAAAGTCACATTTAAAATCTACAGAATCTATCAGAATCTATATCATTCTATATCAATCTCTCTGGGATAAGGTGAAAACTGATGAGATGGTTTCGCCCTTACGTTTTGACCAACTGGTCTGTAGAAAAGAAAACCTGCAGTTGCTACATGTGATGGGTGATGGGCCCTCAATAACTTTGGAAAGGGGTGACTTGTCACCCTAAATATCACCAGGCTCAGATGTGAATCACCCTCACTGTGGGATACATCATGTCATATCCCTTCAACTTTGACGCTGTCACCATGCTGTTGTTTCTTCATGTGTTCCCTATCGGTGTAGTTGTTGGCTGTACAAAAATGATCATTGGCAAAATGTAATTTCTTGGCTGTTGGTTTCTATCAATAGATAACCATTTCTGCAAACAGTGATGAACAACTGATTGAAAACTTGTAATATATCTGGCTGGATCACGATAAATCACCAACCTGAACCAATGTCTTTTCTCGGGAGGCTGCCCTTACTAAGCATGATCCATTGCTGCATCCTAATTCACTTACACACACCTACACAACATGAAAAAACCTTGGGCAGCATTGCAAAACAATGATGATGCGTATCATCCCAACGAGTTTTGCATTTCCGATCTTTCTTGGCGTATCTTCGGTCTTGAGTCTTATCCACACAGATTTGGGCAGAACCCCCACCTGTTGAAGCATGACCCTCTCCTCTGTGAGATTTCGAGCTGCTGTGCGGCAAAGGCATTCGTCAACTGCCTCTGTGGCCACAGGCGGTCAACCCAAACCGCTTGGTGCTCGTGGGATCTCGTGGGTCAGAACTGCAGTAACAAAAGTCTGTGGCTCATGCCGCTTTGGGGCTTTGGGAAATCATCCAAGGGATGCACAGTAGATTCAACTCATTCTTATAAACTACTATAAACTGACACTGATTCTTATAGACAATAACATACAATGTCATGCAATATAGTGCAATATCAATATATTCAATATGGTTTTAAAAAAAAATATAAGTTCCCAAATGCCTGAGACTTCTTTGGTTACAATATGCAATGGCTGCTCTGGATGCATATCCATTTCACGATTTCTCTGACTGGACTAGCCGCAAGGAATCTTGCGACCGTTCACAGTGAAGTTCAGAGCGATCTCACTGCATCAACGCAGCCTATACAAACAAACGTGTTCATGAACATCTGGACCATTCAAAACTCTACAGGCAGAATTGGTCCAAGAAGTATACTTTACAGTGTAGATATGTAATGATTGGATTCGGAGTCTCAGTCGAGCTACAAATCATCAAATCAAAATCTGTACTGTACATAGAACAAGAGTGGGCTTGAAACGATTGGAACACATTGGGTCCCTTCAGCCTACAAAATCTTGTGGCTCCGGACTGGCCAGAAAGGTCTGGCTATCCATGCATGTTTCACGATCAAAAGGCATCAATTTGATCTCTCACTTCTCCACATGCCACATCTCCACGGAGGTCTCGTAGGGAACGAAGAATGGATTCTCCACCCCCTCAGCTTTGGCAAATTCCAAAGGGTTGATCCATGGATGGCCTCCCCGTGTCGTGGCAACATGTTCCGAAGCAATGTTGTGGCCTAAGTTCCAATACCTGGCATGCTCTTCACCCTGCGAGCTCTTGGGGGGCAGGCCAACAGTGCCCAGAACGCCAATGGTGAAGAAGCCACGACAGTCGTTGCACCAAAAGTTCTCCGACAAGTGGTTCGCCAGAGCTTCAGATGCGGCAACTGCCTGGCTGGACATGGGCGAGGGTTGGTTGTGCATCACGAAGTGGATGAGGCTCCAAAGCAAATTGGGGCGGTGGCTCCAAGACCCCACCATGGCCAAGGCTTTGGAGATTCTTCCATCAACTTCAGCACCAGCAGCGCACTCTTCTGGCTTCAAGGCTGCCAAGTCAAGATCAGTCTGATTCCACATGTGTTGGTAGAGCTGGTCCAAGGTGGGATACTCACCCACCACGTGCCTTGGCCACAGTGCCTGGAAGATGTTGTAAGTCACATTCCTGACACCTTGAGTGAAGGTGGAAAATGATCCCGTCCAGTACTTGCAAGTCATGGGCGAAGCTACCTCACCTGGGAACAGCAGAAACGCTGTTTGTAAGGACTCAATGGCCCAGTCTCGGCTCATGCCCGGTGTCCTCATGGATGTGCGAGGGCATCGGGAGCTATCCCACCATGGCCCAGTGTAGCACACGTCCCTGGGCCGAGCTTTCACACAGGTGGAGGGCAACACATCAAAGGTGGGGCCTGTGCAGACCAAGTTCGGGCCACAGGCCAATGGCCGTTCCATGGTGCCACCATTGGGATAATGCCCAGTCTCTGTGGGCGCTCGCCGCACGAAGGCGTTGGCAAAACTTCCAGTCGTGGCCAAGGTTGGAATGCAGCTCTGTCCCTCGAGACGATACTTCACGCAGCGCCCGTGCGATGGTTTCCACAGGTTGTCTTCACTCATGCCGTGCAACTGGATACCATTGGCAACACCTACCGTGGAGCTGCCACAAATGGCATCACGGGTCGCTTTCAAAGCGTCCACCGTGGCATTGTTGACGTTTCCTTGCGCTTCGATGGCTTCAATTTGCTCATTGTATGCTTGGCCACACTGGTCGAAGTTTGGAGTGTGGCCATCTTTGCCCATGGCCCATGCACCCCACTTCTCATGCGTGATGACCATGCACCACTCATCCGCAGCACACGCACTTCGGTCGCGATAGCAGTCGACAACTTTGGGCACCGGGCATTGCCAGTTGTCACAGGTCATCTTGATGAGATCTCCTTCAACCGCTGTGTGCACTTTCCCATCAAAGACATATGTCAGGGCCATTGAAGCCTTGCTGCAGCCAGCTGTGTAGGGGTTGGCATACCACATGGCACCCGCTGCACCGTTGTAGCGTTCCCCAGGACCACACCAGACCTTCGACATCTTTGACTCTGCCTTGGACAGTGTCCGGCCGCCCAGGGCACGTGCAGCCTCCGACCCCTGAAGACTCCGTGCGCGGCGGACGGCAGGTGTGGCCAAGGCCCAGTACTCACTGGGAGATGCCAAGGAAAGGGGAAGCAAGGCCAAGAAACACACACTGGACACCATTTTTGTTCAGAATCCCCTGTTCAGGAGTGGCTTCTGAAACGTGTGATGGCCTAATCCAAATGCCTGAGCCAAGGACAAAAACTGCGGGGTGACCATGCATGAAAGACAAGATTGTGCAGAAAGTCAACTGCTTCGATCTTTGATTCAGAGGCTTCCCTCTTTGCACTTGTAGTGATTTCCTTGATAACACATCACAACGAAGACAACAAACTCCGCTGTACATCGTTCAGCAGCTAAAACCCTGCACCAACAACGGAGAAATGCACAGCCTGTCGTCCAAGTCTCAAAGAATCCATCCCAGGAGTGTCAACCGCGCCTGCAAATCTCGACATTCTCCTGATCAGCGCAGGGCGTGGCGTGGTGTTTCTCGCCCAAACTGGTGCCAGACTGTCAGTACTTCTCAATTTCTCAAGTTGAAAATGTCTGACCAAGCATTTCCCGCTACAAGGAATCAAACATCAATCAAGGATAATTGAGGATTTACGTTTTGCATTTGGCAAAGTCACAGTTAAAAAATACAGAATCTATCAGAATCAATATCAATCTCTCTGGGATAAGGTGAAAACTGATGAGATGGTTTCGCCCTTACGTTTTGACCCACTGGTCTGTAAAGAAGAAAACCTGCAGTTGCCACATGTGATGGGCCCTCACCAGCCACAGTCTCAGATGTGAATCACCCTCACTAATTGTAGGATACATCATATCCCTTCAACTTTGGCGCTGTCAAGATGCTGTTGTTTTTTATTTGTTTTCTATTGCCGTAGCTGTTCGCCGTACAAAAATGATTATTGGCAAAATTTATTTTCTTGGCTTTTGGTCTTTATCACAAAAAAATATTGTGTGAACAGTTGTCGTGTATATCACCTCTGGGTAAATCATGATAGATCACCAACCTGAACCAATGTGCTTTGGTAGGTTCCCTTTACTACGTCCTAATCGATCGATCTGCACCCACACACACACACAACATGAAAAAGGCTTGAAAAACATTGAAAAACAATGAACACCGCCTGAATCAAGTGTGATTTTCCAAGCTTTCTTGGTTCATCTTCGGTTTTTGTCCCACAGATTTTGGCAGAATCCCCACCTGTTGAGGTATCGACCGCCGCTGTGCCCGGTCAACCCTGTGGCAGGTGGTCAGAATCGCGCGCCCCAATTGTTGGAGGGTACAAAAAAGTGGCCAACATCATCCAAAATCTGTGATTCCCAGGCTATTCAATTTTCACCTAGCAACGTGGGTTAAGATTGAAGACCAAGCCATACACAAATGTTGATGAAATAGCAGTCATCTTCAACCATCCTGCCCTTGGGTACCATTTTTTGAAGGAAGAGCGACTCAGCAGGCAATGCAAATGGAGATACTGACAGAGTGTGGGGACGTATGACAATAGATTGAT